CAAATCCCAATCAAATATGTACATACCAAGAAAGACAACACGAATTATTTCGTGGAACATTGACGGATTATTGAACAAAAACTCATCATTCTCCCACGAACTAATTTCACTTGACCCAGACATTTTCTTTTTATGCGAAACATGGTGCTCCGAAAAGGAAGCATGCGCCACTCCCATTCTCTCCAAAAGTTTCACTCTGCTTGCTGTCAGTGCTACCTCACCCACCAATCGTGGAAGAAAAAGAGGTGGACTACTTCTTGGATACAAAGACCATATCCACCCAACTCTCATCAGCAAGAAAGACCACTACATCATGGTCAAAATCACTAATATAAATATAATTTGTACATACCTAGCACCGACCAAAGAAGGAGACGAAAACTTCAATGACATTTGTTCAAACACGGACAACGAACCAACAAATAACCTCGTAGTAATCGGCGACTTCAACGCCAGAACCGGGGAAATACCAAATCGAGACCCCGATGACGGCGAATCTTTAAAAAGGAGTAGCTCAGACAAAATCCAAAATTCAAGGGGAAAGAAAGTGATGAAGTACGCCCACTTACCACAGCTTATCCTACTTAATGGATGGTTCCCTACGGACGTACCTGCCCAATTTACCTTCATCAACAAAAATGACTGTAGCATACCTGACTTGTGTTTCATTTCACACACACTCCTCTCAAAACTAAAACAATTTACTGTTCTAGAGTCAGTAACATCGACCCATCTTCCCGTCCAGCTTGACTTGCATGCAGTAAGCCAAATACCTCAAGGTGAAAGCCTGCCAATACCACCGCACAAACTCCCTCCGAAGGTCACATGGAATCCCGCAATACTGGACACTTTCACTTCATCTCTCCCAGAAATTGACTCATCCCATGATAGCTATCACAATTTTCAAAAAACGATCTCACAGGCCTTGCGAGATGCAAATCTGATAAATCAACGCAAACTACCCCCAAGCAGCACTAAATCGAGACCAACAAATCCCCCCTGGTTTTGCGAGATGTGTTCCTCCCTCAAACAAAGGACAAAGTCCTTACTGAAATCATTACGCAAAGCTCCCTCCAGTGACTTTGAACAAGCAAAAGATAAGTACGTCCAGAGTCGACAAGAATACTCGCTACAACTCAAAGCCTCGAAACAAAAATACAAAAATGACATAATCAAAGCAATGCTAAACCACAGAAATACTACTGATTTCTGGGCTACAGTAAATAAAATGAGAACTCGTGAATTCACACAGAATAAAATTCCTCCAGAATCATGGACCTGCCACTACGAAACACTCTTCGCGTCAAAACGACCACCCCCTCTCTACCGATCTCCAAATCTGAAAATGCGCAACTTGATTACCCCATCACACTCAATGAAGTCATGCATGTACTTCACAAATTGAAAACCAAAAAAGCTCCAGGACACGATGGCATCCCAAATGAAGTTTGGAAATCCCTTCCCCTCCCTTACATACAACAAATGCAACGTATCTTAAACACCATTCTCGATAATGGCACCGTTCCTGAGGAATGGACAAAAATCCTCCTCCAACCAATTTACAAAAAAGGAGACCCCCTTCTACCCCAAAACTACCGACCTATTGCACTTGCTCCTACAATACTAAAAGTTTTCTCTACAATCATCTCCAAACGAGTCCATGATTGGGCTGTTACCAACAACAAAATTTCCAAATTCCAAGCAGGATGCAAGAAAGGGATGGGGACCCAAGAACATCTTTTTACCCTACTCACCCTCATCCAATCAAGACTAAGATTACCAAAAGGGCGTTTGTACGTAACTTTTGTAGACTTAAAATCTGCATATGACTCGCCAGGGCATGCTGATTTATGGGACGTCCTCTCGAATGCTGGAATGGGATCAAAAATCATCAACGTACTTATATCATTGTATTCTCGAGCAAATGGACAAGTGAAGCTTCCTTCCGGCCTCTCTGACAAATTCAAGATTCGAAAAGGGGTGTTACAGGGTGAACCACAATCTGGACTTAATTTCAATATATTTATCAATGACCTAGTAAAAGAGTTAGATGAAAAAGGTCCACCCCCAATACAAGTGGGAGATGCCAAGCTTCACCTCCTCCTCTTCGTTGACGATATCGCTCTACTTGGGGACACACCATCACAAATTCAGCAAAAGATCAACATTGCAGCCAGATTTTTCCACCGCAGATCGCTGCAAGTCAATGTAGATAAAACCAAGGTCGTTATCTTCGCGAAGAAAAAATCTACAAAACTATTAGCTCGCAGCCATTTTCACTGGGAAAACCAATCACTTGAAATTGCCCCCTCCTACAAGTATCTAGGAGTAACATTTTCCGCAAATGGTACATTCACCACCCATACATTAGAATCACGAGTCAAAATAGCTACGGCAGCAACCAAAGTCTGGGATATATGCAGAAAAAGCGGGGTCCCACCCATTGATACTCACCTAAAATTATTCAACTCACTTGTTAAATCCACACTCCTTTATGACTATCAAAAACTCCACCTCTCTCACTTTCTCATGTTTAAAAGAACAGTTCAAATGGTACGAGTATAGAGACACTAATAGCACAATATATTCCTCCAAATATTGCTGGGCAGCCAAGATTGTAGAAACTATAATCAAGTCAAGCGATCTTTCCTACCAGTCTCTCCTTTCTCATGACGAATTATCACCCCTTCGAAATGTTATGATTGCCAAATATGCAGATATACTTCACCAGCAGGACTTAGATAGATGCCGACTCTCAAATTTTATCCCTCTGTATCAATACCTCCGACCTGATGAGAACAGACCGTCATACCTTAACCAAAACCTTTCACTCCCTATTGTCCAACTATACGCACAACTCAGACTTAACCGTTTCAGCGTTAAACTTGGGCCCCACTACATCAAGCTTGAAACAAGATGTCCACTTTGCACGTCTCACGCCCCCAACAATGTACAACATGTTTGATTGTAGACCCCTCAACACCGAACGCCAAACACTTCTAAAAAACTACATCACCGATGAATCCTGTTGCTCCCAGGAAAAACTAGTCAACATTCTCACCATCACACCTGATGACCCCAATAAGTACTTTTCAAATATATTTCTATTTTGGAATAATGTTGCTAAATACCTCGATCTATGCACTGACTATTTATAGAATTTTCTCTCATTTTGAGTTATAATAATCTCTATATATTTGTAAATAACAAAATGATTGTGATTTGCAAGGGCTAATGGCCATTTATGCAATAAAGACATACATACATACATACATACATACATACATACAAGTAAGATAATCTTAATACGAGCTGGATTGAAATACTGTACAGGATTTGGCTATTTTGTTATTAAAAATTTGTAATATAATTTGCAATACATACATATGTACTTCTATTTGAAATACATAGTTTGTCATTTCCGGTATGTATTCTAGTATTAAATAATTGACACTTTGTTTAGTCAAGACAAATTATAATTACCCACATCACAAAATAAAATAGAACAGCGCATTTGACAACTTCTTTACGAGAGAGCCTGTCATGCATCGGTTGATGTTCGTTCATATAAGAAATTATGAAAATCAGTTACCATGAATTTCCATGATTTTTTTGTCACTATAATAGAAGTAAGTAAATATATATGTACATATGTATGTATGTGTACACATGTATATGTCACATTAGCCCTTCATTTAAGGAATAAATACATATTATCTATTCATCTTCATTTTCGTTCATGATGCATTTATGTATATCCGAACTTGCCCTGCCCCTTTAGGTTCAGAGTTTACATTGAAAGTTTACATTGAAAATCTGTACATATGTCTTTTCGCTCCCAACTTATCAAGGGGACAGACAGACAGACGACATATACATATAAGCATCTTGTTTCCATTCCTTAATAATGACAAATATCAAGGGATTCAAAATCTGAGATGAAAGTAAAGCAATAAAAAACAACGATGATCATGATATTGTAAATATTATGTGAAGTGTGAATATGCAAAAATTACGCACGATACGTGCTTTACTATAAAACCTTGCATTGAAGCTTGTTATTTGTCTATCGAATTAAAAACAATGCATTAAAAAACAAAAACCTGTTGAAACCACAGAGAGTGAGAAAGAGGCAATGGCAGCGGAAGCTCTGGGACACCTGTACTGCTGAAATCTGTTCGCATATGTACATTATGATTTGGTAATAACTTCCTACCGGATTGGTAGTTGTTTCTGAGCGGTAAATTTTTCATTACCACAACGTCAATTCCCGTTATTACCGTACCGGTAGAGTCATACATACATATTTATATTCACACTTATTAGTAATGATTTAATACCAGTTGTCTAAGAGTGTGGATACATTGTAGGATAGGGGAGGGAGTGGTTTATATAATATGGGCAGATGATGGGTACATAAATAATATAAGGAAATTGTCCCACGTTTCCGCAGCCACTGGGTGAGGAGATGGTGATTGACAATATGAATGAATCCATTAGTGATATCAGGAAATGTAGTTATTACAACCCAAGTAGCAATTCAGAGATTGCAAATGCACGTAGATGCTAGTTCAACATTCATGAATGACTGCATAGTAAAGTAACCTGTATGTACATATATATATGTATATGTATGTAAATATAACATGTAGAAGATTTGCATATCGGAATAGATTTTTTACACATTTTCTTGCATCTTAAATTTTGGCGTCCTATATACGAATTTCATTCAATAACATTACGTCTTGTTAAGAATTGGGACGAATTGATCGGTCAATTTCAAGTTTGAATGTAGGGAGTACATATGAATTTATGTGTTTGCAAATGTGTCAGCCGCATGTCAATAAAACAACCCTTGGCTTTATTATTCAAGAATCAAATACATAAAAATATGCATATTTGTATATAAGCCATGCGTTAAATTGGGGCAATAATTCTTCTTCCGGATTCGCATTATTTTCCAATCGCAGGTTGCTATTGTTTTTTATGCGTCATTTGACACTAGGCTTTGGTCAGATTCGCTTCGCATTACCGTAACATATTTCAAATTAAGAAAATACGTAACAATGTCCAGCTACATGTCTTTTGGAACAATATTTGGGAATGGAAAATATCTCCTGGGAAGAAAACTAGGTTTGAGGTGAATTGCTTAAATACATTTTAGTGTAGTTTATAATGTGATTTTATTTACGTAAGGTTCTGGGTCTCACGGGGACGTGTATTACGGAAAAGACCTGCATTCTGAAGAGGTAATTTCTAAAGAAATCAGTGATCAGTTAGCGTATTTAGGATTGGATGGCCAAAATCGTCAAATCAACACTTTTTAACTATTTCTCGGCTCTGAGAATTTATTTAGGAATTATGGGCAAGCAATTCGTAATGAGTGAGTTAATTAATATAATGGTGATAAGGTTTTGTAATTACGGGCAACCAGTTTCGATGAGTTCCAATTTTTCTGAAGACTTACATACATATTAAACTTTAGATGTATATATTTTTTTATATTCCGATGCCTGAAGATGACTGTGGGTCACTGAAAGCTTGCAATTTTTCAATAAATCAAATATTAGCCTCGAAAAGCGCAGAGATGTCTATTTTTTAATTGACAAATATCTGCTGTACAAATTTGTCCAGAATTTGTAAATATAAATATTCCCAGAGGCGAGAAATGAGTAAGAAATGTGGTGATTTTGATTACGATTTTTGCGACATTTTTTGGTGATGCAGGAAATCGCAATCAAAGTGGAAAGCTGGGACTGCGAAGAAATGTTCTTATCGCACGAGTTCCAAGTTGCAAAAATGCTGGAAGGAGGAACAGGTTTCCCTACCGTTCGGTACATACAAAATATCTACGTTTAGACGAATTCCTTTTTTTGGGATTTGATTAAGCCATGTGCTTCTTTTTTTAAATATGCAGATGGTTTGGGCAAGAAAAACGCCACAATGTTATTGCAATGCAGCTTTTGGGATCATCTTTGAACTCACTCCTTCAACAGAATGGGAACAAGTTTAGCCTCAAAACAGTCCTCTTGTTGGCCGATCAACTCCTTGAACGCGTCGAATATCTTCACAATAAGCGATTCATACACAGGAGCATAAAACCAGAAAAGTAGGAACCAGATAAGATTTGATTTTCTGTCTACACTCTTAGAAATCTAGCAATAATAGCTAACAATAATACCAAGCCGTATTCATAATTCTACCAAAGTGGTATTGATCAGTAATACTGTGTAGTAATAGTTCAGTATTAAAGTTGTACCATAAATATGTATGTATCGATAGCAAATTTTTACTGATCAGCATCACTTCAATACCAAGCGGTAGCAACTTTAATACCGAAATTTCCAACAGGGTATAAACCTTGTAATTTTTGTTTCAAAATTTTTTAGCTTTGCAATTGGACGTCATGACGGGAACACATTGGTAAGTAAATTTAAAGCTAAGTACTTAGGTATGTGGTAAAGTTTGAAGTGAATAGTGCATATGAAATAGTGCATATGCAAAATAAACTTGAAATTGTATCCATATTTATGATCTTGGATGCCATTACAGGTATACATGATAGATTTTGGCAATGCCAAGAGATACCTAAACAAATCTGGGGAACATATCAAATGCAAAGTTTATGAGGAATTGGGACTCGCAAAGTACATAATTCCATATTTGCATACTTTTGTTTGTTTTTATACATATTGTGTTCATATGACATTTTCATTTAATAACCATGTATTTAGTTGCGACTCAAGACATCAATCTATATCCGCTTTGCAAAGGATGGAAAGAAGGTGATATAATTTGGCACATGCTGCACTCTAAATAAAGTTGTATAAAATTTACTCCATGATTCAAAATTATAAACAACTTAGTTTAGTATGTAATTTTCTTAAAATTTTGGAGTGGATTTCTTAATTGGTTTGATTAATTGCAGCCGTCGAGATGACTTAGAGTCACTTGGCTACATGCTCATCTACATGTTGAGAGGATGTCTGCCCTGGGACAATGCAATGAACGATCCCGTACTTTTAAAGCAAGTCAAAATGGGGACCTCCATCAACACTTTATGCAAAGTATGTATTTATGTAAATATGCAACACTTAGATATAAAGCACTTGGAAATTTTGACCATCAAGAAAGTATTTTGAGCGTATTCACGTCAACCCTCGCTTATCTCGCAAATTAAGCCTCGCAACAGGACTTGTGAGATTTTCCAAAGCCTGTGCTGGAAACCTGTAGGATTTTTGTTGCAAATTTACCCTTCAAATATTCATGTTTTTAATTTGTTGTAAGATGCAGTGCAAAGTCATATTTTGCGAATCCCCACTAATTTTGTGAGCCTCAAAAATTCGCTAAAATGATTTGCGAAAAAAAATAAAACGTTGTCATGAGTACGCTCTTTATAAATTAATGATTCATGATAGGGCTGCCCAGAAGAATTTTCGAAATACATGGCTTACGTCCGAAGTCTAAATTTTGAAGAAACTCCGGATTACGCTGTCGTTCGAGAAATGTTCAAAGATTTATTTTTCAACTTGGGATATGAATATGATGCTAAATTTGACTGGATTCCTCAAGAAAAACAAAGCATTTTTACTCCATCCAGACGACAAGGTTTAGAAGTACGGAAAATTTATACGCGTTAATAGTTCTAATTACCTTATGTATATTTTTTGTAAACTTGTGTATTATCCTAGACTTGTAATTCAATATTATTCAATTATTACAATGATCAACTTATTCAATTTATAAAAATAAAAACATGTGTAGGTTCAAAATATGTACGAATTTTTAAATCTCCACACATGAATCCCTCGTTATTACCGTGCCGGTACTGTCATACCGTCACACACATATGTACCTTGGCCAGTAATGATTTAATACCACCTGTCAAAAAGTGTAATGGGGTCAGGGCTATGCATTAACTTCCGCACAAATTGGCACCAAAACAATATGAATCTACAAAACCTTGCAAATTTTCTGAAAAACTTTAAAATACTTGTTTATTCCAGCAAATAGGAATGACATTACATACATATTTTATCAAATTTACATATTTCCCAACCTACATATCATCCTATCTATTTACATAGAGCTAATCTAAGGTTTCACGCGTATGCAAATATTGTCAACTTTTGTTTATCGGATTTTACTTGCGAGTTAGAAAATTTGTTGAGTACGTATTGTTTATTTTAAGACCACTTAAATTTTCGCCCCATGTAATAACCAATTTTTTAACGGAGTCAATATTCTCATTGGCCAAAGCAATCAATGCTAGAACCATTCCGCCCAGCAATATGTAAAATAGGAAGTAAACATCGGTAACTTCGACGCTGTCCCACCCCGAGCTATTATCTGTATTATCAGCCTCGTCGCAACGCTGGTGACTGCTGAAGGTGTCGTATTCTGTGGTGTACTTGTGGTGCAGCCCTGCTTCCCTGATCCGCATTAATCTAAATATTTTAAATTTAAAATTTCAAAAATAAATATGGATGGTATAAATAGTATGTATTTATGCACATTCCGCAAAAATGGAGGTTTAAGTATTTTAAAATTTCAAAAAAATATTGCTTACCCGTAATTAAAATATTCAGTAAACTCGGATGACTTCTTAGCAATGAAGGAGGAATAGATGGGTTTACTGTTTGGAGAGATTGTGACTCGTCGAATATTTCGGCAGATGAAGTCCGTCGAGTAATTTTGAAGTGTCGCTTCCGCATAGAAGTAATCAAAGTAGGCGATCGTAGCTGTGCGATGGGCCGGTTGGAAAAGGTGACTAATTTGTGAGGCACTTTCTACAAGTTCAACGTCCAAAGGTGCACCGTGGTTGGAGAGGGCAGTCTGAAAATTTACTTGTTGTATTATAGGTAAAATTGGGGAATGCCATTTTCAAAATTTTTTGCCAGGTCAATTTGCGAAAAAATCTCATGGTTTTCCAGCAAAAATTTTGGAAAATTTTGCAAAATTCGCAAAATTTCGCAGGTTGTGCTACTTTGAAGTACTTCGCTTAGTTTGCGAAATATGCGAAGGTTGACGTGGACCTGAATATGCCCAAAATGTACGTAAATATGCAAACCTTTAAAATATTCTGCATTGGAAGGCTCTCACTGTGCGCTGTGAACTTGAACCCTGAAGTAATTAAGGCGTGAAAGGACGGAATTTGCGACATTGGTATTGAAAGAGCCGACGTAATGGTGGACGAGTAGAGAATATTGATAAAAAGGCCAAACATGATTCCGACAGCGAAACAGATTCGGAACGTGGTACAAAATTTAGCCTGGCGGACTCTCCCACTCGAAAGATCACAGCCTGGAAATTAAATTCAAAAATTATGTACTGCATGTATCTTTACTCGTTTAAAGGCGGAGGCGAAAGTCAAATTTACCATTGAAAATAATCATGACATAAATTCATACATAGATCTACCTTGTCCGGTCACGAATGTAGTAATCCACCAGACCCAGTTGGGCATACTGTGCGAATTTTCATTTGGAACAATATTCGCTTGAAGTATCCTGATAATTATGCAAACCACGGTTCCATAGAGGACTCAAGTGAAAAAAATTGCTATCCATGACATCAACTCGAATGGTTTCGAGTGTACGTTTCTCATCGGATTGTGCTCAAGGGCTTTGTAGAAGGCGCCATAGCTGAAAATTAAAAAAAAAACATGGGGCACCATACACAAAGCAGGTATGTGATATTTAAATATATAACTCATACTGTGAATGCTGAATGGGTTGGAGCATTGTGTAAATTTTAAATCGTTCCACGGTTTGGCTAGCGAAGTGCAGGCTCAGATCGACATGAGCCACGTCGTCTCCGCTGGTTTGTGGCTGGCTGAGATTTTTATGCACAAATTTTCTCTCCGTTAACGTGTACCTTAAGTAACAAGCAAAGAAAAAGTATTTCAGTATTCAACATTTAAATTACATGATGAGGGTATTCACGACGAGTTCGCATTGTTAGCAAATAACGTCGCAAAAAAGTTTGGTTCAAAACTTATTTGCGAAACTGGTCATCTCCAAGGCTAGTATTTACATATCTGTAAAACAACGTGTATTGCGATGCGAAAATGCTAAATCGTCATGAATTCCCAGAATGTTTTATCCGTAAGTTATGTAAATATGTACATACGAAAAATTTAGAACCAATTTCAAATCTAGAAAGAAGTTTGATGTCATTCGGTTTGATTGCATTAAGCGGTTATCGTAGACACGACATGTGCCCTTAGTTTGGTCGGGAATCTGGCTCCCCTATTTCAAAATTGGAAAAAAAAGTTTGGATTAGAATATAGATAACTTAATAAGGCTTGATACACTCTTAGAAATCTAGTATTAAAATAATACCAAGGTAATAAACAAGTAAAACATGCAATATGCCGCTCGGTATTAAACTTTTACCATTTCAGTGACAAATTTTTACTGACCGCAATAATTTTAATTCCAAGGGTGGCAACTTTAATACCGACAAATCAATACCTGCGTGGCTATACCAGATTTCTAACGGTGTGCATATTTGTATATATAAATTATTTATAAATGTGACTCCTTACATCGATTTGGAAGCTTAATAAAGCCCAATAGAAATTCTTCCTCCTTTGAAAGGACATTGAAGATTGTACTGAATGAAGTTGGTCCAGTCGAAGTGGAAAATTTGATCTCTATTTAAAACAAGTAGCTTATTTTGGTACAACTGTTTCTTGATGTAGTAAAACTCCCAAATTTCAATTGATGAATTGTTTATTAAGAGGAAGAATAGTTTTTGGGTCATTTCCACGCGGAAACGAGTCAAGATTCTTGTAAAGTTTTGGCGATTTGTAGTGATAAAAATTATAGTTGGGGAAGTAGACCCATTCTTGCTTCCATTTTGAATAAGCTGTTGGAAGTCCTGTAATTAGGGGAAAATAATCTTATTTCATTCTAATCTTGGATATTAAAAAAGATGGTTTTTACAATAGAAATGTAAACTATTGCTTCATAATCTCATTTGCATATTTTGACGCATTATTGAGAGGAACCTAAAGTTTATTTAATACGGAATCCTGAAGATGGGCATAGTGAGATTTATGCAAATGCAGTGACCCGCAACATTAATTCTACTATAAATAAATATGTACATATACATAATTACATAGTAAGCACAAATGCGAATTATTGTTGCGGGTCACCTCATTTGAATAGATGTTACTACATATGTATCGGCCCCTTTAAAAATCTGACATTATCACATCACACCTTCACACTGCATGACAAATTTCTTACCACACGATTGATGTCCAGGTATGTAACCGATATATAGATCCGTATAAATTTATAAAACACTAAGTAAAAGTTGATCATCAACTCGTACGCAGTTCGATCAGGGGAATAATAACACACATTAGAATCGCTAATTATAACCAGATCAGAATTAATCAAGATAAAAGAGCAAGTTAAAAATATACAGATCATTGTAAATTTCATGATCTCAAGTAAAGGTTTTCAGCGTATTTTAGTTTTATTTTTAGTCTTTTACTAATGTTTCTTTTATTCGTTTCGTTACACAGCCGGATATGTAGAGCTACAAACAAGTGCTACACATAAATACATACATCAAAAGAAAAATCAATTGCATAAATATTTATTTACTTCATGAAAATACAATTTTGTCTAATGGAAATTGGAACTTGAATTCAATATTTTTTATCAAGTACAATTCAATTTAATCCTTTGTGCAAAGGTCATGATAACATCTTGGAGATAAGAAACACTTAACAGTTATGAAAAGAATGAGGAATTGTGGGTGAGGGTGCACGAGAATTGTGTTGCATATAAATGTACCAACATTATTCATGTTTATGTACAAATGATATACGGATGTCCAAATGTGCATGCATTCTCAGAGAAGACATCACCCAAATACTCAATCAAATAATGGAACAAACTTCATAAACCCTCCCAGTATTCTGGGTATTTATGTACATACTGCACTGCATCGCAAGCAGAGACCTTAATTGAATATAAAATGGTTTTAAATAATTTTTCTCGATTTTTGACATCAGGTCCATTACCATAACTCATGGAGTAACACATACATATGTATTTATTGCCTTGAAAACACGTAGTACCCTTTCAAATTAAAAAATAAATATTAACAATTAAGTGACAATGTTCGGGTCCAAACACCTAAAAAAAACTTTCCATCCATCCCACCACAACAAAAACAAAACAACGTAACAAACGACGACCAGCCCCTCATAAATCTTATGCACAAAAGCAAAGGAACAAATGGGACCACAAGTGCAGGCACCTTGACCCTGTCCTTGCCAAGTGTCACTCGTCCAAACCAACTGTGAATGAGTGTGAAAATGAGGACATACATAAAATAGGATGAAAAGGGCTCACTTTGAGTGAATCAAATGTATTCATTCATTCACGAATCACCATATGAATCTTAATCCTCGTCGGCCTGAAGCTGCCAGTATCAGAACCCAGTCTTGCACTGTGTCTTCCTTTCTTTATACGGAATGCGACGGATGCTTGGTTAGTTAAAAATATTTAGGTAAATCCAGGAATTATGGAGCAAGGTGAAGGTTCAGGTGGGCGGAATATGGGTCACGGTGGTGTTTATATTTTCCTGGAACCAAATTCATAATCCTTGACCTCAAAAAGATTTTACCTTCCAAGGGATTTATGTAGGATGGAGAATCCCTAATAAAACTTTCCATCCATTCACCCTGTATTTAGGAGCAGGGTATAAAAACCTCAAAATCATCAAAAAACCGTCCAATCCAGTCGGTAGCAGATTTGAAAGCAATCGTCTCATCCTGCAACAACCCACAGAAAATTATCCGTATCTTCTTCCGTCATTCGGGCCAAATCAGGTAATTACCCGTAATATATTAAATACTGGCAGTGAGTTAAATACATACATACATTTTATGAGAAGTTGTTTAGAAAATGCTTCAATTTTTTCTGATTGTCTTCAATTTGTAAAGAAACGAACTATTTGATTTTGGATTTATGGCGAAGCAAAACTAAATAATTCGTATTAAAATATGCGACATGCTACTCTCTCAACTAACTAGTTGCATTTTTAACCTAATCCTTAAATATTCATAAGTTCATATGTTGAAAAAAAGTTTAGTAATTAACTTGTTATTAGAGAGTGTACATGATTGTAAAAAAATCATTGAACCTTAGAAGCCCAATCACGTTCTACGATTGTATCTTCTTGAGGCTGAACAAGAATAATTTGTGGGAGAATAATTTTAATTAACTTCTGGCGGCAGATTTGAAATTCTTGTAGGTTGCGTGCCCTTCAAGGTTCTCAACGTTATATTCTTTCCCTTGCAGAATGAAGTTGTTGTCGCTCATCCTTCTGGTGGTTTTGGTGGCGTGGAGCTGTTCCATGGCGGAGGCGGTCAAGATTATGCGGTGCAATAAGTCGCCCATTGGGGGAAACATTTGGGATAACAGGGCAACGAAGGCTTGCGGGAAAGAACTTGAGCTTTACTGCTACAACTATAGGGCGAAGCCATACTGCGAAACGGCCACCGAGGAAATCTCCGAAAACTTTAAAGAGTGCTGCAAGCAAAAAGACAGAGAAGGAACTTGGGAAGTTGAGAATTAAGGTAAATTCCCAATTTCTGCATACATACTCTTTTTCCACGCAGGATTGAACTTTTACAGAAATTGAGAATTTTGAGAAACTGAGCAGTCTCAAATTCCTCCCTGCGGATAAGTAAAATTCTTCTGAGACTGACAGTTTCTCAGAATTCTGAATTTCTGTAAAAGTTCAATCCTGCGTGGATGATAAGTATTGTAAGAGAACACATATTACGTCATCATTTAGTGGGTGGGTGGTTTAGGACTTTCTATCTTTTCCATGTTAAAATTCGGTATCCTTTAATGTATACGTTGGGTGGGGGAGGGGGTGCCTGAAATCGAGAAGTTTTTATGACGTAATATGTGGATGGCTCTTAATGACGCTTTATTTATATTATTTTTGATACTTTAAATGCAGATTGGCGATCAAGTATGTACATACATACAACACGACACCGCAGTGTGGAGACTTTGCAGCAAGAAAATTTTAACATTCTGTCGATTTGACTAATTTCAAACAAATTTTAAAAAATCAATTGGCACAATTTCATGTGTATCATTTATTTATTAATAAGATGCTCACAGTACAAAATAATAAATATGTAATTAATTCCAAAAAAAGAAGTCTAAACAATAAAATATCCATAATTTAATCGTAGCCTGTATTGAGCATTTTTCAATTTTGTTTACATATATTCATAGAATTTCTGGGTGAATGTATGTACATACATGCAGTTTATGAATACATAATATTTCTCTGATACAATAAATACATGCATTATTAATTTTCACTGCCTTCATGTATAACACAACATGCAAACAAATACACATGCAAACCAAGTCAAATATCATATGCCTATATCCATATATAATCTGTTCAGTTACGCAACACTAAATATTATTCGCTGTTTTTTAGCATGCATTTACACAAACATATTTACATACTCGTGCAATCATCTACTCTCCGTCATTAACTCAGCTGGAATACTTAAAGTGAAAAACATTACAATTGTTTACAATACTTTTTTCTTGTTAAATTTACAGTGTAAATGTTGAAATATGTAGTGATCCAACACCAATAAGTTTTAAGTAAAGAATATATAAGTACGTATCATGGCATCTACTTCTGAAGTAAAATGTAATTTGCCATGTAAGTGCCCATTCCTTCCAGATTACACATTGCAACGCATATTTGACGGTGGAGCGTTCGGCGTTGTCTCCCAAATCGAAAAATTCGAAGGTGAAGATTTAAAAAAGCTGGCTCTCAAACGAATTTTTTTACCAGACAGGTACATAATTCTCACTCTTTTAGTGTAATGCTCGTTCAATGACTGCTAACTGATTGGTAATTTATGATATAGTACAACTCATGTAGAAAATATTACAAATAACCTCCCAGAAATACGAGCAATGAAATGGTTTAAGAGTTATCGTCATCCCAATGTCATTCGCATTCATGGAGTACGTGTCGACTACCAGTCGGAAGAGTGGCTGTCTAAAAATGATCCTCTCTACAAGGAACGGTAAGAATCTGATTTAGTTAATATATAAATTAATTATAACAAATTATAACAAATTAAGGGGTGAAGCGAAGTGAAATCCCTTTATGGAAATGTCTTGTCCGTCTGTCTGTATCCAGGATAACTTTAGAACGTATTCGAATTTCGACATGCGGTATTCGCCAACGTGTTTCTAATTTTTGAAGTATGAATATATCTCGAAAATGGGTGTGGTAGGTCATTAGGTTACGACGCCACGGGGATGGGGCCAATGGTCAAAGATGACAAATTTGTATTTTAACGGTTTTAGACGTAGTTTGGGGAGGAGAAATCGACATATTTAGTTTTGACGAGCCACCGTGTCGCTTCACCCCTTTGCTACTTTCGTTTTCAACGACTGTTTATTCATTATCCTAACGAAATTAACAATTTGATTCAACTCTGAAACAGCTTAAGCAGGGACGATCAATCCTCAAGTATATGTGAAGATGAAGACGAAAATACAGAATCAATACAGACATCTGTAACAGTGATATCCATCCTACAAGAATTATGTTATGGCCCTTTATCCCAAGTAATTCTTAATCATTTAAGTGACACGGCCAAAACCAATCAACGTGATAGGAAATTAATGCTGAATTTCTCTATCCAAATATCCGATGGTCTACGATACTTGCATGACAAGGGGATCATTCATCGCGACTTGAAACCAGACAATATTCTAGTAAATTTTGAAAGTAGAAGAGCCATTGTTTTAAAAATAGCAGATTTTGGACTATCTAAATTTAGTGAGAAGACAAGTTTGCCAGTTGTGATGACGGGAGATATTGGTACTCGTAACTTTATGGCACCTGAACAGGTTAAAGTTTTAGTTTAAAAAATGAGTATCTACTCTTCGTTCAAAATTGATATGCAGTAAAGTCCTCAAAATTTTTTAAGAAATCAAATTTCCTAAGTTTCTGGATGCTATTGAAAAATGATTTATCCGTAACTGTCCATATTTATTCTCCATTTAAAATGAAAATCACATGAAAGTTGAAGAAACAATGTATTATTAAACAAAATCAAGTCATGGAAAACAGCAACTGCCAAATGGCCTTTCAGATTTTTTACTGCTTATTAATTTTGAACGAACAGTAGCCTTATCAAAATATTTTGTTAATTTGCTAATAAATTCTTTAGGTTGGGGTATCATACACGAATAAGGTGGACATTTACTCCCTTGGATTAATCATTTTTGTTTTATACACAATATTTCCTGGTGATACTGAAGAAAAAATCCTAAAAAACCGAAATTCCGAGTTTCGTAAATTAAAGGAAACTTTAAAACTTCCGGATTCATTCTGTCAAAAAATTGTATGTAAATCAACTTATTTTAAGTTTTAAATCTATATTTTTATCAAACATACACATACATATTTCAGGGTGGATCTATCATTCAAATGATTTCCAATAATCCAGATCTACGCCCAAGCGCATCAGATTTATTTACTACACTGACCCACTTACAAAGCACTAATTACACTTCGTCCCCACCACTTTGGTATGGCCAAAATCGTCACAACCCAAATTTTACGGGAAAAATCAGCGAATTAGGAAAACTCTCCGATTTATTCTGCAATCCAGCCACTCAACTAATACTTCTGACCGGAAATGCCCTCATGGGTAAATCCGAACTAGCACTACGATTCGCTGAAGACATGTACAGAACCGGAAAAGTTTCAGTTACTTGGCTAGACGCGAATAAGGGATCATTTCAAAATCAGATTCACAAACTTGCTCGAGCCCTTTCCATAAGTGTGCGAGAAGATTCTGGCAAAATTCTAAAAATGAGCAGTATCATTGAAGCAATTCGACTCAAACTAGAACCGACTAGGTGGCTCCTAATTTTTAATGATTGTCTCAATTTTAACATAACCACGCTTGATTCTTTTCGAGAAGATGTGAAGGAACAAAATCTATTTATAATTATTACTGCAAGGAATATTACATTAACAGAAAAAGAACCTGGTAAAACTCACGCTCCAATCGTACTAGAAATTGGAGAAATGGATGAATCAGAGTGTGCCAAAATTGTAACAAGTATTGTCCCGGAAACTATTCAAATCCCAGAACGTCTTTATAGCCAATTAAAGCATGTACCACTTCTGGTACGACTTGCAGCTCAATATATAAAAGAGGAAGTTAAAACGGATCAAAACTTCAATTTTGAGACATATTTGCAATTGTTGGATGCTGAATTGTCGTACGATTTAAGAAACGCTATACCCAAGGCTGACACCACGGGGGATGAATTGCGGCTAAATGACGACCCCAACGGAAAGATGATTACGGCCGTGGTGAATCTAACTTTATCTCGGATCTATGCAGAAATGTGTGTAATTCCCGAGCGTGAGACCAATATTAACAGAATAATACCATTTTGGCCACCGGAATTTTTTAAGTTGAGCGATCTCACGGATATTTCTGCAGAAAATAAGATTCAAGCTGAATTGATGGAAAAATATGGAATTATTAGGGTAGCAAAGAATGGAAGGGTGGTTCATATTTATCATACGCATTCAGCAAGAAGGTGTCCATCCAATGTTCAATATTACGAAGGGGTAGAGGCTTTTAAGAATAATAAGTATTTGGAATTACATGCGCCTGTTCCCTTCAACCATTGGAAATGGCAACAACGACTTTTTTATAGATGCTAGTGTTTAATGCTATTCGAAAAAAGAGAAATAAAAAAGAAAATAATTGATTTACTTGATGCACTCTCATGGAGTACTAATTTCCGAAATTTCCTCATTTCGACTAATACTAAGTACAACGATCCTACGACCTAGTTGATAATACTTATACTTGGAATATACTTAGAAATACGTTTTAAAACGTTTGGAAATATTAATTTAGCTTTATTAATAATTTGTTGTGTTCAATTATATTTTTATTTCGATTATATATGTATTCAAACATGTTTTTCTCCAAATATTGAATACTTACAATAAATTATCAAACGAATTATTAGTTTTTAGCGATACAATAATTAATTTCCCAAAAATTATTCCGTTCAGATTGTAGTAAATATTGCCAGATGCAAAATTCCCTAGCGTTGCAACCCCTTCCAAAAGTTGAGCCGCTCGTTAAACGGTTCAGAAATCATTTTGGGTTCGCGACAAATGTGCATGTACTTGAGGGGCTCGTAACCCCTCTGGGCGGACCAGTGTTGTCCAAAGAAATCAAGAGAACAGGCTGGATTGTGCTTGTCCAATTTCACGAACTGCACGAGACATTCAACAATCGCTTTAGAAACGTCGTAGTCCGGACTTTTCTGGGGGACGTAGCACATGGCGGGCATATACCATTGCATAGCGAGACCGTCCCCGTGACAAGACCCTGGAGGAAAAATATTTTTAAAAAAAATGAGAACCAGCCATTACAAAGTTTTCATAGTTTTTGGAAAGACCAGAGAAGTAAAAGTCGGATAAGGTGCTAAAAACTAGAATTTTTTTAATCTTTTATAAACTGTTGTTGAAATAAATGTGTAAAAATTAAAATTTAGAGAGATCTAATCTAATTCTGCATTGAGCGTACTCACGATAACGGTTTATTTCGTATCGCAACTTATTTTGAAAACTTGTAAACCTGAAAAAATTGTGACGTGAGAGGATTCAGAAAGATATGATTCCGAAAATTTCTAGCAGTTATGTTTCCTTGAATTATTTACAATTTCTGAAGAATTGAATAGAGAAGTTTTCGAAATAATAAATATTGTGCAATAAAACATGACCAGTTGCTGGGTGAAATTGAAAAAAAAAATCTTATGGTTTTCCAACAATAAATTTTGACAAAACTTTGGCGAAATCTGGAAAACTTTCCAAAACTTCGCTAGTTTAAGCTCAATATACGAATGATGACGTGAGTAACCCCATTGAAGTATTCTTCTCAAAAACTCTTCATTTAAAAAAAATAATAAATTTCCTGACAAACTCACCATATTTTGGAATTTCCTCTTTCTTAATTTTCTCCTTGATCCATTTCTTCCCCTTGATTTTGATCAGCTCGACGAGAGGATGAGCATCCCCTCCGATGGCGAGGACCATGTCGGCCAAACTGTATTTGCCGTGATAGTCGTAATAATAGCAAAAGAGGGGATTTCTTAGGTCGTCGCCATAATTTGCTAGGGCGGCCGCGTGTGCTGTCATCGCATTGTGGAAGCCAAGATTCCAGATGCAGTCGGAGAAGAGATGCGTCATCTCCTGCATCTTTTCCATCGGTTTGGCTGGGTCAAATTCTCCCGCGCAATAGAGGTCTTTCGTTGCGTCCAGGATCGTCCCGTCTACTTCTGGGGGAAAGAAGAGAAAGGGGGCGAGAGTTTTGCCCCAGTTTTCGGACAGTTCTTGACACGTGGTTTTGTTGGTTAGGGCGGCTATTTAAAGATTGAAAGCGGCGAATTAAAATACAGTAATAAGGCGAATAAAGTAGTGACTTCACTTTATTGATTAAGGTTACGTAGGATCACAATTTGGGTGCCATAGATTTTTGATCTTACTCTACCCCTATTATATGCTTTTAAATGCAAATTTCTAAGATTAGATCAATTTCATGAGTTTTGCGATACATGCAACTTTGTAATTCCTGAAGCTCATTTTTGGTACAACAAAACCTGTTTTACTACAAACAAAAAGGCTAACATATATATTTTCCAGGAAATTTATTATGACAATAGCAAATAAAGCACCCAATTTTAAAGATTTCCAGGTTTTGAAGTACCAAAAATTAGCTTCATACATTAAAGTATCGAAATTTGCACTTGTCTCAGAACTAGTCAAAACTCATGAAATTAATGGCATTATAGACATTTGCATTATAGACACATTGAACGGGTCTAGAGTGAGACTAAAAATCAATTACGTAGTTATTCCAACTTTGCGTTGTAAAAATAATTACTGGACAGGATTCGATCCCGGGAATTAATTAAATTTTCCGGCGAATTTGAAGTTTCCATTTCAAACTTACGTGTAGCAAGTAAGATCCCTTCGCCCGAATTTACGCCTACCATGTATGGAACCTTATTAAAATTCCCGCTGTTAATTATCCTTTGAGGATGCTCGGTAATCATGGCTTGCCCGTCGCCAAAATCGAACTCGATGGTGGGCCGAAAGTTGTCAAACATGCCGAGCTGGACGGAAGCAATTGTCGCCGTGTCTAAAGTTTTCATCTGGAAAATCATCTTTTGTGTGTCCTCTGTCGGGCAGCGTAGAATTTCGGCGAGTCGCCTCGTTAATTTAGCCGGGTTAGGATGAATTGCGAATGGTAGGGTTGCAAACCCACTTTGGGACACGGCCTTGTGGAATAGCCCTAAATTTGCGAATAATTAGAAATTTGCATTTGGAGTCAATTGAGGCGATATGATACATACCTGTGCTTAATCGAGAGAGCACGTGGAAATGGACAGACGCTCCGCCGGCAGATTCTCCTAAAAATGATGAAATTTCAAATAAGCTTCAAATTTTACAATCGGTGTGCATTTAACGAGTCAACGTCTTATTTCAAAACTCATTTTGTTTGTGAAATACATAATGGGGGTATTCATTACGAGTTCGCATCGTTGTTAGCATAAAATAAAGTTCGCAAGTTTGCAAAAAATGGCTTGAAAATTCATCTAAGAACTTCTGCATTTCTAAGTCTAGTATTTAGTTCACTTTTTTTCAAAATTACGTTACGATGCGAACATGCGAACTCGCAATGGATGAATACCCTGAATATATATAATTTTACCCGCAATTGTTACATCATGAGGATCACCGCCAAATCCAGCAATATTGTGGTGTACCCATCTTAACGCCATGTTTTGATCCTTCAACCCCATGTTGCCTCTCACGACGCCATCCCCAGTGTCCAAGAAGCCTGAAGAGGTTAACAGGATTAATTTAATCTAATATCTATTTATTACTTGTTTATTTAGGTAGATTCAAAATAAGGTGACACGTACCAAAGCATCCGAGTCGATAATTGACAGCAACAACAACGACGTCATGCTCCATGAAGTAATCCGGCTTGTAGTCATTTCCGGACCTGAAAAATATGACGGTGTAAACTGAGTCATACCGAGTTTTTTTGACGCGGATGACATAATTTTAACTTTTTCTTTAAAGTCTTTTACTTCATAAGTTTTGAAATGTATTGGGGTATTCATGACAAGCTTTCATTGTTATATAGTAAAAACGTCTCAACAATTGACCTTCAAAATTTAGCATGGTAACTCGCGATGAATACCCCCAATGTTCATAATTTTGCGAGATTTTGCCAAATATTTTGGAATATAGCTTACCCCATGATAAAGGAGCCTCCATGAAACCACACCAGGACCGGAAGTCGTGATCCTTCCGCAATCTTTTTATGTAAAAATAAACCGAAACTTTTGTTTAATTCTAGTTTTTTAATGTATAAGATGAGATTAGTTTTCATACGATGGGGGTATGCACGTCAACAAAGAGACAGTCCTCGCTTCCTATCACTTTTTGCGAAACGGCGTCAAACTGGGCTGCTTTGTCCCCGTTTTTCGTCGCATCTCGTACCCCAGGCCAGTGCTCGTTCCAGGGTTGCGGTGGCTAAGAAATTGTTATTACCAAATTAATTAATTAAAAAGACGTATTATGTCTTTAATTAGGATAAAGCTGGAAGCAAATTTAAGCAATGGTACAATAACATAAATTATTAAAATATGCAAATATGTATCTATGCAAAAAATATGTATGTATTTACATAAATGCATGTTCATTCATGCCCTCATGCAATTAAAGCCAAATGTGCATTAATGTGTTAAAGTGAGAAATGTATTTACAAAAATTTAATTTAATTCCGTATTTTAATTCTTGAAGAATTTAGTTATAAAATATTTATAGAAATGGTTAATTTGCCAATTTATGTATGTAAATTTGCCAACGGATTATGGAAATTTACAAAAAAACTTACCTCGAAGCGTAACTCATACAAGGGTGGCTTTGCATACGGTATCCCCAAATATTGGAAATATTTCCGTCCGTCGCGTGACGTGGAAGTGCGACCTTGTAATTTCCCACACGGCGTATCCACCACCGGCGAAGGGACCGTGGGCTTGGTCATGGCGGCAATATTCTTTCGAATCACGTACGCCGCGTTCATATTGACTATGTATTTATTTAGACACTTATTACTTCAAAATTATGCAAATGGCGTAAAAACCTGGAGACAAACTAAGCCCTCAACTAACCCAGTGAACGAGTAAGAGAAGAATGCGTACAGAACAAAAATCTGACTGTGCAAATTGATTAAGTAATTTGTCATGTTCTCCATGGCACTTTTGCAGATTAAACGGACCAAAGTACATACAATGCGGATGGAAGAGAGAAGAGATGCAGATTAGATTGGAAAATTCGCACATGGATGGTTCAGGTTCAATTAGTGGTTCATAAGTACATACGTGCATATGTATGTACCAACTCCCACAATGACTGATCCCGGTCTGTGTATGTATATACACTTGCGATAAATGACAAATATGGTGACAAATTCAATGCCGGCTTATCATCTAATTGGAATTGGACAATAATGTGTAATATATTACCCAATTTGTTTATGACCATGATTGATCTGTTATGGACAGGTAATTGTTATTGGGGAACTTGAAGCGTGGAAAATTACTTGTTTACGAAGATAATCACGGCCTCGTGTACCAAAACGCTTATGTATGTACACAAGTATTTATGTATCGGCTCGAACAATGGTATTGAGCACATATTTTTTCGATCAGTATAGTGTGACTCTTTTCACAAATCCTCTTAAGTAACATTAATATGTACTATTTAGTTGCTAAGTTTACATATCTTTTTACATGCTCGTTGTCATCTATGTCTATGGCAACCTTACCAAATTCTGCCAAAAAATGTAGACGTACAAACATATAAAGTATGCATGTATACACGTCTATGGTAGGTATCTACTATCCTCGCATTTAGGCGTGTCACCTCATTTGCATAAATCTCACTATGCCCATTTTCGGCGATACGGGCTCTCCGTGTTGGACAAACTCTATGTCTCTCGCGAATGCGTCAAATTATGCAAGTGAGGTGACCGGCTATAAAAATTCGACAGTATGTACATATTTTAAATCTTAAGTTGTATTAAAGCAATTGACGTAGTAACTGGTAACTTATAAAATCTGTATGTTTGTACGTACATTTCGTTAATATTAAACCGGGTACACATTTTATCGATTTCATCGACGAAATATACCTTGCAAATATAAATACAAATTTGTATATGTATAATTTTAATCAGCTAATGTACATATGCAGCTACATTCCATAACCAATAATCCATCTGTGAATGTACATACGTACATTCTAAATAATTCGGTAACGATTATAACGAGAAAGTAACTTATTTGACTTTAAATTAAATTAATTATACTAATAAGTTGTTAATTTGGTAATCATTTGTTACTGATTAGCTATATGTAAATGATACTACGGTATTTTTTAATAACACATTTACATATAACCAGTCGGTGATAAATTTATAACCATACATATGGGTAAACTAATACATCACAGGACTTTTTTCTGCTTTCGCCTTCATCAAACATTTTTATTTTTAATTCGATATTTTTTTAATTTCAATTTTATTTTCTACTTACAATTTCAAAACGACGCCGATACGTGACATTTTTTGATCTAAATTTTGTCCTTTTTAAAAAGGTTAAAATTTCAAATCAGCCTGAAAAATTTGAACTCGTCAATCTTTGCAGAAAGTAAATTTACTTTCTGGTTAACATAATTATTAAGAGTGCACATATGTATACGTGCGCATCGACAGGCTTAAAACTCAATTTGAGTCTTTACATTACTTTTTCACAATTTCTTTAAATATTTAGCTCCAGGAAGTTCATATTAAAAAAATGAACGGAACAATTCTGAAAATTGTTGGCGCCGTAAGGAATAATAAATTGCATTTTTAATAATAAAATATCGCTTTCTTCATAATATTTTCCATTAATAGGAATGGAAAGGGGTTCTAAACGTGGCTACAGAAATTACCGGATCTAAAACATTTATTTCCGGAGCCGCATTTGAAATGCTGCTTGATCTGCAGTTCATTTTAAACTTTAAGTAAAATAAATAAAATATACATAAATTAGCAAAAAGTAAACCATTATGTAATTGTTTTGTGCATATTTAAGGCCGGAATTTACCGTTGTGGATGATTACTTTCCGGATCATCCCACCAACTCCAGCATAGCTTATCACCTCTCGGTAAAGAATGCTGACATCGCGATCGGCCTTCTCTACTACGTGCTACCCCGTTTGGCGCATGGCTCAATCTTAGTTCCCCTTGGAAATGAACCGTATGTACATATGCAAAAGTTAACTTCTGACCAAAACTAGTAAATAATTTATATTTCCCGCGGTTTAGATTCCAAGCCTATTTTCTGCAACCTAGCGTAAAAAACGAGTCAGTGTACCATAAGCCATTGCCGATATCCCTCCTACTCTCGATGGTACTCTTATTAGCGATAATTTGCATCTTGACCATCTTATCGTCGAAAAATAGTACCGTTGTCGAACTTTCGTTCAGAGATTGGATAGTCGTCATGCTTAAAAGCGTATTTTGGGCGTTTGCTACAATAAGTCAACAAGGTAAGTTTTATGAAGAGAATTTACTTGCTTATAAGAATCACGGAGCTGGATATTTACTTATAGACAGCGAGTTACTCCGAGAAACCATGGTCAAATTTGTACGAAGAAATATGCATAGTTATGAATAATTGATAATGCATTCAAAATTTTTTGTGGTGGAAAATTTAATGAAAGTTACAGTTAAAATTTCGAAGTTTAAAATACTGAATTGTCTTTTTAACCAAAAATTAAACTGTGAAAAAACGGAAAGACTCCACCACGAGGTTTAAGGGATCCTGACTTTGTTCCATTCCAACCTACTCTGTAAAACTAGTAATCCCCCTAAATATCCAATTCTGTGATAAGAATGCACAGGGTGAATGAATATGATTTTGTGCGCTTTTTAGGAAGGAGCTGTAAACCACTGACAATGCAATTTATTCACATAGTTCTACTGTCGGGAGGACTCATGTGTTCAACAATGTTATACATTTACTATGCTGCCTCCATTCTTTCGTATTTTAACAGGGATGTTGTCGAGACGATTCAAAATTTTACGCAACTGTTGATCTCAAGCTTCTCGGTGTATACAGTTTCCTCCGTGACGTCAACCCTCTTAGAAAACCATGGCGTTACTCATGAAACATTTACAGATGTGGGACAGAATGCCTCAATTTTAAAGATTTTCCAAAGAGGGCACGCCCATCTCGACACGGACGATATTTTCTATCCAGACGCAGAATCTCTGGGAATACCAAACTCACAAGTTTGTACTGTATCGAAAGTGAAAGTCTTGAAGGGAGGTGGCTTAACGTCAGGGTTTTACTGTCAACAAGGATTCGAACATAGGGAAGGGTTCAATTTTGGGTAGGTAATTTTGCACTGATCCTCAAGTTTGAAAATTTTTTTTGCACGGAAAAATTGATTGTTTCTGAGCGATTTTGGTTTCAAATCAAGTTTTAGATATGTTCTATCTAGAAATACCTGAGATTAACGTGGCATTTTATATAGGTTTCGAGTTTGAATTGTGTCTCAACTTTCCCTTCTCCCATATATTCAAACGGCGATTTTGAAATATATTCATCTACGTGGGTTTTTTGAAGATTTTAACGCATCTTCAAATCGTTAATTTTTAGGTTTATAAAGTTACGAGTGTAGAATTTTGATTTTTTTGTTTAATTAAACAATAAATATAAAATGAATGAAAAATAATAAGTAAAAACTAAACGCTTTCTCATTGAACAGAAAAATCAACACGCGTAACTTTGTATTTTGATACACCTAGAAATCGATAATTTTTAAGTTTATCAAAATCTTCATATTGTAAAAAAACTCACGGAGATGAATAGGTTTCAAAATCGCCATTTGAATATATGGAATCGGGGAAAGTTGAGACAACAATTCAAACTCAAACCCTGCATACAATGCCACCTTAAGTTAAAAGTCATACCATATCCGGAAAAGGTCTTTCTGGATTATATACGTACATGTAAATTAATTTTGACAAGTCGATTATTTTTATTACAGAATTTTAAGGATATGTGAGACTGGACTAGCGCGCAGATACACAGAAGCTTATCGGATCGATATGGTCGCCCAATGTTCGAAACGTTATATACGTTACCATGATCACTTGGGGTTGAATGAAGTATCGCTTGCATTTCTTGGATATTTCTTTTATATAATTTTTGCTATATTGATATTAATGGGGGAGTGGTGTTGGTTTAAAGGATTTGTGCGTTATCATTGATTATACATGCACAAATAGTTATCCCAGTGGCAAAACCTCGATTCAAGATGTACGATTCCAGTGCACAAATGCTTTATGTGGTACTTTAATGTGAGTATTTCCTCTTAATCCTATACGTAAATATATTCATTATACTTAAGTATAAGATTTATAGTCAAATTTATGCAGCTCTTCAAGAAACCTTTTAAAATATTCAAATTTTCTATTTTAAAATCTACACTGGAATACTAAACATTTTCTAATTAATCAAAATTTTATGAACCCATGTTAACTTATATACAGTATCCCACTTAATTGTAGATGCAGTGCATGCATGCATTATATAAATCACAAATTCTCCAAAACGGGTCAATATTTCAAATTGATTTTTACACCAATTATCAACCATATTTCATACTACAATCGTGCAAAATTTCAAATGAGTTGGTCTAAAACTGATGAAGTTATAGATTTTTAAATGTCAAAAGGTTGCAAATTGCACGCCACAAAATTGTAGATGCAGCCGAGTTTAATTATGATACCGACCCAGTCTTTTAGTGTAGATACAAATTTCGTTCGGGATTGCTTATTCCCCATAAGAATAGTTGTTTGAGTTGTCAATAAAAAATATTTTGTGAAAATTTTATTTCAAAATAGTACATAACCACGAGGTCAATCTAGAAATTCGAACAGAAATTCTTGCGGGTCATGAAAATGGGTAAAGTTATGGAAAAACTGGCGAAAAATTTGAAACTTAAAGATAACTAGTACAATCTATTGTCCAAAAAGAGGAATTAAATGCCAACTCATTTTATCCATCACGAACAGAGTCTAAATAGCCGTTCATCGCCATGTCATGACAGACTTATAAGAACAGTGAGGATAGTCCTCGTCTGCTCACACCAAAACTTGCGAGCGGTGTCCAAAGCGACCTTTTTACTGATGTCCACTTATAAAAGAGTAGACACAGGCCGATATTCACTGAATTATCTGGAGATTTTCCAAAATAAACACCATAGATCTCAGTGGGACACCACAAGAAATCCTTACCTTTAATAAGCCAAACACAGAAGGTCCGCTTGTGCCAGGAAATTTTTTTTCCTCCTGGATGAGATCAAAATTCCACTTCCTGGTTCAGATGGAGTTATCAGAATGTGGCGGAGCTAAAACATAAGTGTGAACAATTGATTTCTGTGGGCAATTGTTAAAAATAGATATGTCAAGGAAATCTTGGCTGCGGGTTTATTTAGTATGTGGTGTGAAACTTTCGATTTCTTGCCGGAATGGAATGGTTTGAGGCAGTTTCCGTTAGTACGGGATAGGGACCTTGAAATGTGTCGCAGACATGCTGCAAAACGAGGCTTATCTTGATTTGGTAAAAATAAATCTTTGTCGATTTGCAAAAAAATCGGACTTTGGTCACAGATTTATCTTCCAACATTACGAGTTTTAGATAAATATTACAAAAATCATCCCAAATTGCTTCAAGGGTAGTACAATAAAGGTGTTGGGTTGGGGTTTTCAATCCCCCGACCTCAGCTCGATCGAGCATTGATGGGTACCCTGAACGCATCATCCGGCATAATGGAAACCTATAAATCCAGCTAATCTGAAAACAATAATCACAGAAGAGTGGATCAAAAGCGTCACTGAAAGATTGGTGGAGTCGACGTTCAGACGAATTCAAGCCGGTATTGCAGCTAAAAGTAGGCACATAAAATATTGAAAAGGCTATTTAGCTGCATCTACAATTTTGTGGCGTGCAATTTGCAACTTTTTGACATTCAAATATCTATAATTTCATCAGTTTTACACCAATCCATTTGAAATTTTGCACGATTGTAGTATGCAATATGGTTGATAATTGGTGTAAAAATCAATTTGAAATATTGACCCGTTTTGGAGAATTTGTGATTGATATAATGCATGCATGCACTGCATCTACAATTAAGTGGGATACTGTAAATATGCTTGTATATGACTGTACCTTCATGGATCCGTAAGCGGCCTCGAAAAGGTAGCATTAAATATTCATTCATTCATATATTCCTTATATTTTGTACAGTCACATGAAAAGTCATACATAAATATGTGCATATATATGTACATATGTATGTACAAATGCACATATGAGTACCCAATAACTCAACTTATGTATTTACATACAACGTGTGATAATGAACTTCAACAATTTGTCATAATCCAAATATTGTAGGTATATGTAGCTCAAGTAACGGGAAATACATAATTTGATGCCTTACGTAATTCATAGGTACGTATTTAGCAAATACTATTTGCATATTATGTAGACCACCATAAAAATTTGATTGTCTTGTCTACCCGAATAAGATTATATAATTAAGTAACAAGGGTTGAAATTTTGTCTCATACATAGATGAGAATTTAATAAATATCACATAGAGGTACTTTTCTTTGACGTACATACGCCCGACTGGTTTTTTGGCCCACTTATCCTCAGAGACATTAAAAAGTCACAATATTTGAAATCTTGCACTAGGTTACGGTTCTCATTACCTGCAAGACTTTTGATTAGCGTGGAGTACATAAGCTGGGTTCAGTTTGATTTATTAAGTTTATAAAATCGCAAATTGTAGGAATGCAGGTAAACATACATGTTTATTGTTATCGTTAAGCATTAGTTGTTTTACCTGAAACAAAAACTAGGGAAATGTGCATATAAATAATTGTGAATTTACTTGGAAATTATTTATCCAGTTTGTCAAGGTATTACTGCTGACAATGTGTCTCGTAACGGGTGTTTTATGTCTACCCGGAAGACGGTATACGAATAATGGTGCATCGGAAATCAGTCAAAATGGTAAAAGAGTGATTCACACAGAGCCCAAGGAAGGTGTGCAAAATTTTTGTCAATCTAATTTTGCATTGGCTATGCATTTTATAGCGTAAAGAATTGTTATTCTATGCATATTTAGAAGGAAAGATTACCTTACCACAAATTTTTGCCCAAATATCTGATAAATCGGCCCGGATTGTGTCAGACATTCGTGCAATGGACTCGATGAAAATGGTTAGTTTACAAATTATTTACGAATGTTTATGGTAAATAAAGATGTGAATATTTAACTATATTTTAGAAGAATGACAAACGACATGAAGTTGGGCCTAGATTGCAACCGGGGAGGAAAACATCACGTTAAAATATTCACTTCAAGTCATAAGTTTATAAAAAATTTCAGCTTCGTAAAAATCCAAAGTAGTTATAATTATGGTTTGCAATATTGTATCCCGTAGTAATTGTATTGGCTCATCACGTTATGCTTAAATACATATATTTAAGGATTTGCATAATGGTATTTTTTAATACCAAGCCTTAAGTGTTTCGTTATGCAAAATAATTTTATAGAATCCTTTTAATTTGGTACGTACAAATAAAATAGAACGGAATTGTTTTGATGGATATTTAGATACAAATCAAAAAATTCCGTGTAAGTGGTTTCACTTTCTAGATAAGCGATTTCCTTATTTATTTTTACATACAGGAGTTTTGTGTTTACAAAATAGTAAAACAAAAAATACAACTCACGTAATTTTGCGACCAGACAGATTGCCAATCTGTATGTTAATAGCCTCTGATTAAATAAGTTTGACCTGCTATCGGTTGCAAATCATAACGTGCTTCAATCAGATGAAAAATGAAAAATAAATTAGGTAGACTGACGTAAATGCAAGCTCAAACATTGCCAAAAACGGGGAAATTATGCAGTACAAATTTTAAGTAAATTGGCTCAATTTTACAAAATTATAGTCTCACAACAGAGAAATGCTACGTCTACAGCTTTCACTTTTTTATAAATAAGTGGCACCATTACATGACCCGGAAATTAGTGTACATCTCTATATACATATACATACAAACATACGTACAAAGCATATACCTTTGTATGTATTTCTGCGAATGCGAAATAAGTACGTCTGTACTTGTCCCTTGCATAAGTTTGGAGGCTGGACAGACGAAACGTCCATTTTCATGGAATTGATTCCTATGATTTTTTTCTAAATGCAAATTATCTACATAAATAAGTTTTAATAACTTCAATTACACAAAATTAACTGAGATGTTCACGATCCCATAATTTGTGCACAGTCCTTCACCTACGATTGCGTAAATGGCAAACGACTTTGAATTATGGATAAATGTATGTACGTACCAAAATAAATGTACCAAATTTTCATCCCAGTATATAAAATCGTGCACATTTTTGTAAGTTCTACTAACTTTCACCAGACCAGCGTACATATTTTCTACATAAGAAACATTTTACCTTTTCAAGAAACTTATATTTTTCATGATGAGGTTTCCCTTAAAAAATATTATTCTCCGAGTATTATCCTCCCTGACGACTTTTGCCGCATTGGAGCGATTTACCATGATCAGTTCGTCCCTGTATGCGCAGTACGTCAGTTTGGATCCCGTGACAAGGGAGCCACACCGAACCACGCCCATGTCAAGGGTGTTACCTTGGTTGATAATGTCCGTTCTGGTGGCGCTGTCCGATATAAACTTCGCGTATCGGTTAATATCCGTAATTATATTTAAAAGTGGGAGAGAGATTCACATGCCGATTTTGATGGGCTTAATAATGTCGGTGACCAGTTTGACGATTTGGTGATTTGGAGACTTTAGCGGTGACGGAGCATCTCACGTGGATGGTGAACGTGGACGAGATGTGTTTCATGCTGGAAAGTATGGAAAAGATTAGAGGAGCAAGTGACGATTTTGGTAAATGGGTTGCTTAATAATTTGGTAAAATGTGGAAATTCATGCAGTCCTTGGCAGCATTGTAAAATCCGTAAATTCTTTAGACTTTCAAATTTTTACAAAATTTTGCAAATATGTATGTATGTGCAAGATTAGCTTACAAATTTTTGCAAACTTGCTCAGATCAAGGGTGTCCCTTTATTTTGTAAAAGTTTGCAAAATCATTTTGCAAAACTTCCGGGTTTTACAAAGTTACCAAGCACTGCGTGAATTACCTTACAATATTTTTCCAAAGGTGGTGGTACTTCAACCCTTGATCTCATCGGTATTCTACTCCACGCTCAACTCGTCTTCCTGGTCACATTTCCATTCGCCACCTGCGCCACACCCATCCTACACCCGTCCGTCGACCCAACTGCGCCCTGGCTAGAAGACGCCACCTTCTTACCACACCCGGTCAAAATTTTACTCAGAATGTGTCTCATCTTCCTCCTCACGTGGCACATGTGCACCCCGATTTTCGGTTTCGGCATTAAAATTTCAAACGTCTGCGTCATACTTCGAAACTCTTTAAAATCCATGATGGACCACTCACAGAGCGAAATTTCACAAAATTTCAAATTCTTTACTCATCGGAAACCATTTTATGAATGTTTATTAACTTATCGTCAACTTCAAATCGTGACCATCGTGATGAACGTGGCTTTAACGTGGGTTATCCCTGTCGGAATTTTGATCCTGTTCATCTGTGCGTTAGGCACGAGCTATTTGGTTGTAAAAATGTCGGAAATTTTGTCCGTGCCGCTAACATTTTTGGCGGTCACGATTTTTACCACGATTGTTACCATGGCGCATTTTGTGCTGCCTTTAATGGCCGGTTTGCTGAGTGGGTCGGAGGAATTTTTACGATGGTGGAAATTAAAGGGTGGGTCGAAACATAGGAAGAAACAGGTGGCGAGTTGCGCCCTATTGAAATTTAATGTGGGAGGATTAGGTTGCGTCGATGGCGACACGAGGAGGATATTTATGGCGCAATTGTTATACAACACGGTGACTTTGGTGATTACGTTGTAACTATGTATGCAGGTTTTGCCCACAAGAAATAGCTACACTCTTAGAAATCCAGTATTAAAATAATGCTAAGCCGTATTCATCTATGACTCTAAAAAAGTGGTGCTGATAAGTAATACGGTGTAGTAGCTCGGCATTAAAGTTTTACTATATCGGTAGCAACTTTTTACAATGGTCCGGTATAATTTTAATATCTACCTATATCTGAGGATTTCATCCCGGTTCCGTTACGCATGCAGAGGACACTTTTAGGCGTCTGATAACTCACCCCTAGGCGTAATAGAGCGTCATTCATCCAGCAGTCAATAAATTAATGAATAATGAGCGATTTTTTTTTCAAAATTTTTGAATGAATAAATATTTATTCAATATTTCATGAAGAATATTTCATTCATGAAGAATGAATAAATAATTTTTTTAAGTTAACCATTTTGCTTAATACATAAGGTAATATTAAGTTTCTATGGTACATATATTGAGAAATTCATCTAATAATGCGAATTTGAAATAAAGTGAATAATAACTTAACAATAAATGAATACATATTAATTCTTAAATTTTAAATGAATATATGATTTTTTCCAGTTTTTGAATTGAATGAATTTTTGAATGATGAAATGAGTAAAATTTCATAAAGTTTAGCACGAATACTGCTGTGGCTGTTAAAAGCATAGCATAATAATATTGTTAAATTTTTAGTCATTAATTTATGATCAGTATGAAAACGGAATTGGCATGTGTGGGAGTTATCAAATTACTCGTTGAGTAATTTTCTCGATACATTTTGAATTTAATAGTAGTTAGGAGTTGTCAAATGATATGTAGAGTTATTAGTATGCTGTAATTTTAATTATAAAATTAATAATATGCCATTATAGAATAGCATTTTCATGGAACATAAGATGCCCATGAAAAATGGTATGTTCAATATCGAGTGGGTGAGGGATGCGGAAATAAGAGTGTAAGTGGGATAGTGAGGAAAAAGGGACGCGTGGGTTCTGTTGAGAGAAGTGGGAAGTATTTTTTAGTGGTCGGTGTGTAGAAGTTAAGGAGAGCTAAGATTCCTCTTCCGCAAAAACTTAATTAAAAATATTTGATTAATAATTGTTTAGTCCATATAGTTGATTTCTCGTTGAAATAAATTGATTTGAGAGTAAAGCCAAAGGGTTATCGTCAGTTTATTTGCGGATTTCAAGCTATTTGGAATCAGAGAAATAGATTTGTATAACTTTACATCTCCTACGTTCTTTTCACTGTGCTTCGAAATCCTGTTTCTTTTGAGAGTGAAAGCTAAATCGGGTAGATTGGTCGGATCTCAACATTTTGGCGACCTTGCCAGGATTGTCGTTGTTGGTGCCATTGGACGTGGAGGATATTTTGTGTTCGAGTAGGTGAGACCGTGTCGCTTGGAGAGGATTCATTGGAATTGCCTCTTTGAGGACCCCACCCTGAGTATTCGGGGGTGTACGAGGTGATAATTTTCCTTTTGATTGTAACGACCTGAACTAGCCGCACTGGGAGCAGAGACGACCTTTGGCGGAAGGAAGCAGCAGTTAATTCTTGTGGAAATTTACCTGTATTGCCACTTTGTGGGCCCTATCCCGTGCATTCGGGGGTGATTGAGGTCGTGTTGACCAATTTGGTTCATTCACGCGAATTGCTTCTAATATATTTTGTCTTTTGGATTTACTATTCTTGAGGTTTGGCCATGGAGCAGCTCAAGTTTGAGAGGAAACCCATCCGGTCGTCGGTGACTCGAACCATCAACCTGATAGAGTCAGAGCTGACGAAAGAAACTCCGGATCGTCACACCCTTCGATGTCAATTAGAGAAGTTGGAGGTGTTGCTGACAAGGATCAACGAAGTAGATATCAAGATTTTGAGTTCAATGCGAGCCGACGGTTGTTCCGAAAAAGAATACGAAGAAGAAAGTCTCAGCATTGAAGAATATGAGGACAAGATAAGGAACACGAAGGTGAAGGCTGAAGAAATGTTTGTGCCATCCTTCCAGCTGCCTGGAGGTTCTCAAAGTCCAACGAATAGTGCTGCGTGGTACGACTCGGTGGGCACATCGCTCAACGGAGAGTCAAAACGAAGAAACTTTAAACTGCCGAAGATCCAATTACGCAAATTCAACGGTGATATGAAGGACTGGTTGAGTTGGTGGTCGCAGTTTAAGAAGATCCACGAAGATGACACACTGGCTGATAGTGATAAGTTCGACTATTTGGTACAGGGAATGGTCATCGGATCCAGAGCAAGAGATGTGGTGGACGTTTATCCACACACTGAAGAAAATTATCCCAAGGCGATAGCGGCACTTCAAGAGCGATTTGGACAACCAAAGTTATTGAAACAATTGTACGTTCGAGAATTATTGAAGATGGTGATTCAAAACGCAAAGAGCAAAGAAGACTTCCAGTTGTGCAAAATGTATGACAAACTGGAATCTCATCTTAAGGCTTTGGAGTCCCTCAATGTGTCCCACGAACAAATGGCAGACTTTTTATATCCTATGGTGGAGTCAAGCCTTCCCGAGGACCTCCTTGTGGCGTGGCAAAGAAGTTTGTTCTACGGACATGACGGATCCCAGTCAAATCCACCCCAAAGTGAATTGGACTTCCTCCTTAAGTTTCTCAAGAAAGAAGTTGAAAACGAGGGGCAGCGATCTTTGGCCAAGAGTGGATTTGAAACAGATGAAAAGAAAAAGGAAGCTGTCAAGCAGAAGAAGACATTTTCTAGATTTCCCAAACCAGAATATGAATCAGATTATCCTACTGGTGCGGGGCTATTCAGTGGTCACTCAACGTCACAATGTGTATTTTGTAAGAAATCTGGCCATCAAAGTAGCGTGTGTCATAAGGCCGGGAATATGACGCTAAATGAGAAGAAAGAAGTGGTCAAGAAGAATAAATTGTGCTTGGTGTGTTTCAAGCCAGGACATTTCGCTCGTGATTGCACATGCCAATGGAACTGTGTTGCTTGCGAAGTCAAACATTGCAAGGCGATGTGTCCGCTCCGGTCAGTCGTGGATAAATCAAGTGAGCTTGAGGCATCATCAAGTACCACTAGAACCTCCGCTGCCAATGGCCTGCCGAGGGGATGTTTTGTTAAAGACTCTTGTTGTGAAAGCATGTGGCCCCAAAGCCGTCACCAGTGTTCGACTTATCTATGATGAAGGGAGCCAACTCAGCAATTGTGGAGCTGCAACCATCAGCCTGATTGGAAGCAAGTGTATTGGACATGAATGGGGGAGAAATGTGTTGTTTGGCGGAGGAGTGACCGATGTGAAGAAGATCAATAAATATGCTGTTGACCTGAAGTCCTTGGATGGCCATGTTAAGAAGACTCTTGTACTTCGGGAAGCTGCAAAGATTTGCGGAAGTATTCCAAGAGTACCAGCGGGACCATGGATTCAAGCCTTGCGTAAAAAGAATATCTGGTTGAGTGACTACCAAGATTCTTATGTTGATAACCCGGAGATCGAGGTTCTCATTGACTACTGGGGACAGCTCGTTACCGGGAAGCAAGTAAAGTTGAGATGTGGGTTAATCGCAGTCGAGACCATATTCGGATGGACTCTTAGTGGACCTGTTCCCAATATCAACACAAATGACACCGTGGCTATGTCGTGTATTTCTTTGTTCCACGGCGAAGCATCCGTTCAGTGCTTGTGGAATCTGGACTCGATCGGAATTAAAGATCCGGAAGAGCACAAGTCGAAGCGAGAGAATGAAGAAGAAACGAAACGACATTTCTTGAGTACTGTTTCCAGAAATAAAGAAGGGAGATATACTGTCACATTACCATGGATAGATGGAGCTCAGAAAATTCCCGACAACAAGCTGGTTGCGGAGAAGAGACTAATCGGAACAACAGCAAAATTAAAAGCCAATGGAAACTACAAATTTTATGATCAGATCTTTGTCGATTGGGAAAAGGAGGGGATCATTGAGGCGGTATCTGAAGAAGACAATTCAACCTTGTGTCACTATCTTCCACATCGAGCAGTAATCAAAGAAGAGAGCCTTACAATCCCAGTGCGACCGGTTTTTGACGCTTCTTGCAAGGTTGGAAGAAATCCCTCTCTCAATGACTGTCTGGAGAAAGGCCCCAATTTATTGGAGCTGATTCCATCGTTACTACTACGGTTCCGAGAAAGAAAACTGGGCGTGATATCCGATGTCAGGAAGGCGTTCCAGATGATTGAAGTGGCAGAAGCCGATCGGGACTTCTTGAGATTCCTGTGGTGGAAAGAAGATGTGATCAAACTTTTCCGCCATAGGAGAGTGATGTTTGGTGCAAATTGCAGCCCCTTCCTACTTGGAGCTGTAATTGAACTTCATCTTGAGTCAGTAAAAGAAGAGTTACGGCCAATAGCAACAGTTCTTTTGAAATCTCTTTATGTGGATAATTGTGTGACGTCGCTGGATTCGATTGAAGAATATGAAGAATTCAGGACTCATGCAACATCAATAATGGCTGATGCAAAAATGGAGCTCCGCCAGTGGGAAAGAACGGCAGTAGATGTTCCGGATGCAAAGCAGCAATTAACCCGTGTTCTCGGATTAAAGTGGGATAAAGTTCAAGACGAACTCTTTGTTGACATCCCAAAAGTGGAACTTCAACTTCAAGGAAAATTGACCAAGCGAGTCATTCTGTCCTTGGTACAACAAATATTTGACCCGATGGGATATTTGAGTCCGGCTACGCTAGTGCCAAAGTTGATGCTACAGAAGACTTGGGAAAGCAAGAAAACCTGGGATGAAGATTTGGACGACACTTTGGACATAAAGAGTGAATTTGGAGAATGGTGGAGGCAGACGTCAATGCTAGCTGAGGTCAAGATACCAAGATGGGCATTTCGTTCAGAACTGGTTAAATCAGTACAGTTTCACGTGTTCTCAGACGCCAGTGGGGCTGCCTATGCTGCTGCAGTCTTCGTGAGAGTTGAAGATCAGAAAGGGGTTACCGTACAACTCCTCCAAGCCAAGGCGAGAGTTGCTCCGCTTAAAAAGATGACCATTCCGCGATTGGAACTGTTGGGATGCACAATAGCGGCCAGACTCCACAGTTCGGTGGTGGAAGCCTTATCCATGGATGGAGTAGAGACATACTTTTGGACGGATTCTATGACAGCCTTATCTTGGATTCAAAGGAATAATGAGTGGGGAACCTTTGTAGGCAACAGGGTAAAGGAGATCTGTTCGCTAACCAAAGTGGAAAATTGTAGACACGTCCCAGGCGTTATGAATCCTGCAGATCTCCCTTCCAGGGGCTGCAACCCTGCCCAACTTCTCAAGTCTCGATGGTGGGAGGGACCAACTTGGTTACGAGGATCATCTGAAACCTGGCCATCAGGACAAGCAGAGGTGAATGAAGATGAAGTATTAAAAGAAAAGAAGAAAAATATGACAACAGTCAAACTCGTCTCGACATCTCAAGAGGCTCCGTGGTATTTGAGAAGATACTCGTCTTATTACATGAATGTGCGACTTGTGGCCTTGTGGACGAGAATTGTCAAGCTCTTTGCCAAACAGAATAGCGAAACTGGAGTGCTCAAACGGTGGGAGCTGATCCAGGCTGAAAAGACCATGTTTAGATTTGTGCAATCGGAAACCTTGCAAGCGAGAGACAGTATGATTGGCGGACTACGTGTTGAAATTAAAGATGGACTGATTTGTGTGAAAACCAAGTTGCAAAACCGTCAGGATTCAGTTGGCTTCAGATATCCGGTGTTATTGCCGAGTTCACATCCATTGGTGGAGCAACTAATTAGAGAAGAGCACATCCTGAATCAACATGCAGGGGTGCAATTTTTGATGGGAAGAATAAGGGAAAAGTGCTGGATTTTACAGGGAAGACGTGCCATCAAAAAGGTGGTGTCAACATGTGTAACCTGTCGTCGTTTCACAACCAAGAAACCCTGTGTACCTCCCGCATCTTTGCCAGAAGACCGTGTCAAGACAGCTCAAGCGTTTCAAATTACGGGAGTGGATCTGGCCGGACCTATGATTTTGAGAAACCAGACCAAATGCTGGATGGTATTGTTCACATGTGCTGTCTATCGATGTGTACATTTGGAACTCGTCACTTCGCTTAGCACCGAAGACTTCCTGATGGCATTGTGGCGATTCATCAGCAGACGGGGGCGACCAACAAAGATTTACAGTGACAACGGCACCAACTTTGTGGGCGCCGACAATTTGTTCAGGAGTTTAAACTGGGAGAAGATTGAAAATCAGACTCAAGTGCACAGAATCCAGTGGCAATTCAATCCCCCTAGTGCAGCTTGGTGGGGTGGCTGGTGGGAGCGGCTGATTAGGAGCATCAAAGACTTGTTGAAAAGAGTTCTCAAAAATCGCAAGTTAACTCAGGATCAACTTCACACTTCCCTGTGTCAAATCGAAGCCGTGATTAACGACCGGCCACTTACCTATGTAACTGAGGATCAAGAAGACCTGATTCCTCTCACCCCTTCTATGTTTCTACGAGAGATTCAAGACGTAGAGTGCCCAGAAGTTGAAGAGTTGAGCGGTCATCAACTTAGCGAAGACAATAAAGCAAAGAAGAGTCTGAGGGAAGAGTTTCGTGTCCGTTTTCGAAAAGAATACCTCAGTCAATTGGTACAGCGAGGAAAACAGGAGAAAGTCCATCCATTCCAAGTTGGTGACTTGGTCCTCATAGGCGACGACAACAAGAAAAGACTCATGTGGGATATGGGACGAGTCATCGAGCTGATGGTGGGGCGTGATGGAGAAAGTCGGGTGGCCAAAGTGAAGACCATGCATGGACATCTTATCCGACCACTGCAGCGATTATTCCCATTGGAAATCTCCAATCCAATCGAAGTTCCAGTGGTGACTCAAGAAGTAGAGAAAATTACGCCTGTTACGAAGATTCAGAAGAACGAGCAAGCCGGAGCTTTCAAGAAGTCGGTGAAAGTTAACGTGCCGATTAAGACGTCGCGCTTTGGACGACTACTGAACGAGCCGTCCAGATTTAGTGCTTCAAAGTGAATGTGCAGTGTACAATTTCTTGTTCTTGGTTATATGATAATTAGTTACAGATTCTTAGACTTGTATGTGGTTGATCTTTTGAGTCCTGCTCTCAAAAGATGGTGGGAGGAATGTTAAAAGCATAGCATAATAATATTGTTAAATTTTTAGTCATTAATTTATGATCAGTATGAAAACGGAATTGGCATGTGTGGGAGTTATCAAATTACTCGTTGAGTAATTTTCTCGATACATTTTGAATTTAATAGTAGTTAGGAGTTGTCAAATGATATGTAGAGTTATTAGTATGCTGTAATTTTAATTATAAAATTAATAATATGCCATTATAGAATAGCATTTTCATGGAACATAAGATGCCCATGAAAAATGGTATGTTCAATATCGAGTGGGTGAGGGATGCGGAAATAAGAGTGTAAGTGGGATAGTGAGGAAAAAGGGACGCGTGGGTTCTGTTGAGAGAAGTGGGAAGTATTTTTTAGTGGTCGGTGTGTAGAAGTTAAGGAGAGCTAAGATTCCTCTTCCGCAAAAACTTAATTAAAAATATTTGATTAATAATTGTTTAGTCCATATAGTTGATTTCTCGTTGAAATAAATGGATTTGAGAGTAAAGCCAAAGGGTTATCGTCAGTTTATTTGCGGATTTCAAGCTATTTGGAATCAGAGAAATAGATTTGTATAACTTTACATCTCCTACGTTCTTTTCACTGTGCTTCGAAATCCTGTTTCTTTTGAGAGTGAAAGCTAAATCGGGTAGATTGGTCGGATCTCAACAGTGGCATTGAAAATTGGAGTCAGCCAGCGATGAGGTAATACAAGTTTTCAGCCGGCCAGATCAACATAGGCATCCTTACTTTACAGAGATTCACCTTTCTATAGAAAATTTGATATTCGGACCACACCCAAACTCTGGTAAGTGCATGAATTTTGTTTAAACTGATTATTCGGAATTCAAAAACTGATTTTTAAACTAATTCATATTAATTCATAGACTGTAAAATGATTTTCGGAAGATATACTTAGATATCATTTAATATTTCTTTAATTCAAGCTTTCGAGGTAAAACTCATCTTCATTTGAAATATTGTGACCATGCTTTGAATTTTGAGTTAGGCTTACAATATTTCTTATAAATATTAATATGAAATTTACAATATGCTTAGAATTTATTAGGAGAAGGCAGGTATTTATATGAATAAAATTGACAAAAATGTTCTCTAATTCAGGTCGGCCTTACCTACAATGGAGAAAGAAGATTCTCGACTTCCCCAGGTACCACTGAATTATATTTAATTATTATTTTAATGAGATGTATGCCTAAGGATTGCAACTTTTTGCTTCTATACTTTCTAACGATTAATTAACGCTATTCACGCAGTCATTGGTAACTCGTAAAATCCGTACGTTTTGTAAAATACTTTGACAAACTTTTTCAAATAAAGAGACGCCCTAGACCTCAATAAGTTTACAAAAAATTTGAAAGCTAATTTTCTTTAGAAATATTTGTAAAATTTTGCAAAGGTCTGAAAGTTGTGAATTTACGGATTTTACAATGTTACCAAGGTCTGCATGATTTGTCTCATTATACATATTTCGTAAATATTTTCTCAGACCTCGAAAACTTCCAACGTCACCGAAAGGAAGATAAAGCGCTTCTGTTGTGACCAGTGCGGGAGAAAGTACCGTTCCAGAGGTTACTTTATCGAGCACAAAAGAAGCCACAACAAGGCCAGCGTGGCAAGATTTTTTGGGGGCCCCAATAAAATGTTACCCCACCAGAAGACGACGGACATTCCTTGCCCCCAATGCTCGGAAAAGTTCGATACCAGGCTGCAGTTGGTCGAACATCTGAACAGCGTCCATCTTAAAATTCTGTACCGCTGCTCCCACTGCAATAGTTTGTTCGATGATCAAGGAGATCTGGACGAACATTTGGAAGCTGGCCATCCCTCAAAATCGTCCATTTCTCCCTCTGCCCCCGCACCGACTGAGGACACGTTTACCAATAATTCTATTTAAAGTTGTCAATTTTAAATGACGTTCATTCGAGTTCTCCCAACGTATGCTCAAAATTTTTGAACAAATTAATTAGTGTCAATTGATTACAAATTTAATTAATATGAAATTTGCAAAAGGAACTAACTGTAAATGCTTAGGTTTGGCAGAGATATTTGCAGCAGAAGAGGATAAAAGCGCAGTAAATTTTTCACCTTTTTTCGCTTTTTCACCTCTTTGGATGAAAATATTTCCGCCAAAAGTGACTGTCTTTTGCAAAATTTGATTACATACTAATTAAATTTGTGATCGATTCATACTAATTGGGTCAAATTCTGTGAATATATGTTGAGAGATCTTCCTTGCCATTCTAATTCTAAAAATCATTCTAAAAACGCAGACAAAACATGGTCGAATTCAGCCATAAAATATTAAATATTAGGTTGTTTGAGTGTACAAGTTTTTTGATTATGCAAGAATAAATATGTATGTATGTTGTATGTATAATTTAGTTTTTGCATGGTTTTTATTAACCAGAATGATTCAATAAATAAATGAATTGTGAGACAAGAGATAACCATGGGCTGCTTAAATCTGCACTAAACTTTAGAAAGCACATTATTAAGGAGTGAGTTATTTATTTATAACATCGTTTTGTCCGTCTGCTGGCCCGATAACTCATGAACGCATTGACATAGAGATTTGAAATTTTGAACATAAGTTCCTTAAGCTGAGGGGTTTCATGATAGAAAAGTATCCAGTCAGCAAATACTTGCATACATACGTACATATGTACATTGATCATTTAGTACGGGGTAATACGGTGCTGTTTAATACTGCAATGAAGCCATGGGTGATACATATGTATATATGTAAATGTGAACAGATCACATGAAATCGAGTTATTATGTGCTGGCAAATGTATGCAATAAATATCTACGTTTATTTATACTTCATGACTTTACTATAACTTTCCTATTTTGTTATTGTGTATACAAAATTACATGGTGAGACAAAAAAACTCTCATGAAATAATGGATCATTTAAAAAATATTATTTTTACGTTACACTGACACATGCATACATACATATCCAGTGATGCTAATCCGGAACCGATCCTATCCTAGGATCGTAAAAACTCGGATAGATATGTAACATATCTATTTATCAGTCATATACATAAGTATTTACACATTTATGCAGTGACTCACAATGTTAGTGATGATTTTATCTTTGTCAACAAACTAAAACCTACATATTTTTCTATAAACTTTTTCACAGAATTTGGTTTAGGGATGCACTCTTAAAAATTATGTGACCCTTTTGGCAAATAAATGCACTCTCAATTCTATATTAGATAAACAATACTAACTCCAGTGTAAACTTTACTTTTCACCAATTTGTCTGAATTTAGTTTACACAGTTTACTCAACATGTATATTTATACATACATACTCTCCATTCACACACAGTAGAACTTTTACAGAAATTGAGATTTCTGAGAAACTACGGCACTGCCAGTCTCAAAGTATCCCGTCAGCATAATTTGACCGAATTTGAGACTGGCTGTGCCGTAGTTTCTCAGAAATCTCAATTTCTGTAAAAGTTCTACTGTGTGCGAATGGAGAGTACATATGTACACTCTTACACCTGCAATATAATTTTCTAATTTTCTAATACCATGGTATTGAATATTACTGGCCGGACTTTACCGTAACCGTAAGAAAGTGCACTTCCGTTTGGTAATAGGATGGTGGCAATGAAAAATTTACCAGTCAGAAACAAAACTACTACCAGTTGGGTAGGAAGTTACTACCAAGTCAATGCCAGTACAAGTTTATATATGTGACTCTAGCGGATTTTTTAGTGTGCAATTGGAGTGCATGTAGTCTTCAAAAGGGTCGCGTTATTATTAAGAGTGTGGATGACTCATAGCAAATGACGAGAAGGTTAAACTAGTTATTTTAGTCACTGCCCTTCTCAAATGATTAAACAGCACCAGTCCCTTAGTATCTACCGAAAGGGCACTACCCGAATAAATTCACGTGTCAACTCAAAAATATTAAAACAATTTAAAATATTAGAAAAGTGACTACATACTCAGTTTAAAAGTACATTTATTTCTCCCCTTGTGAAACATTCCATTGGTTTGAAGATTTTTTTCATAAAAACATTGCAAAACTGTACACTCATAAAAATGGAAAGTTCTATGGACCACTTAATTTCGCGTTTGCCTGAGGTAATTAATTTCTTCATGATTTTGAAAAAAATTGCAAATAATTGGAATCGTTCATATTTTTTTGCTTTACTAGAAAATAAATACATGCATAAATTATTCATTCATTACTCAACAAATGCATGAGTGAATAATTTGTTTAAAAATTTTAAATGAATGAGTGTACATAGATATATGGAATAAATATTTACTCATTTCACATTCATGTAGAATGAATGAATAATTTTATTCATTATTCACTCTATGCTTAATGCATACATGAGTGTACATTGAAAAATCCGTCAAATAAGGTGAATTTGAGATATATTGAATAAAAACTGACTACTGAATAAAAATTGATTTTAAAATTTTGAAAAATTGAATACTAAATGAATTTTGAATGAAGAAACATATTATTGATACATTTTTCTAACTCGTCCCAAAAAATTATACTCGTTTCAGATAATTTCCAAAATTATGGAATTCTTGCTCACTTCCGACTTGGAATCGATCTCTCTCGTCAACTCCACGTGGGAAAAGGAAGCCCTGAGACATCTCCTGATACGAAATCCGGTCGATGTCCACCTCCACAACAACGTCACCGATTCCAAGGACCTCATCCCCCTTAAGAACTTATCCCCCACACGTCTTAACATTGTAGTCTCTCAACCCGAGGAAAATGCGGAGATGATTTTATTACCAAAAATACAGCTATTTATCACCATAAATTTCACCACCGTGACAAAATTAAGTATCAATATCTTCCTCGATAGCTCTTTCCGCCACGTGGCGTCTCGTTCGGCCAAGATTTATGAATCTTTCAAAAACCTGAGCTGTCTCGAATTCCAAATGGTTTTGGTCAATCATAAAGAACTATTTTCTTCCGATCAAGACTGGGACGACCTACTTCCCGCCACCAGCATTAACCCCCAAAAACTGACCACTTTGACCCTTAACATGTCCGACCTCATTCGTAAAGATCAAGTCCCCCAATGCGACAACTTTATCTCGCTGACCACCCGACTTCTAACGGTGTTCAGGGGCGTGAAAAGCCTCAAAATGATCGACACCCCTGGCAGCGGGCTGCTTCAAGAAGACGATCCCATTTTACCCCACCTCACCTCAATCTCATTCATACGAACGTTTCAAATCGAGAAATATGGTCCACTCCTACGATTTTTCCAATTTAAAGCACCCCTCGCGCCAACTTTTGATAACATAACCCGGTTCGAATTTAACGTTTCAATTTCCGATGCAACCAACGGATCCGACTTATTGCGCCTCCTCGCGCCTCAGCTCGAACACGTGTGCATTTCCGGGGTGGACAACACCTACCCGGATTCAGTCTCCGAGAATTTCTGCACCATCCCGATTCTCCCCAGGTTGAAAGTTTTCGAAATTTTGAGAGAAAAAGTTCTTTATAATTGCTACGAAATTAATTGGTTTCGACCTGGTCTGCACTTAAATTTTGAGACTGAACAGGACGAAGTTAAGTTAGTGTATAAAGAACAATTTCCCGTTTTGGAGCGGTTAATCGTGCGCCTGTCGCGGGAACCGATTCTCGCCTGGGTTAAGGAATGCGACCTTAATCCCGATGAGAATTTGCATTTTGAGACGACCATGCTTCTCTTGTATGAAACTTTTTTGGCGGAGGGTGTCGCGCCGTGTGGGACCTTAAGGAATTTGGATATTTCCTTTCCTTCGGGGGATTTCGATGTGGGAAGTATGGTAATGAAGTGGCGGCGTGGGGGAGATGATTTATGGGGGTGGGAGGAAGACGTGCCGGATTTTTATGAGAGAATTTCCACCATTTTTCCCAACCTGGATTACCACGTGGTCATGAGAGGAAAGGCGGTCGTGAGGGGGGCGAGGCTCCAAAAGTTTGTCGAAATGGGGGTGTCCTTAGAGATTTTTAGTGAGGAGGGATGCGTTTATTCGGATTTTGCCAAGATATTTAATGCTCCTTGTGGCACCCCTCCCGACGTAGGGAAAACAGGAACGAGGCCAGAAACAAGGGTTAGGTGGGTGTGTTTCGTGGCCGGAGTGATGATTGGAATAATGGGGGTAATTTATGAAGTAGATTTAATGTTCAGGGATTTGTTAAGTTTTGCTTAAAGAAGGATTAAATTATGTAGTTAAAATTCTTCTCATGTGATCAGATTCGGATGTAGGGGTATGCTTAATAATTTAATTGTAAGATCGGCACGAAAAATTGAGCAAGTTCAGTACAATAATTGTCGTTGTTTATATTTACTCTTCACTTTTGGTGGTTAACAAATAGTTTCCCCAGTTTAAATTTATCCACATATTTATTTACATATTTACAAATACAGATACATATGTACATATGCAAATACATCTCACAAATTAGAAAATTTTGTACGTTACACATGGTATCTTTTTAATAGTTAAATACTTATTGCCAGTGAATGCATTCTATAGATTTACATATGTAGTACTTTATACGGGTAATAGTTGCTACATATTTACATATTATTTATAAAGAGGCATCTATAAAGCTCTGTTAAGTAAAGCTACTTTATGGAAAAAAGGAACCCACAATAAATGTAAATGGCGTACAAATAATGTACATATTTAGGTATATTGTATTTCTGCGTATATATTTCCATGTAGGAATGAGCTTATCTTACAATTACATACAATAAAAATACTGCATTTAAGGACTTCCAGTTGCCTGCTACATTTATTCTTTATTGCAATTCACTGCATAACTTGCAGCTCATCCAACTCTCTCATAAACGCACGTGTGATTTCTTCCGCTTGACCAGAGCGAGAAAGAAGGTTCCGATTTCCAAAGACACCAATTCTCATCGTATCCCCAAAGGTAATTAGTCCCACGCCAAGTCCTACCATGGTCATAAATTGGTTCGAGGTCATGTTTTTCAATTTTTGTTTCAAAAGTTCAAATTATTTAAGGACTTACCTAAAAGGGTGACACAATATCCACCCATGACGGACATCTCGTTGACTAAATACCCACCAAAATTCGGTTTTTCTTCAGGACCGGGAAGATTCCCGATAAACATTCTTTCATACGCGTCATTATATTTGTTGACATGTTTCCAAATGGGGCGCGGGAAGCTACCGAAGGCATGCACGACTAGGGCTCGCGTTACGGAGAAGGTCGAATCCTTCATGGTGGTGAGGGCATCTTGGGTGCGAAGTAGTCGTTTTACAGCGTCCTCTTCGCCAATGGGGGCGGTGTACATGCCGTTCGTTCTGCCGGTCAAAGCATACTTATCATTATCATTGACACGTCCTGTCTAATGTTGTCACGTGGCTGCTAAATAAGTTCGGAGGTCTCCCAGCGTATGCTTTAAGATTTTGGCCAAATTAGTGCCAATTGATCACAAATTTAATTAACTAGGGATACCTTTTCTATGATAGCTGAAAAATGAGTTCTAATTTAACTTTTCGTATGCACCATGATATGTTTCGATTAGAAAGTGCAAAAATTTTTCTGCAAAACCAATTTGCTAATTTTTTAATGGCCTTCAAAGTTTGCGAAAGTGGGGGCGGAATAGGCGGAGTGGGAGTGTGTGGAGATGGGGGCGGTCGTGCCCCTCGCTATACACTACCACCACCCGTGACGGTCATTATGATCTGCGTGACACAAGGAAATCCATCAGCAACTTATATTTGATAAATTTAGTAACTTATATTTACTTTAAATTTAATTAAGTGTAAGAAAATTTAGTTAAGTGAATGAAAAAAATTGATGCATGTTGATGGCATTGTGCGAAGTGGTAAGATCAGTATGCCCAGTTTGCGCACCAAATACTTAAATCCTATTGTTATTTTAGCCATCTGCTCTTTCTCTGTTGTTAAAAATTTTCTGAAAATTGTTCAATTAAATAATCATATTAGCAATTACCACTCTAAATATGGCGAGAATCACTAAAGTCTGCGAATTATTACTAGAATTACCAAAATTAAAATACGACACCGCTAGGGTACCTATAATTGATAGTGGTTTAAATCTTAACGATTTAGCAAGTGAAGGACTGATTTTAATCGAAAATTTACTTAATTTTGAAACCCGTAATTTGAAACGCTCGTTGCATTGGAAATTGCCAGTGACGATGAAATTGACATTTACGGTGACAGTGCTGCTCAAACCGACACAAGTTCCGAAGAATCGTCATCGCATTAATGGGAGATTGAAAGTATCGAACATAATAATTATAATCTCGAAGAGATGTTAAAGATTGTAAAGTTTACAACAGTGTTAAGTCAATTAAATTGTTTCAAACTAGACGACGTTTCCCTAAAATAACAACTTATGCAACAATTTCTCGGATGAGGACATACATCCACCAGAATGACAACAAACTGAAGAAGTTAAAAGATGTAGAAAATTTTGTGCTCGAAAGATTTAATTTTGCAAGAGAATCTCTAATACACATTGGTGAAGTGGATTTAAAACGCTGGGGAATTATAAAATCTAAAGAATTATCTTTACCATTCAAAGCTAGTTCAAGTTGGGTCCATAATTTTAAGATTAAACATAGAATTGTGTCGCGAAAAATAACCAAATATTTAACTGAAGCCGAGTTTGTCAATAGAGCCAATGTCGGGGAAGAACATGCATCAATTTTTTTCATTCACTCAACTAAATTTTCTTACAATTAATTAAATTTAAAGTAAATATAAGTTACTAAATTTATCAAATATAAGTTGCTGAGTTGCTGATGGATTTCCTTGGGTCACGCAGATCATAATGACCGTCACGGGTGGTGGTAGTGTATAGCGAGGGGCACGACCGCCCCCATCTCCACACACTCCTACTCCGCCTATTCCGCCCCCACTTTCGCAAACTTTGAAGGCCATTAAAAAATTAGCAAATTGGTTTTGCAGAAAAATTTTTGCACTTTCTAATCGAAACATATCATGGTGCATACGAAAAGTTAAATTAGAACTCATTTTTCAGCTATCATAGAAAAGGTATCCCTAGTAAGACGAAATTTGCAAAATCCACTATCACCCAATGTTCACTGCTCAGGTTTGGCAGAGATCCGAAGGGAAGAAAACGTGCAGTAAATTTGGAACGTGTAAAATTTGTCAAGTTTACTATTAGAGCACGTTTTTTCCTCAACGAGTGCAAATATTGTCCGCCAAACGTAACCATTTGGAGATCGTGTCTTTTTGCAAATTTCATACTAATCAAATCTGTGATCAATTGACACCAGTTTGGTCAGAATTGGTGAGCATACGCTGGGAAACCTTGTTTATCAGTTACACATTGTTTCCAAGAAATCGATTCCTTTCCGTGGGTGGGTTAACGGTCGTCTCCACTGTTATGGTGGAAGGAATTCGTCCCCCGTTGTTAGGAAAAAATGAGCTTCGCAGAGCACCAAGGACTGCCGAATGCATAACCGCAGTTCCAGTCACGCCGTGACGTTCCCCCAATTTCCGAATTGTGTTAAACGGGATGGGCTCGCTCATGTGAAAACGCACGTGGGAAATGGCTTCAGAAGGTGAAAATGCATCGCTGACATGAGTCCAATACTAAAGATTAAAAGGAGATACATAAACTCTAAATGCGTATGTAACTCTAAATATGTGATCCGCGGGGGTACGTTGGGCAATGATTCCGGGGACATTTTGTCACCAACGGAAAATAGGTCAAAAATCATGTACCAAAAAAACGAGACATTAAAAAATATTGAATTTTTAATAACGACGTCACGTGTTTTTGATACGAGTTTTTGAGCAATTTCCAGTGGTGACAAAATGTCTCTGTAATCATTGCTGCCCAAACAATAACAAAACATTATCGTACCCCCGCGGGGTCACGATTTGTTAAGTTATTTAGACCGGTGATACACACTCGAATAATTGGAAAGTTTTTAAAGTAGAATTTTTATTAAGAAAAATTTTACTCGCTGATTGTCGCATAAAAATTCGAGCAGTCACCTTTTTATCTGGAGCCAGGCATCCACTTTGGTATCCCTCACGGCAAGTCTGTACAAAGTCGTACGGCATTCCCAAATACCGAATTGGCACTAAGTTCCCCGCTTTCTTGGATACTTGCTTGGTAAATTCGGTAGTTTGGGGTATTATCATCTTCGAGAGGAGGTGAAAGATCCCGGTGCCATCGGATATGGTGTGATGAAATCGAAATAGCACGATGGAAGTTGGTACAATGCCGGAATTGTTTTGCTTACGAACGAGCACCAGCTCCCACAAGGGTGCATTTAATTTGTAAGGTTGAAATGTTAACTTGGCTTGAAGTTCGATTAGTTGATCCTGAGTTAGATCTGCAAAATAAATTTAAACGTATCTAAAAGGAGCAACAATAAATGTTAACAAGTCAATGGGCCTAAACAAGGCAAAATCGCAAATTTTGCAAACTGAAAATCAGCATACCTTGCCAAGTTTACCTAAATTTTCGAGATTTCGTAAAACATTTTTGCTGAGAAACGATACGACCTTGTTCAGATATTTACATAACTTTGAAATTTTTACCCAAGATATAGTCCTGCTTTATTTAGTGTGTTACTAAGGGTATTCATTCAGGAGTTAGCATCTTTAACAACGCTAGCAAATAATACAAATTCGCAAAAAAATTTCGGCTGAAAATTCATTTGCGAACTGGAACCTCCCCAAGCCTAGTATTTACGTAGTTCGAAAATTTATGTAAAAATTATGTTGTAATACAAACATGAATACCCCGATTGTTTGCTAAATTACTTATGCTATATTTTGTATCGACCAGTATGCCCAACATAATTAGTAAACAATAAATCACCTTCTGCAATTACTCGAACTGGATCCTCCAGTAAGGTGGCCTTAGTCCAAAATGGGAATCCCAAATAATACTTTATCGTCCACCCCAGTTCCGGATACAACAATCTCCCATCATCATTTTCGTGCGTAGCGTCGAGAATCTGAGTCCTCAAAGTCTCCCGGATATGATCCGGATCTACGTCCCCTTCCAATTCCAGCGTTGTCACGATCGTGCACACTGGACTCGTGTGGATTCCATCACATGCAAATCGTGTGTCACCCGGTGTCAGCATCGCGATTAGATCTGGTTTTAACTATTTATGAAACAAGAAAATCAATAATTTCTCTAGGAATAAAAAAAAATCTCTGTTTTTCATTTTTCACGGTGAATTACACACTTAAAAAATTTGAGAATTTAACCTCCATGCCAAATTATCCACGTTTGTATAACGAGTTTTTATCAATCGTCTACGGCACGCTTTTCCAAAAGTTTGCCTACCAATTAAGTGCATGCATTTGTATACGCATGTATTTTTAATAATTTTACGTTCCCTCGCATTTTACAAATATAATTTGATAAATTTCCATTTACTACCATATTTTTTTAAATCCTCGATATACAGAATTACACATAATTAATTACACATCTGTAATTCTGAAATTACAAACATTTGTGTAACTGGTATGTACGCAATGGAAAATGACCTGCTACATATGTGTATTTTGTACGCAATTGAATATTTCTGAAAATAAACTGATATGTAGCATGGAGGTTAAAACTTATCAATATCCATTAACGAAAAATTAATTACTTTCTTACCATCATCGCGATAAATTTGACCACGCAGCGATAAAGGAGGAAAGGAAGCCACGCCAAAATTAAAGGGGGCACAAGCAACCATAACGGTAGATATAGCGCAATTAGTAACGCTGTACGAGTGCTCATGGTGAATGAGATTCTTTTCAGACAAGATTCTGACAAGGACTGAATAAAAATTTTACAACATATGGTAAGTATTTACCCAAATGCTTACTTTCTAAAAAAACCAGTAGCGAAGATGACAATCTGGGTTTTTACTTACCTAAGCATTTTATCGTCCATGATCATAAATCTTAATAACCTATAAAAAACATGGTCCTTTTTGCGGTTACAATTACACGGGGAGGTCAACAGATACATGTGTAATTCTTCATCGTTCGTCTAGATACCTGCAACCCGATCATCGATGCATGCATTATGGCATTAATTATGCAAAAGGATGAACCAGTTCAATAAACAGGTTGCGCAAATCGTTATTTACATACAACTTGTACTGGCTTCGATATATTCAAGCCTTTTATCCGAACGTATCTAACTACCTATCTAAATATATACGTGTAAAACATAAGATGCTAATGCACTGAATAATTACCTGTGTACAAATTTGCAAAGTTGTACAATGATAATTGACAATTATCATTGTACAATTATTAATTGTACAACTTATTGGAGTTATCTAAGTCTATCTCGCCCGAATATGTATGCAAATTGCCATTAGGTTGAGCAGGGCTCTTCACGCAGCCGATTTTATGCCGGATCGCCGCCGCCGATTTTATGCCGGACCGCCGTCGATGGGAAAAATCGCCGCCGAAAATTTTTCGGTGCGCCGGTTCTCTTTTCGTACACTTACCCATTCCGTACTCTATGATATCGAATGGGCATCAAATTCAGGTACTTCGCCTGGACAATCTTTCCTCCTGTTATGACAATCAGTATCTTCAAACCCGTTTCTACTAGGTAATTTATTATGCAAATATTTATAATGAATTGGGTGCGAAATAAATCATAATTTGCATTCTTTATATATATATTAAAATGAGGTTCATAGTTACCCACAGCTACAGCTATGGTAATTACAGTTATCTACATATCTACTCCCATTAGTTGATACCTTTACATTCCCACCCCGAATCTTGATCGTTACATACATACATGCACAAACTACCACTATTGATGATTAAGTAAGGTTGAGCTAATTAGTGTAGGATGGATTTCACTTCTTTATTATTAATGGGAATTAAACTGGTTTTCATAAACGTGTCAGTTTAGGTGGTTGATTAATATTCTAACTTTTGTCAATTGCTAAATTTGATGGTAAAAATCATCTTTAAGGTTTTTGGAAGGCGTGTTTCGTACTCATTTTGTGCTACCCTTTTAGAGATCTGGTATTAAATCAGTACTGACTGGAGTACATATTTAATAACACGCATTTCATGCGTTTAGTCTTGTAGTGATAATGAAAAATTTGCCACTCAAAAGCAAACTAATACCAACCCGGTAAGAAATTATTACCAAATCAATACCAGTCTGGAGTATACATATGTATGTATCTGTAACTCTTCAAGATTTTTAACAGTGTAGTCAAAGATGGATGTACATAAATCTGTCCATAATTTGGGTACAGGTTTTCCCCATCACACGCGTATCGAAATTACATAACTACCCGATTTAATTATGTAACGCACATATTTACGCTGTTGTATCCTTAAGGTGAATCGTTTTTTCTGAAACACTTTGGAACAAATTCACCACGTGGGTTTGCTTGGGGCGTATGAACTTCAAAGACAAAAACCGGTTTGAATTTTGGACAGAAAAAAAAACTAAACACGTTGCAAACATTTGGAATAAATTATTTGGTGACGCATACAATTCTTGCGTAAATCGTAGGAACAATCATGTTTATAATTATTTGTATGTATGTACATAACCATGTTGTGTATGTCAATTTCATGTAAACATTTATGTACGTATGTACTTGAAGAGTGAAGCTAAATAATTTTGAAATCATGGATGTACATTTGTATGCACATAAAATGTATGCAAATGCATATGGATAAGTACGCAACAAATATTACCGTACACTGGTGTATCGATACTAGATACTAGATATTTACTAAATTTACCAAATATTTACTAAATTTTGACTAATTTTACCAAATTTCTCAAGGATGAATGATTCTCAAGGATTAATACAAAAGGCTTTAGGACATGGTTTTGACGAATTCGCGGTTGAATATCTCTGGCGGGGAGTTGAATTTTGAACTGATTTTTGGTCAGTTGCAAGATAATACTCTCAAAAAGATATATTTTAAATTTTGGGCCGATAGCTTTATAAATGCCCCCTCCAGTGCCCCCAGAGTTTGAAGGAGCCAAAAAAACACTTTCCAAACTGAATTACTCATATAGCATGATAACCTAAGAGGTCATAGGTGAATGATTGTTAATATTACAACCCTAGATAATCATTGCATGTAATAATAAAAGAATCCACAATGAATTACATAACGTTGGGCCTCCATCGTCGCTGATACGTTTTCATGAAAAGTGATCAATCGGACCGTGCACAGGAAAATTGACCTGCTGACCTTTAAAGCGGACCCACTAGGTCAAATGAAGATTGAGGGCAAAGCTCTAAGTGTCTCAAGTAATATTAAATTAAACAGTGAAGATTTTGTGTAAACAGTTTTGGAGAAGGACCCTAGCTAATCAGCTGACGGGGAATAGTAAAAAACTCGTGAACTAATTTAGGAAAATAATGGTCAAATTTTGTTGAAAACAAATTTTAATAACTTTTTTGTGTTCCCTGCTGCAGAACTATTTTACCTACAAGGTACAAGTGACAAAATAATAAAATTACTGCGTTTTGATTAGTTAAAAAAATTTAAAGTTCCGCTTCAATTTCGAGGAGAACTTTTGTAAAAATTTTATAGGGTTTGATGGAAACTCATTTCCTGGGGTGTAACCACTTATCAAAATTTTATCAAAAGTACTTACAATGCAACATACAATTTCTACCTTGGATAAAAACCACGTTAGGGATTTTTAGCATCAAAGTCCTAAAATGTGGGGGCCTTAAAAGTCGAGGAGTTGCGTTCAAGAGAGCATTCCATTAAGACAAGTATGAAGCTAGACTACAAAAGGGACTTAAAAGATAAGCATGATACAAAAGTGGTTTTATATAGTGAAAAGCATGCTAAGTCCCTTGATAATAGTCGCAAAGGCGATTTTTGCACCAGGACCTCAGAAAAAAATATTTTGTTCAACGCCATTTTATAAGAACACTGGTTTGGAAAACTAAAAAAGGACACCTCTCCAAATTTGACCTTTCCTCATTTCGCAGAGTACATAAAATCGGAAGCCAGATATGCTTACCTATAGTTTGAGACATGGGCTTTCACATAAAAATGTTAGAAATCTCTACAACTAAAAACCATCCCTCAATTAAGGTATGAATTCGTCAAAACCATGTCCTAACGCCTTTTGTAGATAGGATTTGGACCTTAATAACAATTTGATTGACTAAAAAACATGAACCACAAATAGATAAGCATAAGTGTATCCCATTATTTAAAATTGCTTATGTCCCTATTTGACCCACTTTCAAGGCTTATTACAGCTTAAATCGTTCATGGCAAGGGCATTCTCCTAAATACCTGGTCATTACGACAGGTATCATCCCCTCATTCAGTTCAACAGAATAGTTTGGTAAAAATGTACTTTTTTGACAGGTCCGTTGCCATTAAAAGCTGGTATTACTGTCAAATGAATATTTTTTATGTATGCATATTAGTGATTTACGCATTGTAATAATTGTACCTATTAGTGTGCAACCTTGAAATTTGCGTAATTGCATGCAAGAAGATTCTGAAGAGAGGACTATTTATGTATTCAAAGCGACTTGAAGTTGTAAGTGCTGGTAGTTAGCTCAGTCGGAGCACTGCACCAATTTAAGACTTTAAATGATTAAAGTTATTTTTACCCGAATCTATTTTATTGTGTAAGTGGTATTATACATAAGTGGCGAGTTCCTCTAGAGGAACTCACCACTTTAAAAGGTTAGATAACCTTTTGAAGTGAAGTTATTGTGGTATGAACTAAAGTGAACCTGGAGTAATTTGTGTTAGTGGCCTGAAAGTGTCTCTCGTCCGGGAAGTCCACATTCAGCTTTACCATATGTAGTCACCGGCAATTTGTAACTCGTGAAATTCTCCACTTGTTTCCCAATAAACCCGAATTTTATTATTGTCATAATTCCATTTGTATATAGTGTCGTGCATCATTGCCAGGTAGCATAATTTTCAGTAATTTTCAGTGAAATTAATTAACATTAGGACTCACTTGTCATTATCCCGTAGTTTCTCCCCCGCTATGAAAACTGTGAAATCGAAGAAACCCCTACTGATCTACATAGAGAAAGATATTTTAAACTCCAACATAGACAACATTCTAACCGATAATTTTCTATAATTATAAAAAAACTGTTATGCAAGCTTTATTATTTATTCGGGCTTTGGGTGGTTAATCAACGTTAATTGGTTTACACGCTAAATAATTTAAGAGGCAAATCGTCACCCGCGGAGGCACTCCCTATAGTGCGCTATATTTGGATAATTATTACAGAGACGTTTTGTTACTAATGGAAAATAAGTCGAAAACTTAAATAACAAACACGTGCGACGTCGTTATTTAAAAAAATCGATACTTGATGTAAAAAATCTTACCACTTAGATATGCGAAACATTGTATGCTAAATATTCGGGTTACGGGTAAATCATCGTTGGATAACTCGAAGGCGGGTAGGGTGGTAGTTGGACAACTCGTAGTAGGGTAACGCGTGGGAGCGAAAAGTGTCGTAGTCGGACATTTTCGTCGAATCCAATTTTATTTTAGAGCACTACATATGGAGTAGGAGGAGTCTGAAACAGACGTTTCAGAATTTTGTGTGAAAGCTCTCATATCCCTCTTAACAGATTACTGAAGTATTTTCAAGTGAGCAACACTTGACCGTGGTAACTCCACGGTCGAGTGTCAAAATAAATAATATTAATCAAAATATATTAATCAAAATATATTAATCAAAATATATTAATCAAAATATATTAATCAAAATATATTAATCAAAATATATTAATCAAAATATATTAATCAAAATATATTAATCAAAATATATTAATCAAAATATATTAATCAAAATATATTAATCAAAATATATTAATCAAAATAATATTACTTTGTAGTGTTGATAAACAACCCTACAAAGTATGGGGGTCGACGTGCTCGAAATGAAAAAGTCATAAATAAATAAATACCCGGGGTATGATTATTACACGCTCGAATTAAATGACTTTGTAGAATGTGTCGCATTAAAATGCTACTTAGCATTTTACCTAAGAACTTAAGTTCTTAGGTAGAGTTACGCGTGTCGATAAAAGACATAACGACGCTGTAGATAAGTCAAGCAAGAACTTATTATTCAGGCGCTTATCGCACAATGTTCAACTGCTTTTGCCCCAACATATAGCGATGTCCCATGCTTAAAGCGTAGATGGAATAACGCATGGAAATTTTCAAAAAAACAAGAAACCTAATTTTTGTCAATCTTGTACACAATTTAATTTGAGTGTAAATTTTAAAGCTAAAAGACAATTCCATATTTTCGACCAAATATTCTTCTTCGACTTGTCCTCTTTATTTACTTGTCCGCCAGCGAGTTGTTCTTCCCTCGACTTGTCCGCTACCAAACTTCCGACGACGATTTACCACCAACCCAAATATTCAGGTAATACAAATGTTCAATTTTTTAACGTATGTACATAATGACGGCATGTCTGTTGGGTACATGAGTTTTCGACTTATTATCAATCCATTCCATTGGTGGCCAAGCCGGTCCGTAATTAGAAATAGAGCATTACAGTGTCTCCGCGGGTACGAATCGTCACTGGCGATGTGTCTCCAAGTTATTTAGTGTGTACAACATAAATTCGCCCATGCATTGTTTGTTTTGTCTTGGTAAATATTTTCTTAACTTTGTTCTAGGTTAACATCAATTCGACTCGGGGAAACGTTCCACTGTGAAACTCTTACCTCTTGGATACCTACATGTAATATTTTGGGTACAAAATTAGCGACGTTTACAACAAACATGTTTAAGATGTATGTACACAGTTAAATTAGTCGAATATGTATTTCCATCCGATGATAATCTTTGGAAACTTCCAAGTTATCGGATCGGTTTTATAGTAAATATTTACAAAATTTCGACTCTATAATTTCCGAGATTCTCTGAGGACGGATATCATATTCTCGAAACTGAAATATCAATTTAATCCCATTAAAGCAGGAGACCATAACTAATGTTTAGGCATCTGGATATTTATGGGAATGAGTGACATTAAAATGTCTTGCCTACGTCTATGTTGACACAGTTCACCTTTATTACGGCGTAGTTTTTCAATGCCAATTAAGGACATTATTGACCCCGTTGAGATGGTCAAGTTTCACGAATTTATACCCTACGCGAGGCAATGTCTCTGGGTGAATTCCTGGTATGGGAGCAATCCAGTGAAATGGAATTCAAAAGCCACACCCACCTCGGTTAACTTATTCGTTCCTTCTGCCTGGCTAAAAAGTCCGGTCCGGATTTTCTTAAGTGTGACGATTTTTATATATTTTTCTGTTATGAGCCTTCGGTTGGGAATAACTTTATTGGAGGGACGATCAGATACTATGTTCGGAACTAACGTTGTAGCCGGGCTGATTTGGATCGTAGTTTTCTGTGGAATTTCGTTCGGAAGGATGTCGTTTAGCAGGGAGGGGGAAATTGCGGCTTGGCTTAATACGTTGATCTACTTTGAAAGGAAAGAGTTTGAGGGTAAGTATGTACATATGTACGTTGATATATAAATAATTTATTACCAGACGTTTGGTAATAAGTATGCCACTTACAATGTTTGGTTGCCTTTCTTTTAAAATTTTGCTAAATTTCCTGAAATGCAAAGCAAGAAGTGCAGGAAATGCAAAGTGCCAGAAACTGTAAGAAAGTGCAAGAAATATGCGTCACCAAGCCACGCGCCCTATGAACTATTTCTTTATAGTTCTGGGAAGTAGCTGTTTGTTCTTTGCATTTCTTGCAAGTCAAAATAGCTGTGAGAAACCACTTTCTTGCAAGTCGTTACTTGCACCTGAAACTCTGACAACTTGATATCAATTTTTCTTCCTCTGTAGGAAGCGAACAGCTCGAAAAAGCTATTAAAACAGGACTTGACGCAAACTTTACAAAAAATCCAAAGCTAACGGTGCTCTACTGGATGACAGAATTCAAAGAGATGTTTACCGGAAGTTTTCATAAGTTCATCATCCACGCTGCCACTTCCGTCCCGCTGGTAAATCCCGTTCTAATGTCGGTTCAAATTTGGCGGGCTCCCTGTACACGACCATTACTCGTTTCATTGCGGGAAGATTGCACCCATAGCGTGGTTACGAATCCATGTTGCATTGATTGGTTGGTCAGAGTGATCTTTCATCTCTTGGACAGCTGGGCGATTGGGTTGGGCTTTGCGCTAACTCCGTTTACAGGCGTTTTCATCATATTTATTGGAGCGGTGTGCGTGGCGGATTATCAAGCGGGGTAAGTCTGGACGAAATATGGATGTGTTAAAGTCCAACCGTATTAAACGAATCTATTTACATTAAAACTATATTTCATAATGAAATATGAATATTTATGGAAAAAGTAAGCACCGCTTTAACCTTAGCGGTCAAAAGATCTCAGTGGGGGTATTCATTACTAGTTCTCATTGTCAACAACGTTAGCAAGAAAACGAATTTATGTTAACGAGTTCACAAAAAAGTTGGCTTCATTTCCGAACTTGTGCTTGGAAGGTTTTAAGTTGGCAATTTTGTTTTCAAAATTATGTTGTGATGCGGACATCCGAACTCATAATGAATATCCCAATTACGTGGTTGGAGATGGACTTGATTCAAAATATGAATTTCTACTGTGAAACAGCATTTAATTTTTATCTGTTACCATGAATACCCGTATTTCTTAATTTTGCAGGTGTAAAAAATCCATTTGCAGAGGATCCCTTACAAAATCTCTAAATTTCTACCAGAAGCATCTTCACCTTTACCGGACAACGTTTCTCTTATCGTCCCAACATAACCAACTGGTCCGTGGAAATCTGGTCAATCTAATGGTCACCATGTGCTCCTTGGCAATCCTTAGTTTGTACAGCTGTATCGCACTTCATAGCGTGATGCCGCTCCCGCTCACCCTTTTTTCTTTGACGCTCGTCCTCGAAATCGTTTGCCTCGTCCATGGCGGGATGTATACGACGTATGGAAAACTGTACAATGATAGCGTAGCTGTGATCGACACATTTAAACGGATCGATAAAATTGGGAGGAATAAATACTTGCGGAGAATTGTTAAATCGATGCAGCCAACGAAAATAAAATTCGGTGGGGCGGGTAATTTTCTAGAGGCGTCAACCGCGCTACAATTTAATAGAACCACGGTCGATCAAGCGGTGAGTTTGGTGCTTATGAGAGGCTAAGGGAGACTCGATATTTTATGCAGGTTTTGTAGCTTGGGAAGCTTTATGTTTGAAAAATTAAGGTGTCACACTATTTATGGGACAGCGTGTATGTGGCACTTACAACAAAGTTTGAATTCTTATATAAAAATTCAAACATTCATTATAATGAATGTGGAATAGTAAATAAATCATATTATATTAATTATATTTTTCAAGAGTTAATTTTATGTTAGAAATTACTCATCTTAAATTATGCAATAATTTTCAAAATTTTTTGAAGTAAAGGATTTTAATTAAAGGCATTAATGAAACGAAACCTTAATTTTACTGCATTTTATTGCGATAACTCCAAACCTATTCAATTTCCGGTCTCTGCTCCATCGTTCCCGTTGGAATTTTCAGTTGGAATTTTTTTCAACATTTCTTCATGCTTCTTAAAATCTTCAAGCATCTTATCATACATCTTATTTCCAACGTAGGACCCACCAGCTCCACAAATCACTATTCCTGGGACACCCAAAGGTGCACACACAACGGCTCCGATCAAACCTCCGTGTGTGGCATAAACTGCCCTCGTTGCTACCTCCAGAACATCTATTTTCTTGTCTTTTAATTTGTCTCCTGCTAAATTAGTGGTTGCATTGGCACCAAATTTGGCAACGTTTTCCGGCACTCCTACAGCTTGCAGCCCTTTCTTAACCCCCATGTTCACGAGAGGTTTACCAACTTCCCAGGCATCTAAATGTAAAAAATAAGAAGGATTTAAGAAGAATTATGAATATTTTATAACCATAAATATGTAAATCAGTAAATATCGATTTTAGAAAATAAATAATAATATGTAAAAAAGCATATTAATATTTTACACTTTACCTTTCCAATCAACGCCAGCATAATTCCAACCCAAACCACTATCTCTTTTAGTAACATTTCCTTGGAAAATATTGTACAATTCGCTGTCCTTTACGTACGCCATGGCTTCAGGGGTCAGATCTCTTAGGGGGAAAGATTTTCCGGGGTAGACCCCACGCCCGTCGTCCATCTTGCCAAAATGATTTTTCATATATATCGCGCGATTTAGCCACAAGTAAATACATACTTGCACATAGGTCTTTTTTTGCTTTTTTTCTGTGCACTTAGGTCTTTTCTGAATTGAGCATCGACTGCACTTAGGTCGTTTCTGAATTAAACACCGACTGCACTTAGGTCTTTTCTGAATAAAGCATCCACTGCACTTAGGTCTTTTCTGAATTAGTACGACGATATGCAGATAATTATGTATGAAACTCCTGCTCATATGAAAAAAGCATAGCCTTCCCCCACACGATAAGAAATGTAGCTCTGTTTCCAAGATATATTTTGTCGTATGGCCTTCCCCGAGCCAAGTTTCTCGAAAAGGTTACCTTGCAGCTAACATGTGCATAACATAATTTCTTGGCAAATCTGAATTTTGACACCGGAACAAATTTGTATAACGCCCGGTTTATACTTGGATAATTGTTTAATTGGGCAATAATTACCCGGCTAATTGTTGTTATCCCAAATATGTTATTGAGTGACGCACGGCGAAAGTATAAATTGGTAATGGATAAAATCTATTTAAAAAATAACAAATTCCGCCAGGTAACCTTTTAGAACTTCTGAGGCCATACTTTTTTCACATGAACAGTAGGTGTATAGTTACATATTCTTGTAGAAAGAGTTTAATTTTTATTTGCGACGGCGTATTGATTTTTATTTGATTTTAGTTATACATACTAACTTGTTTTAGAAGTTGATGCCTTGACTTCAGGCAAATTCCTTTGTAAACCAATCGTATTTGGAAAGTTGCCTTTGATCAAACAAAAAAACTCTTCAGTAGATAACTTTGAACTAATTGTTGCAGATTAATTTGCGTACCATTTGATTGAATTTCCTTTGCCAAATCTATAAATTTTTCCCTTTCTTTCTGCATATTGGCTGACAAACTCAACAACTCGCCAATTTTTGCAGAACGTTCCCGAAATTTGGAATCTATTTCATTGTCTCCGCCACCATCAAGGGAGACTAAATTAGATTACAAAACGATTTAAAAATACAAAAAGTGGTTACTAACTAATGATAATAAATACAAAAGGGTGATTACGTAAGTGTAAACGTTTTTGTCGTTGAATAACCCCGAAACGGTTTGTCGTAGCGGGTCAAAATTTTGAACAGAGGAGCATGTTATCCTCAGATTGGTGTGTGCAAAAATTCAACTCTCTAAGTAGAGAGTTGAATTGACTGTGGCGAAGGCAATTTTGGAAGTACTTCCAAAATTGCCTTCGCCACAGTCCTCAGAAGTTGAAGTTGAAACAGTCATTTCAACTCTTTCCAAACTCCGTCTAAAAAATTCGGTCTCCGCAGAATTTTTTTTCTTCTCACGTATCCGACCCAAAAGCCCATTTGACTTACATCGGGGGATTGTACAGGTATTTCACTATTCGAAATGATTTTTATCCCAAATCTAGCTTCAAGGTCCTTTGCATTATCTTGCCGTCTGAGAAGACGCTGCGTCATCATGAAAAATCACCTTATTTATTTATTTACCATACCATTTAGGAAAATATTATTCTAAAAGTGGTTTCAATACACGGTCCACATAATACTTTGCAGATATCTTCACTTTTTACGTGACTTTGATAAGTAGGAGGAGACCACGACCCGACATTGCACCCACCACCATAAACTGTTTAAAAAAGTTCTCCTCACGGGGAAGCACCAACTTGCATGAATTGTTTTCGGCATTTGTCGTGTAGTATGCTCTTCGAACCAATTAGTAACTTCTACGGAAAATAGTCCTTCGTCAATTGCCAGCAATAACTCACTCCTATCCTCAACAGAAAATTTAAATAAAATTTTTAGCAAACACGGACGAGATTTTTTTCCTGTTTTTCGGTCAGCTGATGCACACGAGTTTTCCGACGAAGTCGATTCTTCAAAATCTTAATTTCTCTTTTTACTCAAGGCTTAGACACCCCAGCCTTACGGGAAATTTACTTTTGGGGCGGTGGATTTTACGTTTACAAAAAAAAACGTTTACACTTACGTAATCACCCTTTTGTATTCGTATTTGTTATTTTCTCACCTATAGCGTCAGATTTTAGTTGAGAAACACAAAACTCTTAGCTTGATTCAATCCGATCTTGTTTGCATTCCTCTTGAGAAGTCTTATCCCACAAAAGTGTCCCTTGCGCTAAGTATTCTCGTTGTTGATAGCTATTGGTCAAAATTTTCGCATTGTTCTTCTCCCACGCTAATTTCTCAATTTCTTTAGCTGTAGTGGCAGATAGTTGCTGTTGCCTTTGTTCTGCGGCTGCTACGTCTCTTTGAAACTCTTGAAATGCTAATGGATATTAATTAGATTAACCAAAAGTATAAAGTAAGTTAGCAGATGTCCATAAATTATGGCATGCTGAAGGAGGATAACATTTTTTGTGACATGTGCAATTAGTGTAAGAGAGGTCTGAAAAATCGGGATTTTTGCGTGACATAATTTATGAACGTTCTCTTAAGTTGTTTGTCTTACCTGGAACAGGCGTGTGAGAAGATGCCCATTGACCTGTCGCAAAGTCGTGTGTCGCTGACCGGTATCCATCCGAAACTAAATAAAGTTAATTACGATTTTGCCCTTTTAACATAATGCATGCAAGGACCTCGAATAATTAATAATTAATTTAAGTTTTATAACTGACCAGTAAATTGACAGCTCCACGAAGATGTTGGTTGGCTATAGTTAGAACTTGAGCCAAGGCTTGGAAGATTGCCACGCCAAGTCATTTCTAAATTATAAAATTGCGTAGTTCCGCTACTTTGAGAGATGGTGCGTAATTTTTAAAAGTCGAATATTGTTGGAGAGGGATCAAAACGTTGCTACCAAATCAATAGTTTGCTATATCTGCTGATCGTTCCATTCGTACAAAAAAATTAGCAGATGTAGTGACGAAGATGCAATGAGAGAGCAACTGAATGAGATCTTTAGGATTGAAAGGTTGATGCAAAATAAATTACTCTGTCTATGAAATAAATCCTCATGAACTCCTCATGAAGACTACATACGTATGTATGTAGCTAGTAACAAAAAATGTGGATTTTCATGAGCTCCTAGCAAAACCCATGAGCATTTGAAGAATGGCTAATCCTTCCTTTCTTTAATCCAAATCCAGTGATACATACATACATACATATGCACATTTAATAAAGTCATGTATACAAGTTTTCTTGCTCGTTATAAAGCTGTTACCGTTGGATCTTTCCTTGCATGTACAAATTAATGTGGCAGCTGAATAAAATTTAATTTAGTCTGCCTTCGCAACTGTTGCAATTAACAATAATTTTTTGTGATAAAGTTAAGCTTCAAAATTACTAAGGTGGTAATACATACATACATACATTTGTATTCATAATAACTATTTTTAACCTTTATGTACATGCATATTGATCCTTTAAAAAAGTATTTAAAATAAATTAAAAACAAGTAATTCTCCAGGTCAAAATGGATCAAGACGGTTGCAGCCAATTAGGCAAATTGTCGCAACTCCCAAAAAATTCCATGTTGAATGAACTCATAATTTCGGAGGCGAAATATGACCTAGTCATCCGCATAACGGAGGATGCCGGTGGGTGGATCTCCCTTCACAAAATGCTTCTAGCACTAAAAGCCCCAAAACTTCTGGAAGCTCTGGAAAATGACGGGAATAAGGGAATGGACGAAGAGGAAATTGAGTGGGTTAAGTGGCCCAGTAAAATAAGTTTGATCTCCTTCAAAAAGTTTCTTGCTGTGAGTAATTAAATAATTTTATTTTGATCGATGTAGCATGTTCCTTACATGGAAAATGTGCATAATGCTAGGTTAGAGTTAATTTTTAATCTTGGGGCCCCTTAATAAATTATTTAACAAAAATCACGATAAACCCCAATCGCCCCCTTAACATGTGTCACGTGTGCTTATCATTGGAACCTTTGACCTTCCCCCTCCCCCTTTCGTGTTAAATAATTTATGAACGGCCCCTCGGTCATTGTTCGGAAACGTTCATAAAATATGTAATGCGACATTAACAATTTTTCTATCCTTCGTTCCCCCCTCGTAACGGGTTACACCCACTTTTTAACATGTGACGCAGTTTGATAGGTAACGCAACAGCCCGACCCCTCCTTCCCCCGTTACATATTTTATGAATATTCCCTTACGTTATTACATGTATGTACTTCAATTCAATTCAATCAAGTTTACAATAAATTTACGTCTGTACTTTAATTAGTGGGTCTATAACGGAACCCCCGGTTCTGAAACAACTGAGGAAGACGTATCAGCATTGCTTCAGATTGCAAAGGACTATGAAATTTTTGAATTGGCAGAGTGGTGTGAGCAAATGTCGGTTCCTATGACAACTAGCACAATTATGCCCTTAATGCATCAGGGTTTGGTTTCCGGAAATGACGAACTTGTCACAAAGATACTTTATGCATTGGCTAGGTAATTAATGGGAATGAATAATTGTAATTTAAAAATGTGGTAAAATTGTTTAAATATTTAGCGACCAAGAAGAAATACTTCCGTTAAACCCTTTCGTAAAATTGGGCCTGCGACACCAAGCCGAGGAAAGAGCCGCCAATGCCATCCACACGGCAAACATTTTTGACGCGTTATTTCGGTTTTAATTAAATTTTAAAGTAATTAATTTCAATTGTAGTTTTTAAATTGGGTTTTGCCTTTAGGGGAAGTAACACTAAAACGGATTCCAAGAACATCGTTCCTTTGCACAGATTCCTTTGCAAAACCGGAACCAACAGCATGTACAATAATCACACAACTTCGGGTAATTAATTTGAAAAATGCTTTTAAAAATCAATTAAAATCTAACTAGGAACGTTCATATATTACGGCATCAAAAAGATGGGTGGGTGGTTTTTGGTCAACGATCATACTCGTTTTAACATGAGTGGGATGGGGAAGGGGTGGGTGTGTGGTGTAAAATTCGGTATTCTTTGATGACGTAATATACGCACAGAGCTGGGATAATCCTAATTAAGGGTTATGGATTTTAATCCCGGGTTATGGATTATTAATCCCTAATCCGGCAATGAGAGTTTTTCCAAGAGTAATCCTAATCCATAATCCCGATTTTTCTGGAATTAGAATTAATCCGGGAATAATTCCATTGAACGTCATTAATCCATAATCGTGATTACGGATTACTAATCCAGATTAATCCTAATCATGATTATTAATCATATGTGCATGGACTGTTCCTCTTTAACTTTCTAACTTTTTAAATTTTATTTAGTTGAACATTACACCTATATTGGAGTCTGCTGCAAACTCTTTCACCAAAAAACTTCTCCCCGACCCCCTCGCACGGTTGCCTTACACCGTTTCTATATTCAACCCGACCACGACAACGTTTACACAACCGTCCCCTCTGTATATGAAGGGATGACCACTGCAAAGTACGAAGGAAGCGTGGGCTACGTCTACCCGAATCCTGAGACTGGCACTGTCCCCGTTTTCGAGTATTATAGCGCAGTGGACAAAAATCACTTTTACACAAAAGACTGGAACGAGTGTAAAACTAGAGATAGACACTATAATTATGTTGGCATTGCTTTTTATGCATTTCCGTAAGATGCACAATTACTCAGATGTGTACGGTACATAGATATGTAATAAACTTGAGTTTTCCTTTGCGATCGTAAGTGTAAACTATAGTTTACTCATCGACTACGTACATAGTTTAACTATGTATGTATGTAGTCGATGAGTTATTAACAAAATTTCGAATCATTAACCTCAAGGATTTGGACAAATCTAAATTTTTTGGAATACGTGATATAACGTATGTATGTATGTATTTGGTCCTCAAGGGGCAGTGGTCACGGTCAACGGTATATCATATGAATTTTGTGGCGGATTTTTTGCATACACGATATGACATATTTGGTCTATTTTTATTAACTCATGTAACAATAATGTACACAATGCTTTAATTAAAATTAACCCCAGTTTCATAACAAAGATTGGACTACCTGCATACATACATTCTCATAATAAAAACTGTCTTGACAGTATGTTTATTTAAAATTAATTAAATTTTCGTAACAAAATTAACCAAATTTTCATAATAGAAATTAGATTATTTATATTATAAATGCAATTTCGTAACATTAATTTACCAGGATTTTTCCTCCCTAAAATAAGTACACGAGGTCTTACACCAAATTTACTGTATGTCATTGTTTTCCTTACTGCCGTGTAACATACATAAATAAATACATATCGTCGCTGTAGATCCATAACCTGCCAAGTTGAAAACCAGTTGGAAGCATAAAATGCCAAGTTGAAAACCAGTTGGAACCATAACCTGCCAAGTCTGTTTTCGTGATTTTTCAGGAGAGCGTAAAAACCCGAACCACATGATTGTTGGTTGAAGGAATCGCAGTAATTGATTTTTTCACTGTTTAATGTTGAATGTAAATTTAAATTTCATCCAAACAATTTCAAATTTTGCATGAACATGCATACATATATTCTTAATCATAATGTTGCATCAATTCCCATTTCGATCGCTATAAATTTTTCAGGAAAAATATAAAACCAAATTTTTTACGGTTTTTGATTTTTCCTGAAAAATTTATAGCGATCGGAGCGGGAATTGATGCCATGTTATGGTTAACAATATATTTATGCATGTTCATGCCAAATTTGAAATTGTTTGGATGCAATTTAAATTTGCATTCAACATTAAACAGTTCCTAGATCGCATAGATTAGCCATCTTGCCACGAGTTTTTCGAGCAAGAGAAAGCCAAATGTTATAAATTTTGTCAGTTTTTGATCTTTAATATCTCCGGAACTAGGTGGTCAATAGTTTTTTTGAAATAGCCATTTTATCGCTAGCTAAATGCCAAATTTTTATAGACTAAAATCGCAATACACCCCAAAACAGACTTGGCAGGTTATGGTTCCAACTGGTTTTCAACTTGGCATTTTATGCTTCCAACTGGTTTTGAACTTGGCAGGTTATGGATCTACAGCGACGATATGCATGTATGCACATAAACTATAACTCCCCCTATTCTATTATGGGGTCATTCCTCCAAATATTTTCCAAATTTGTCCTCAAATTTGGAAACGTTGTCGCTATTCTTTTTAAAAATTTGGAGCAACTTACCATATTAGTAACGCATTTATCCTGACAATCCGGATATTTAGTAAGCAGTTTAAACCTTTTCATACCCTTCAGAGGTAGCGGAACGTGCACATCTCGCACCGTGAGGGATTCTCCATGCAGGAAATATTTGCATAAAAAAGACGCACACATTTCAAACCATTCCTCATCATTTAACATGTCATAAAAACATTCAACTTTCGAAACTACGAATTTCTCCAAGACGGGAAATTGCTTGGCATACTTGACACGCCTCCCTGATTTTGAAAATTTTAAGTTAAGCCCTGGAACTTTGGGGGAATATCCTGTCCCAGCCTCAACTTGGTAATAGTGCCGACAAATCGAAATTTCTAACCACCTTAATTTTTGAAACACCTTGCATGGGCAGCGTGATTGTTGTGGCGCGAATTAAAGTACATGATTTCGGGGGGATGATATTCACCCCGGAAAATTTCAGTTTTTCCAATCTATCCGAAAATGTGGCCAGAATTACGTAGTGATCCTTAGATTTGTTTAAAATGTCGATTTGAAATTCTATCCGGGTCAGAAAAATTGACCGCGTTACGATTGAAAGTGGTCGTCTTTTAATTGCTTTATCCAATCTGAGTGAGATTCCCTGAATGGATAAATTTTGCGAGAGGAAATATTCCACTAAATCTTGTGGAAAGGTTTTACCCTGCAAAATTTTCAAATTCGGGAATAATGCCACGATTCCGAGGATCGTTTCCTGGCTGATTGTACGAACCACGTTGAGCGACATTTTACCCAAAAACAGCCTTTGAGGCAGGTCAATCCCGAGTTTAGTAATGTTCGGAAATGTGACAAGGGTTGGGAGCATGACAAAAGGGAGGAACATTTCACGGGTAAATTTTTGTGGGGAGAAGCGTACGCATTTTAAGAAGGGGCAAGATGAGAATAAGGAGAGAATTTGGGCGGGAATGGGTTCCCCCCCGTGGGGGAAGTATTCCAGGTGGAGCTCAGTGATGCGGGTGGTGGAAGAGGAGGAGATGAATGTTTGAATAAGATGGGAGGCCTCGGGAGACATTTGGGGGAAGTTGAAATTGTAGAGGTGGACACGTTTGTGGGGGTAGGACCGGGTATTGGTCGGGTCGAGGTATTCCCCCGTGTTGAACGGGGTGAGTTCGACGAGGGGGCGGGATACAAGGTGTTCTCGAGCGGCTTCTTCCCACCCGCGGGAAACGAAGGTGACGCTGTCGAGAAGGTCGGTGGTGGGGACGTAGGACAGGATTACGCTGAGGATCTGGAAGTTACATAATGTTGAGAAATTATTATGAAAGTTAGTTAAAATTGTTGGAAATTCGAAGAAAATATCGGAAATTAATGGAAATTCGTGGAATCAACTTATGTAAATTAGAAAAAATTAAACTAACAATGGAACCTCTTTTTCAGGCTACACCTGGCTCGACTAGCGAGTTATGTCAAAAAATCAAGCCAAAAATTAGGAGTCACATGACACTAATCTTTCCGTTGAATGGCCTCTTTGAAGAAAAATATTGGGGGTCAAAGTTCGCACTCCTCCCTGGTTTTCGCCCCAAGGAGGAAGAGCCAAGAGAATTTGTGTAAAAATTGAACTTAATCGCTAAATATTTCTCTTCAAAGGAACCAATGAAGAAAATTGTCACGTGACTCCTATTAATAATTTCTGCTTGATTTTTTGACATAAACTCGCTAGTTGATCCCGGTGTAGCTTGAAAAAAGGTTCCATTGTAAGTAACAGAAATATCTAGATAAATGCTTAATTTGCTTAATAATTTAACCCAAAATCTTACCTCTGGTAGAACAACGGCGAGGTGTGGGGGTTGGGAAATATGGCCTTCCAAACCTCGGGGTTCCAAATCCATTTTGGGATGATTTTTGACAGATCTGAATTACCAGAATTAGAAATGAACTAAATGATTACTTGATAACGCCAAGAATAAAAAACATGTAGTGCGAAATACTTATTACCGGGGCTATTTGCAGATATACAATGTTAGAGGAGTCACTTGGTAAAATCACTCGCCTTCTTGCTGGACAAAGTTCAAGGGAGAACTGGACGGTGAGAAGTCGTGATGCTATTATGAAAAGCCAGTTGTCAAGTTCATTTTTACTTGGGATGGGACATTAGTGAAGTCATAACTTTCCAGGAAATCAAATGTTTAATTAGTGTTTCTCACGGGTCGGGTTCTTGCAAATCCGAAACCCGAACCCGAACCCGGTACCAATGATCCGAAACCCGAGGCCAACCCGAACCCGAAGAACCCGTACCCGTTTGCAGGGACCCGAACCCGAACCCGAACTGGCGGTTCAAATCCGAAACCCGAACCCGAAAACCCGAAAATATTTTTAATTTTAAGGCATGGGCTGAATTTGTACTTTAAAATTATTTAAAAGCTTAAAAATCAACAATATTTATAATATTTCAAAAACTGCCCCAGAGTGGCTTTCCGAGACCTTTAGAAATTTGAAAATCAGTCCAAAATTGGATAATTGTTTCCAGTTTGACGTTTCCAATATTATTACTTATGTAATTAGGTATGATTCAGGTAATTGCATAGCAAAATTAGGATAAAAATTCGATTTCTTTTATAGTTCGCACCATAACACTAATTGAATCGGGCTCTTGTAAATCGTTTACCTTTTTGGAAACCATTGAAATTAAACGAATTTAAGACAACTAGAAATTGGAATTACTTACTTCAGTATTGCAACCGCTGAAGCACATGTAGTTCAACAATTTTTCTAATATCTTTTTGTGATATCGATCCAAAAAAGTTTGATTCGGGTTCTTAATCCGTACCCGAACCCGACCCGAACCCGAAATTTTGACATGACAATTTTCGGACCCGAACCCGAACCCGAAAGTTTCGGGTTCTTAAATTTCGTATCCGAAGCAGAACCCGAACCCGAACCCGAACCCGAACCTGAAACCCGAAGTAAGGACCCGAACCCGTGAGAAACACTATGTTTAATAATACAACGCTTGGGAATGCATACGCATAAAGGGCCAAAACTGCTTGGAAGGGTTGGAACGAGGGAAATTTGCGCATGTTATATATTTCAGATGAGATACCTTTTTACAAGGCAAAGACCAGGAAGTTAACCCATTTTCATAACTGGATGCATTTTTATGTACATATGTGTTTATATTCCAGCGAGGTATGTGGAGGAAGAATGGAAATGTGACCCTTCGCTAAAGGACAGCATTCTTGGGTTAGATTAGTAAGGTTTACTACTACTATTACTATACAATCATGTAACACTTTCATGCCGGAAATCAATTAAACTTGTGGGCTATAAATATGTAGACTTACAAATATATACATATTCATTCTTCCTATTTTTAAATTCTAATTTTTAACCTCTTCTTATGTGATGTATGAAGATTTGACAAAAAATGCAAACCCCTTGCATATGTAAAGTAAAAGGTTTGTACGTGTGTATTTCTGCTTACAAATATCTAAATATTTCCATACATACATATGTACATACATCCATACATATGCAAGCAAATTGAAAATTTTCGTACCAAAATTACCATAAACACATTTACATACTGACACATACATATCTATGTACTTATCAAGATACACATGGTAAAAAACCGTAGAATGTATTGTTTTGGAAAATGAAATTCGAAGTTGTACAAATCGCATGCTTTCACCCAGATTTGTATGAGCATTTACATAAATACGTAAAGAATTAAGTATTTAATATTGCTTAATTAGACATTTTTAATACGCCAAATAACTCTGCTTTCACCAACTCATTTTATTTGTAATACACATTATGCATTTAAACATACACATTTTTTTGCATCGCTCGGTATATGCAAAGTTTATAACGAGCCCGTTGTACGTGAGACGAGTGAAAGTGGGAAGTGGGACCGAGTTAAAAATACGCAAAATCCAATGCACACAAACTTTGATGTTTCATTTTCAATAAATATTTTGGTAAAATAAAGTCAATTGAAAATTTTTACAAATTTACTATGGAAGGGCTCCTCGCGAGGGTGGATTATTTGGAAAATATCGTTACAAAATTGGCGAAATGGACACACTTTTCGGAAATTGTTAATTTTGGTAAATTCAAGTTACTTCTAAATATTACTTTTTCATCATTAATTAAAGATAGAAAATATATTTATATATTGTATAAATATTAATTATTATATAGTAATGACGTTTGAACTATTTTGAATAATGCATAATTATAAACGAACAATTTAAAGAAAAACTTCTCCATTCACAGAATTTCCTGCTCCTGCAGTAATTTCGCTGGAAGATGAAAATGAAAAGATTAATCCAAAATCTTCCAGACCTCGGCGGCGAGGTATTTAACATAATTTCAAAATTTCATAAAAAAATAAGTCTAAATCTATCTAACTTCTGTATTTACCAGGTCGACGACGATCTCTTCGGTCCGCTCTTTCACCGGAAGAAGAAGTAACAAATCCTGATATTATTTCAGATGACACAATTATCAAGACTGAAGACGCCGACACCTACGAAGAAATGCTGCCCGACGATGACCCCGATTTCGTCATATTTCCTCAAGACCTTGATACCGGAAGTGACGATGACAGCTTTCAAGCAGATCCAGATTCTCTCCCTTCGTCATCGTCCAAAAATTTGGGACTAGAGGAAAGCAATGTAAGTTAATACAATCATGTCCACTTTTCTGCAAAATTATGGTGCTGGTGCCAATTTAACAGTCCAACGAAAATATACTTTTTTCCAATCAAAATTATTAATAATTTCGCCAATCATGAAATGTGCAATGGTCGCGTTTAATTTTTTTATCCAACGAAAATATAAAGGAATCCAACCCAATCATAGAAATTTTATGTTGGATTTTACCACCCATTTTATTGTCATTTCGTGAAACAATTAACTCTACAATGTCAAATTTTCAGCGACTAAGAAATTGTCCATCTAATTCCGAAGACTCAGGTGAACAACCCCCCACAAAGAGGCACAGACGCATGCACGAATGGAAGAGGACCCAAATATTTAATAACATCGACGAGGCGAAATTACACATAAAAAATGCTCAGCATTTTATATATAAGTCGACACGACTGGGCCGCGACGGTCGCAAGCTGTATTACAATTGCAAAATCAACAATTGTTTACGCAAGATGTATCTGCTCAAAAGAAGTAAGCATATCAAGTTTTTCTTGGGGGTATCTATTACGAGTTTCCAATGTCAGCAAAAAAAATTGACTTGCAAATTCATTTGCGAACTTGTATTTAGTTAGCATTTTTTTCAAAATTATATAATGAACTCGTAATGAATGCTCCCATTGTTTTACTTTTTATGCAAAACTAACCCACGTTTCACATACTTATACGCAGATAATACTTTGAAAGTTGAATTATTTGAGACCAAGCAAGAGCATAATCACGAGGGCGCTAAAACGGTTGGGATCCATAAAGAAATCAGATTAAAAATCGACCTGCTCTTCAATAGTGGGCTCACCAAACCTAACCAAATTATCTCATGTCTGACCGACGAAGGAGTGCTGGCCCCCTCGAAAGTCCAGCTCAATAACTACCTCAGCGCTTTAAGGAAAAAAGGTGGACCCCAAACCCTCTTAATTGGCCAAGTTTTCGAAGAAAATGATGAAATTCCTAGTGACCAGCTTTTATCGGGAAAAGAATTAACTGTGCCGGAGAAAAAGCCTTCTGTGTCATGATAAGCTGTTAAGAAACTCGAGCAAAAGTAATCTTATGCATACCGATACTACGTACAATCTTGTTTCTGTGGAAGTGTAACGAAATCAATATGTAAATTGGTTGCACATTTTATGATTGGCGAAATTATTAATTTTGGTTGGAATATTTTCGTATAAAATAAACCCAAAATTATGTACATACATAATCAGTATTTGCCGTTGACACAATAACACCTGCGTGAAATTACTGTACTGAATTATTTTTTCTGCAAGCATAATATCTTTCAAAAAACTCTTTGCATATAGTCATCGGTGCAAGAAATGTACCAAAACGATGCAAAAAATCAAAGACTAACAAAATTTCATAAACCTTTTTCACCCTAATCTAGAATTCTGGATCTGACCCTATCGTCACCTTGACCTCGTGTAAGAATCGTCCCATGATTAGCAAAGGTGGATATTTGTTCAATTTTGAAAGGAATGGAGCCAAGAAAAAGATTTGGCGATGCAAGCACCACCGTCACCATAAATGTCCCGTACGAGTCCATACGACAAATAGTGTTACCAATCCAGAAATCCTGACCCAGATTGCAACTCATAATCACGCCCCGGATCCAAAACTTTGTGAAGTCCAGCTCGCCCTGCATAAAATAAGGGACACTGCGAAAAATTCGACTCTTCCACCGACTCAAATTGTTGCCACGCATTCTTCCACGTTTTCTCAAGCGGGCAAAGACATCGCCCCGTTAAAGAACAATATCACGAGGACAATTAGGAATATCCGGTGTCGGAAGAAGAAGCTTACTCGAAATTCTGCACTTGAAGGAATTGCTAAAAGTAATGTGTAACTGATGGGGATATTTAAGAAATTTAAGGTTAAAAAAATCAAAAATGTTCAAGAGCTCAGGAGCCTTGTATTAATGTCCCTTAAACGTAATATGCATACCAGAAACATGGCGAGATTTGTTACGTAACTAAATAATTATTAATTATTTTCCTCTCTTTATTTTCGAAAAAGTTACATTGTAATTATTCATAAATATTGATGTCAGTATAATTTAAAAAATATATATCTGTACTTGAAACTAAGTAGGTATATTCCCGTATTAGCACACATTTAACCTCAAGAGTCTCATTTTTTAGCACCTTTTCCACATTTTTTTCGCACTTCACAAACTCCAAGAATTATAATAAACATTTCTTACCCGCACTTTTTTTTACCCAGAAACACTACCTCAAATTCGGGTGACTTCCCCTCCAACTTTTTTAATCCCCCACCCGCGCCAGCTCCACCTTCGACATCGTAACGATCATATATTGCCCACCTTGGCTTCAAATTTGGAAACGTGGTGAGAATTTTTCTAAAAAAATCGCAAGAATCTACCACTTCAAAAACTGCGTTATCCTTAAAGTGTCGAAGCAATTTAAACCTCTCGACATTCTTGGGGGGTAGCTCAACTCGGATATCTCTCATCGTGCGGGATTCCCCATGCAGGAAATATTTGTACAAAAATCCCGCACTGATTTCTAACCACTCCTTCTTTTCCTCATCTGTATCTAAATAATCCAATCTTGAAACTACTAATGTCTCCAAGGCAGGAAATTGCTTCGAATAATCGGCCACATTTGCCCCTGACTCGGAAAACTTTAAATTCAAGGCTACTGCATCTGTTGGGCCGGCCACATCACGAAAATTATTCTGGCCTATCCATATTTCCAAACACTTTAGCTTTGGAAACACCTCGGGCAGCGTGATTGTCGTGGCCTGCATTAAATTGCGAAATTTCGACGGGATGACATCCACCTCGGAAATTTTCATTTTTTCCAGTCTATCCGCAAATGCGGCGAGAATTGCGTAGTGATCGGTCGACCGGTTAAAAGTATCGATTTGAAATTCAAGCCGGGTCAAAAAAAGGGATGCGGGTACGATTGACAGTGGTCGGTCTGGATTTGAATTATCCAATCTGAGGGAGACTTCCTCGAAGGGTAAATCTCCGGAGAGAAAATATTCCACCAAATCTTGTCGAAAGGTTACACCCTGGAATATTTTCAACTTCGGAAACAGTGACAAGATTCCATGAATCGTTTCCCGACTGATGTTACGAGCTATGTTGACGGCCATGCCGTTCAGAAGGTACAGATTGGTAGGGAGGTGGAATCCGAGTTTTACGACGGATGGAAACTTGACCCATTTTGGGAGCATGACGAGAGGTTTGAGCATTTCGAGGTGAAACTCGTCTGGAGAGAAATTGACAGATCTTAACTTTGGGGAGTTTGTGAGTAAGGAGAGGATTTGGGGGGAAATCTTTTCGTGGGGGAAGTAGTCCAGGTGGAGCTCGGTAATGGAGGCGGCGGCGGAGGAGGTGAAAGTTTCCAAAAGAGTGGACTCCTCGGGGGGCATATTTTGGAAATTGAACTTGGAAAGGACGACACGCTTGTGGTGGTTGGAACGGACGTTGGCAGTGTCAAGGTAGTCGGCCATGTTGGTCGGGGTGAGCTCGACGAGTTGGCGAGAAAGTAGGATTCCTCGAGCGACTTCCTCCAACCCACGGGAAACGTAGGTGACGTTGTTGAGAAGGTCGGTGGTGGGGACGTAGGACATTATTTCACGGAGGATCTGGAAATGAATAGAATTTTAGGAAAATAGTGAATTTGTGGAAAAAGTGAATTTACTCTCAGTGGCCGAGGAAGCTGTGGGGACATTAATATTGTAGGATAGGGGAGGGAGGGGTTTATAAAATATGGGGAGATGATGGGAACATCGAATAACCGTGGGGATTTTATCTCTCTGTCGCCACACTTCCGCGGCCACTGTTCAAACAAGTTGAAATAAATGCCGTTCATAAACTATGTAACGCGAGAGGGGGTCAAAGGCTCAATGATAATGTAAAAGGGGGGAGGGGGTCTATAAAATCGTGATTTTCATAATTTATGAACGTCTCTTATTTCCTATTTGGATTAATTTAATTAAACTCTCTCACCTCTGGTAGAGTGACGGCGAGGTGTGGCTGGGGTGGTTGAGAATTGCGACCTCTCCGTCGACCTCGTGGTTCCGCATCCATTTCGGAAAGATTCTTGATAAATCTATGTATTGGTTGACAGAATTAGAAATAAATAATTATTAGTTAGATAAAGCTAAAAGCAGAAAATTATAATGCAAAGTATTTATTACCGTTGGAATTTGCAGAGAAACAATGTTAAAGTCACTTGGAAATAGGACCGCTACCCTTTCTGGACAAAGTGCAAGTGAGAAATGGAAGGTGGCCACTTTTGACTTTGTATTCAGGTTACCTGAATCAGGTAGGATTCCGTGTCTCGTCCCCTGTAGGGCCAAAAATAAACATCAGACTATTTTTACTCATTCCTCAGTTCACAGTTCTGGGAATTTATATCAAAATAAAAAATCCTATCTCTTGTATGTCAGAACCAATTTAAAAACATGCACTCCAGATTTTTCCAGGGTTTGAAGGAGGAGAGTCAAAAACAGTGAAAAGATATAAGACCGATAGTTAAAAGGAATTGACCGGCGACAGAACAGGCTTTTCGTATTTAATTTAAAAAAAAACTCGTCGTCATCCCAACAAAAAACAGGTGTTTTTCTGAAAATGAGATAAAAAATGTGCTGCAAGTTAGCCGTGGCCGAGATGCAATTTAGCCGTAGCCGTGGCCGAGATGCAAGACAGCCGTGGCCGTGGCCTTGGCTGAGCCGAAAAATCTCAAATCACCCCAAAAATTTCATTTTACCCCAAAAATTTCATTTTACCCCAAAAATTTCATTTTACCCCAAAAATTTCACTTTACCCCAAAAATTTCATTTTACCCCAAAAATTAATTTACTTATCGCGGGATAGTTACATTAAGATTCTTTCCAAGTATAGGTAAAACAAAATTATTGGAAATCAAGTTATAGAGGGTAATTTGCGATATGCGATCATGAATAAATTACCAAGAGATTTTATTTTCGAAAAATTGAATGAATTAAATACTATATAAAACTTATTTTACAAAAGGTTATAAAAGTATGAAGTTGCTTCTTTTCTGCTATTGTGTGATAAACTTACATTAACATCTAAAAAGCAAATATCTGTTGTACTATGGTTTAATGTGAATTTAAGATTACTATGTGAAAAAATATTCATGCACCATACATCGAAATCAACGATATCAGTGGAATCAATAATCATGAAACCGTCATCTACAAATCTAGCATGGAAAAATATATATTCACAATTATCAAGTAGTGGAGATAATTCACACTCCGCAGCAATATTTGCAACACTCACCGATGCTGCATTTCCCATCGCAATCCCTTTAGTTTGTTTAAAGTACAGATTTTTAAATTTAATAAAATTGTAATCCAAGCATAACTTTTTGAAATTGAAAATTTATATGGTACCGATGATTTACCTTTAAATTTCAAATACTTATTTAGACAATGTCTTTTACATAAGTTTACATCAAGATTTGTATACATACTTTCAATATCATAGGTAAATAATATTAAGTTTCTATTTTTAGGCAGTACAAGGTTATTTAAGAATAATAAAAAATGTCGAGTGTCAAGAATTAACGATGGAATTAAATTCATTATTCGTTTTAAAATTAAGTTGACTAATCCACTAATATTTCTGTTGGTTACATTACTGCATTACATAATGCATTACATGTACCTGTCGGCCTACCAGGTGGTATTCTAACAAAGGTTTTAAGTAATTTAGGCAATATATAGAACTTACATGGCCGGTCATTTTGAATTATTAAATTTTGAAGTTGGGTACCGTTATTAAATTTAATTTTTAGATGCTTTACAAGGTCCTCAAAATCATTTCTGCTTTTCGTGTAATGGGCTGCAGTTGACGGGGAGTATGTGGATTCATCATTTAAGTGCCTTAATATTTCATTTTCATAATCTTGTTTCAAAATTATACATACATATACCAACATTTTTATCTGCATTTTTGATGACGATATTATGCTTTTGAATCCATTGTTTACAATTTGTTATGGTGTTGTTTGGGATTAAATACGAAAATTTCCTTTTTAACTTTACATGTTGAACAAAATCAGATGTAACGTCCGGGTTCACAAATATTTTAGATTGTAAATCACATCTTGGGTTATTGATGTTCACTAATTTCTTTGATGTTATACAAAATTGGTTAAAACTGGTTATTAAGTAGCGTCAGCTACTTATTGTGATCGTTTTGTCCGTCCGTCCGTCCGTAAGCAGGATATCTCCAGAACGAGTCAACATAATCAAACCCCGTTTGCGCCATTGTGCTTTTAATTTTTAGTTCTCGGTCGAGTTCGAAAATGGGGTCAGTCGGACCACACCCCACAGCGCCAGGGGGTGTGGTCCAAATTAAATTTAACATTAATTTTCATATGGGGTGTCATTTTAAAGGAAATTTCATCACGAATTCAGTGGCGTTAAAATTTTTGACCTCGTGACCTTAAGGACGAGGTCAAAGGTAAAAAAAATACATAACTGTCTTATGGGGTATCATTTTAAAGGAAATTTGACTGCGATTTCAAGGACGTTAATATTTTTGACCTCATGACCGTTAGGCCGAGGTCATATACGGAAACTTTAAAGGAAACTTGAATCGGTCTGACGCTACTTATTTACATTCGTTTGCAGGGTTTATTGTTTCTCTTTCTTCTCCATTCTGTTTAAAAAATATATGCCAACTTAATTTTCTCAATGCTTCATTGAAATGATCACCAATTAATTTAAAATTAGGTTTTGCTGGATTGGAGAAATTTAATCCGAAAGACAGCACAAATTGAACAAAAATATGGAGATTAAATGTAGTGAAATTAAAGATTTTTCACTTTCTTTAAATTTTTTAAAAGCTTTATATAATTTATTGTAGTGACTTTTGCTTAACTTTGCCTTAAATTTCAAAATGATATTCAAATTATAAAAACTACTTTTCCGTTTCGGTTTATTCTTGCACAAAGTAGCTTCCGTATCTCATGTGAACAATGTGTATAATTTGGATAGTGATTTTATGGTAGTATTATTCGATGGTGGTTATAAATTAGCTCGTGAAGTTATAGATAAATGTGACAAATTACTTCGTTGTTGTGGTGGGTTATTTTTTTAAAATATGAGTTAGAATTGTGTTGTCCATGATTTTTAGCATGAGAACGCTTGTGTTCATTAAAGTGTCGTCGATCCATCTTTCTCGACTGGAATTCCTTCAAGCACGACTTCGTCGGGGAAAAAGATTCGATTGGATCTTTCTTAAAACAAATTTCTTGGCTTCAAAAATCTCCTATCGTTCCAATGTCGGAGATGGCTTTTCCCCTTTCAAACACCGGATGAATCTTCTTATCATAGCAATGATCCGAATGTTTTTGTAGAAGGAGGCAGACATCTGAAGATACCATGGGAGTGTCGCATTAAAAGTGACCAGCATCTTTATCACTGGTTTCTTCATCTCAGTACTAACATCGTCTTCATTAATTTCTTCTTGACCAGACGGCCATTCGTCTCTTGGACCTTTCAACCAATCTGGTCCCTCCCACCATGCAGAACTCGCAATGAAGGTTGGATTGATCATCTCAACATGCATGACTTGCATTTGCTGCCGAAAGAGTAGGCTCAGTTGGACTTCAAACTCGATTCGTCTGCCATTTTCATCTTGCGGTTTTTGATTGGGACACATCGGCTTGAAATGGGAGTCTCCACAAATCAGACACTTGATCTTGACCTTGCAGTCGGCTTTCCCAAATCACATGCACCGGAGGAACACTTAATTCTTCTTTAAAACGTGACTCTTTCTTGAGTCGTCCCAACTCATCTTCTCTGCGTTGTGGCACTCACTACTTTGATGGTTGGTCTTGAAACAGAAAACGCATTGTTTACTTTGTCCTGAAAATAACCCTGCAGCAGTGGGAAGATCTTCTTTCTTCTCCAGTACTGCGGTCTTCTCCTTTTTAATCTTCATCGTCTCAAATCCTGCTCGCACCATGTCCCTCTGACTTTCACTCTCCACTTCCTCTTAAAAATTCAGGAAAGGAAATCTGATTTCATCAGGAAATCTGATTCGGTCTTCACTGGGACGCATTTCGATCCATCTTGACGGGAAAGTGGACTCCTTTGCCATGCCACGAGAATGTCTTCCGAGACGCTGGATTCGATCATTGGAAACAGGAACTCGGCTGTTTGTTCATGTGTCACACCGAGTGACTCAAGGGCACGTAGATGAGCTTCCAGTTTATCATAAAGAACTGATAACTGTATCTTCTTAGTTTGCTTAGAATTTCGGATTACTAGCTTGAGTATTTCGCGAACATATACTTGCTTTAGAATCTTGGGCTTGTCAATTCGCTGAGTAAGGGTGTCGATAACTTTAGGGTAATCCTCCGCCGTCATTGGATAACTTTCAACAGGGTCCATGGCTTTGTACCTTTGGTCATGGCTTGGTGAAGATATTGAAATTGATCCGTCGTGTGAATCTCGTCATCTTCGTGAATCTTGCTAAATTGAGACCACCACCCAAGCCAGTCCATCATTTCGCCAGAAAACTTCTTTTGTAATTTTCGCAACTTAAAATTCTTCTTTTTTCAAGTAGAACTTGTTACTGAATCGTAGCCCCACATTACACTGTTGGTTGGACTACCTTCTCTCATCTGGGGAAATTGAAATGGGGGATTTAGGAATTCCTCCACCTTCAATTTAATATCGAGAATCTTGTCATCCTAAATCTCGATGTCGGTGCTTGCTTGAGTGTACTCTTCATCGGTGCATCCTTGTAGTTGCATTTCTGCCAAAATTTTAGAATCCCACTCAGCCATCTTAACTTGAAGATTATCCAGCTTCTTTATCTGGACTCCTAATTTATGACGGTCTGGTTTCTCATTCGCCAATTCCGCTTCCATATCGTTCACGGTCTTGGTGATGGATCCTCTCGTCGGTCCTCTGGCTTGCCTGAGTAACTCCATTGTGGTTCTCGACCGAAAAGTCAGCAAAAGACAAAATTAATATTTTGCGTCAATCAACAAATTAAACTAAAATGACCTCAGCCGCTCCCGAATGCTCAGAATGTGGCCCTCAAAGAGGCAAAACGGGTGAAATATAAAAGTTTCCTCGTCAAAATGGGGGGAGTCAGGCCACTTCCGGCAGCAACAAATCGTCCAGTCACAGTGAAAGAGGAAAACTGTCACCTGGTCGGCCCCCGAATACTCTGGGTCGGGTCCTGAAAGAACCAAAACGGCAAATCCTGATTGCATCAGCCTTGTCCTCGAAATACTTCAAAATATGCCTGTCGATCCGTTACTTCCACACTCGTCCTTATCTTCCTCGAGGGTGTTGGATGAAGGGCTTCAAACACAGGTCACGTCACTTCACTTAACTTATATTTAAACTCTTGTCGACACTCGATCACGTCGAGGTCACCAAATGTTGAAAGGCTACTACCCGTAGGAAAGTTTCTCCTCATTAACTTAAAAAATGTGACCCGAGGTCGACAGATTAAATACTAAATAAATCATTGGCATTACTACACTTTAAGTATTAGTAATCAACTTTAATTCCAACTAATCAAAGACAAAAACAATAGTTGCAACAATTAACTTTGTAATTCGATTCAACCTAAAAATTGCAACTTGCACACACGCACGTTCACACCTCAATTCACAAACTCATACTGACTCTTTTTTACACTGCGTAAAAAATGAAGGAAGCATGCCCTGTAGATGGCATGCTCTTTTCACGGTAAATTGAAATTTTTGGGATGAAATGAAATTTTTGGGGTATAATAAAATTTTTGGGGTAAAGTGAAATTTTTGGGGTAAAATGAAATTTTTGGGGTAAAGTGAAATTTTTGGGGTAAAATGAAATTTTTGGGGTAAAGTGAAATTTTTGGAGTAAAATGAAATTTTTGGGGTAAAATGAAATTTTTGGGGTAAAGTGAAATTTTTGGGGTAAAATGAAATTTTTGGGGTAAAATGAAATTTTTGGGGTAAAATGAAATTTTTGGGGTAAAATGAAATTTTTGGGGTGATTTGAGATTTTTCGGCTCAGCCAAGGCCACGGCCACGGCTGTCTTGCATCTCGGCCACGGCCACGGCTAACTTGCATCGGCCACGGCTACGGCTAAATTGCATCTCGGCCACGGCTAACTTGCAGCACATAGATAAAAAGCTTTCGCGCTGTTTTTTTCGTGAGATTTTTTGAGACGATGCGTGTGCTTTAAAGGAGCATTTCAATTTTAAATTTTCGGTATGATTCTAGCCTTCTGGACAAATCTTTTTTCGCATTTTTTGCACGTTTCATAGACTTTTAGTTTTTCACTGAAAAAAACTCGAAAAATTTTCGAAATTCTACCCTCCGTATCGTTATAGCGAGCGAAGCGAGCAGGTTAGGCTAATTTTGCGTACCCGTGTGTCCTATAAATTTGCGTACCGTGTGTCCTAGAAATTTGCGGAAAGTCTTAGAATGTCCTGAAACGTGCAGAAATGTAATAAAAAAGTGGTCCAGAAGGCTAGACCTCAACCTCCGCGGTCACTGTCAGACCACACTAAATAGCATTGTAAAATACAAATTAATAGAGTTATTGCATGGATAAGAAAATCTATATTTCTATGCATTGCTAACATTCTACACGGCTCTGCTGCCCGTGGCGCATGGAATTCATGGAAATTTTACCCTTTCCAGGGTAGGATAGAAGGGTTTAATCCTATCACAAATATGTACATTAAAGGATGCTAAAAGAACCACTAACATGCACAATGAACATATACATAGGTACATATTGTTACAGGCTCTTGACTCTTTGTACAATTAAAAATACATACATATGTATGTATGTATGTATGTATGTATGTACAACTCGTATATAATTAATTATAATTTACTCTATAATCTGCTACAAACACACCTAAATTTATATGTATGACAGAAATTGGAAAGTATAAATTTGTGTAAAAAAGCCACGTATTGTATTAGTCAGCTAATTAATAGAGTACGCATACATGAAGTAATAGGTGATAGGTAATTAGGCGCTTCCAATTTAGCACATTTATTTTAAGCAATTATAAAAAAGTACACGGACATATGCATGAATATTATGAAACAAAACTGGAGTTAGGATTATCTTAATTGACGTGTTAAGAAATGGTAAATCGTTAGAACATCAATTTTAGGAATAATCCATAAGTATGTATTAAAGCTTGTTTTATATACCTAAATTTTACCATGCAGAAATAACGGGCATGTTTACTAACTTTTTTATTAATGTGAATGCTACTTCCTCCTCGCATTGCCAACAACCAAGAAGAGAACAATGAAATATTTACAGTTTACTTTACATGAAATTATTATATTTTGCATGCATCGTAATTAGGAGTGGCAATCCGATCCGAGAAAATCCGATCCGATCCGAAATCCGCGGATTGGGATTGACTGCTTAATCCGATCGGATCAATCCGAAACTGGTCATCGGATCTCGGATCGGATTTCGGATTGGCGAATTTATTTCACATTCCCCCAAAATGTACACACTAGCACTGCGTATAAACTGGGTCTCACTTCACTAGTTCATAATTCGATATAGTGATTTCTGGATGTAAACGGGATGGATTTTCTACACTCCAAAATCAAGTACCCATGATTAACAATGGTGGTGGGTTGAAATTAAAAATCAAATCTATCCGGTTTAGTTATAGAATCCACAATAGTTTGAACAATATCTTGCATGCGCATGTTTTACCCGTCGCGGAATTTTTAAATCATTTTTAAATAATTTTTAAATAATCATTCAGCCTGGAAAATTCTTATTTCGGCTGAAAGATTCAGCCGAAGTCGGAATTTTTAAAACGCTAATTTTTTGAATTTTAACCAGGTTGCAGAAATTAAACATGTTTGCTTAAAATTGCTTAAGTCATTGAAATCATTTTTATAAGGTCTCATCTACAATTTATTGCTTATTAAGATAAAGGACAGAAATTTTCAGGGTATTTCTGAATATTGAAAGACGCACAAAATCCTAAATGGATTAACTTTAAAAGCTATTGATGGGGTCTTTTTTTTAAATGAATTAATTGTTTAATGTTATTTTGGAATATCACTAAATAATCAAATTAGGCTCATAAATCGTTCATTTGTAGCAAATCATGGTTGGTATTATTTCTTTGTTACTTTATATTATAGACAGTAACTTCAATAACAAATTTCGTGCCGAGCTGGTTGAGGAAAGTTGATAAATTTCAGCTCCAATTCAATGTTCCAATATGATTCATGAATTGCTTAAAAATATGAATTACCTAGGCGGGTACCCGGTACTGACAATGCGATGGTGTGAAGTGTAACCCGTTATGTGAACATGTGGCAAAAAAGAACTTGAGAGCAACACATTCTCTTCTGCTCTCTCTATTATTTTTTGTTATAAAAAATTTGGGGTTTTTTCGACACCCCCAACGCTGTAATTAGTGTCATCCTCTCCCTATTGACCCCAACAAGATAGTGGTAGATGAATTTTTTCACCTCGACCGTGTTTGACCGTTCTGTGCAACTTTTGGATTTTCCAACTGCCGACCTCCCCCCGTTCCTGCTGAAGTGGACTGTTCCAGATGCAAAATTCTGCTCACTCTATTCCACCGTACTTCTTCTGAGGGGATTCCCGCTTATACACGGAGTGCCCTCTACGCCCCCAAGTACTCGGTCGGAGTTTGAGACCGTGCGGTTGTCTGCGGGCTGGCCGCTCTGTTGCACGTAAAGTGCCTTCTTAAGGCGAGATCCGATCCTTTATTTTAGATATCTGTTCATTTATGGTTCACCTTTTCACTGATTATTGTATGGTTTTTTGTCGGGCCCTATCACAATATGACAAAACTGATGACCGTCGATGAAGCCGTAATACTCGCGCATCCCTCAGCCAACGCAATAGTCCTGATAGGCGGGATGGCAGATAAGGAAAACAGCGAAATCTACGACCTACTTAATTTCGTATACTGGGACGACGACCAAGCTTTGGGACCAGACTGTCACCTCTGCGGACAGGAAATCATCGACGTCTCAACTCCTTTTAAACACAATGGAACAAACTACACTGTACTTTTTCAAGATGACCTTGCCGAATCTTGTGCGAATAGTGGAGTATTGCAATGTGTATACTGTTTAAATTTCTTTCACAGAAATAACTGCAATTTTAAACTTACTGACAAATCTTTTTGCAACGTATTTGTGTCTAAAACCTGGTCGTGTCCTAACTGTGTTCCCATTTTCAAGAGCAAATTAATCGTAACAAATAGCAATGATAATAATTTTGTTAATTATGGCAAAGTAATGCGCAAATTAGTGAAAATTTTGAATCCTTTATGCAGTCAATACAATGAAATAGTTCACACAATTAATTGTTTCAACCATAACTACGGGTTATGTATAAGTAATTTTAAACAATATGGAGTAGGATAAGAACATGAGCATATCCTATCTGTTTGTATATTGGCCACAATGCGGACTTTTTAACATGGAATTGTATTTTGTTTTATGATTATGATCACTTGATTATATATATTACCCGTCTTTTTATTTTATTTTTTTATTTTAGTTAGATTAGATGCTTTAAAAAATATATATTTCTACTTGTGTCATGGTGTGTAAACCAATTTGTTATGAATTGATCTCTGTTGACACGTGAATAAAGGCTTAACAACAACAACAACCCTCCGATTTGGTTGAAATTCGAAATTATATGGTCCATGTCAATACAACCAACGTTTCTTCAGCCAGCTTGTGAGATGGTCAAAATTTGGCAAAATATCTTAGGTCAAAGTTCAAAAACTGGCGATTTTCACCAGGCGGAGGACGCAAACTGAACTTCCATTCTCTTCCAGTGCCCAAAATTGCACATTTTTAAACTTTAACCACAAATATTTTTCAAAATTTTGACCATCGCACAAACTGCCTGAAGACACGTTGGTTGTATTGGCATGGACCACTTAATTTCAAAATTTCAACCAAATTGGAGGGTTACAATTCACACCATCGCATTGTGAGTTAAATGACGAAGCAGGGTATCAAGTTACCCGAAAAATACATATATTTTATCAAATTATCGGATTACAATCCGATCCGATCCGAACACCTGCTTAATCCGAACCGGATCAATCCGAAGCCGTCACAATCCGATCCGATCCGACGGATTGCCACTCCTAATCGTAATCATGAAATGTACTCAATTTCCTTGTGCCCCAACCTCCAACGAGCGAGTGAAGGACGAATTTGGGCAACTGTGCACTGTGTGAAAGTCTGAAAACAGTCACCTGGTTTTTGTTGTTATTCTTTTCGCAAAACTGTTTTTAACGCAAATTTGATTTTTAAAGTGTTCTCTAAATTGGATAAGGCGACGAAAAGGATTTTGCAAAGGTCGGACTGAAAGGAGGTATGATGATAACCCATTTTTTGATTGAGTAAAAAACGATTAATTAAACAAAGATACTAATTTGAACTTAAATTATGTAAATACTTCTAATTTATCCTTTTAAAATTGGTATTCTAAAATTTCATGGTTATTCTGATTTACAAGATTAATATATCATTCTGAATTTGATAGTTTAAGATGACCTTATCTGTACTGCATAATCCAGTCGTGGAATATAGACTGTATTTCACGACTGGATTATTTTAGAGATGAAAATTACTTAAATAAGTGTGATTTGCATAATATTTGTTAATAATTGTGGATTTTGATGTTCAGCAGGTCGATGCTTACCGAACAGCTAGGGGACAAAAGTATGCACATTGCTAAAACACTTGCCTATTAATTGCAATCATTTATTAATGAAAATTTGTCACTTTTTGGTTCAGATGTGGCTCAAATTCTTCCAAGATGCCCAAATTCCGGCCGACTTTGCGTCAAAGTATGCCTTGATATTTCACGAGAACCGGATGAGAACCAACATGCTGCTGGATATCAGCAAGGAGTGCTTAAAAGATATGGGGATTGTCGCGATGGGGGACATCATAGCGATTTTGAAGCACGCGAAACAAGTCCATGAACAAGTAAAGAGTTAATTAAATAATAATCATGATTTTCAAATAATTATATTAATTTATTTCCAGTCAAAATATAATTTGTACGAGGATGATACCAACCAAAACCGAGATACGTCATCGTCACCTCCGGTCACCCACAATAAAGTCAAGAGTCAAGTCGTCGCCGTGTCGGCGCCACAATCGCGACCAGGGCGGCGAACCGACTACACTAGTCCAACAGCGACGAGATTAATTAGTGCGAAGCCGATTATTTTGGTCGGTGGGGGCTCAAATATTGGCAAGAAACCCAGCATTTTTTCCAGATTGGGAGGTCTGGCTGGATATTCGGAAGAGGAGCAGAAGAAAATTGAGATTAAATCGGTACAAAAGCAGGAGGAAATTAAGGTGAACAATTTATACATTGGGCGTACTCACGGCAAATTTGCACAAGAATATAATTTGGGAAGTTTTGCTAAAAAGTTTTGTTAGAGAAAAGTGGAATTTAAGTTTACTTTACTTTAAAACATGTGTCAGAGAAAATTGCCATGTGTTTATTTCGTAAAATTACTTGGCAAACTTTTAACTAAATACGTTGCGTGGTAAAATAATACGCCCTGCATTTCAAATAAACTTCATGCATTATAATCTTTAATTTGATACGTAGAAAATTCAAATTAATTATTTTTTCAGGCCGAAGTGAAATTAAAAACTGTCCCGGAATGTAGAAAGAAACCGGAAGTGGAGGTGAAGAAAACATCAATAATTTCCGCCCCCAAGAAGGACGAGAACAGGGAGGAGTTTCTCAAGAAAACGTTCGAAATTAAGCAAAATGTCCCAACTGTGGAAAAAGGTGAGTAAAAGTATCATTGTTAAGGAAACTTTTTGAAGAGGGGAGCATATTTGAAATACTTTTTTATGATTTGTTCCTAGAACCCGTCGTCATTCGATTACTAACGACAGAAAAATTACCACAGGAACGAATACAATCTTCTGAGAGTAAAATGAACAATACTCACGTCGCTAAAGCGCCTACTTCCAGTAATTTTGCAAATTTAATTACACTTAAATTGACTTGATGATACAAATAAATTAAAAATTGTACACTTCCAGCTCAACCCCACAAAGAAAAAAGTCCGAGAAAATCCATGCCTCGTGAAAACATAGTAATGAACAATACTCACTCCGTTAAAGCTGCTACTTCCGGTAATTTTGACAGCCTTAATTATTCCGTATTAATTAAATTTATGTGGATAACAATTTGTAATCAAAAATTGCACATTTACAGCTCAACCCCAGAAAGAAAAAAGTCCAAGAAAATCCATCCCTCGCGAAAACTCCGTTAAAAAAGTCTCGAGCTCAAAACTACCCGAAACCAAAACAGCAAGCTCTAAAACTTCTCAAGATAGTGGAAGAAAATCACCCCCAAAATCAGACAAATCTTCTGGTCAACCTTCCTCCTCGAAATCAAGTACTCGAACTATTACACCTCCTCCAATTGAAGAAGATTTGTCAGAAAGTGATAGTTTGAGCTTGTTTTCCTCCTCTTCCGACGAGGACAGATTTCGAAAAGAAAAAACCAGATCAAAATTTCGAACCTATGATGACGATTCGGATGCAAAAAAGACTGATGACACCGTTCTGGGGTACACAAGTTCCGGGGTAAAGTACAAGATCCCCGTTGGAAAATCAGAGTCACACAGTATTATTCCCTCAAAAAAATCAAGATTAAGCCCACCCAGTAAATCTGAAAATCGTTACCATGACGACGATGACGACAAGTGGAAGAGATCCGTCCCCAGCAGCAAGACGAGTTTATCAAGGCCAAGTTATTTAGTGAAAGATGACAAAATTAAGTCGTCCTCGAAATCAACCAATTCGGGCGAAGGATATAAATCGTCGCACAATCCAAGATCTCGATCTCCAATCAAGCACAAACCAGTAATAAAAGATCTCTTTCATGAAGTGATACCCATGCCGAAATCATATCACAATAAGTCAGATATTAAACCAAAACCGACATTTAATGGTGGAAGACCAGATCCAGAATTAGTGAAGAGAAAGGTAATATTACTAATAATTATTACTAATAATTTGAAGAAAAATTGGAAACGAAATATTTTGAAAAATTTATGCTACTAATTTTTTCAAGTGTCAATACTATTTCCTACCTGATCTACATAATTTGATTTTAAGTAAAATTTTGTTTACAAATTTACACAATTTACAAAAATAACATACAATCTCCCACAGTACAGGGATCCAAATGATTCGTAAATGTTTGTAAATTATATACCAAAAGATCAAAATTAACTAATCAGTTATTACTTTTATTTGTACCACAGCTCCAACAAGATTTAGAAGCATGTCTCGGTCCCAGAGCTAAATCGATGAGGGTGACGGATCGTGGACGAATTATACGAAATCCACCCTGCACAATTGTAAGATATTCATGAATAATTTAACGTATATATACTATAAATTAATTATTGAAAATTACTAAAATTATTATATTTAACTGTTTAGACCAGTAATCAACAACGTATCCCTGATCGAAGACCGGCACCAGACCGACGAGATATCGGACAGGATAGAAGACATCATCATCACCCTCATCGGGAAGAACGACGCTCGTCCCTGGAACGACATTCAAGTTCGGAAAGATGCCAAAGACCTCCGACAGCGCAACAAGTCGAATCCGATCGCGAATATTTACTCCGAAAGCAGAAAGAGCTCGAATATGAGACCAGGGCGAGAAGAAGGCATTAGTTTTTTTAGAAAGCTGCAGCCAAATTTTACCAAATTCCGAAATATTTTTAATTTCTCGTATAAATTGAGAGGTTTAAACCCTATAATTTTTAGCTGACTGTGTGGAGCGTTTTTAGTATTGAAAATGTTGGTTTTGCAATAATTTTATTATTTTTAATTTACAAGCGTGCTGTTTTTGGTTGTGTTGCAATTATTTTATAGGAAAAATTGACTTTGCGAGCTAAATATTAAAAATTAGTTGTAGGAACAATTTAGGAAAGCTAGTTACCTTGAAGTTAAGTTATACGATCAGCGATACGGTGCCTTGTTGTCAACCTGACTTATTAATACAGATCAAACTATGAAATTACTTAATAGTATAACTTTGATATTTAAGAGGCTCGTAATTTTTAATGTGAACTTGACATGAAATGTTTTTAGTATGTAGGTAATCCATAATAAAGTGTTCATAAAAAATACATGTTTATTATAATCGCGTTGTTCATTATTGATCGGAGTTAAATGTATTCGTTGTGGAATTATTTGTCAACGCTACGTACGCGACAAGGGAAAGGGAACCTTCTCATCTCGATTTCCTTGGGGATAATTTCTTCCTTTCCTTTGGAAATATAAATAATTTAATGCAACTTTAATTCGTCGTGGAACATGCGGTGTTTATAATTCGACCCCCATCTAACTGCAGCAAGACGTTTAAACGGGATAACATTGCAGGAAAATGTATGCATATTTGAGTTAGCATGATTCGAGTCCAAAACTCGTTCGCGTTGAGAGATGCAGTTTTACATTAAATATAAATAAGCAAATCGATTTCAATTTTAGATTGGCATTATTTTCATGAAATAAGTAGTTTCATACATTTCGACTTTAAAATAATAAAATAATAATAGTAAATAATAAAATTATTAATACACTATCTATGATAAAGAAAGACCTACTCAAGTACATACATACATACAAAAGTCACATTGATTTTTCACACCCATGCTCATACATACATACATACATACATACATACATACATACATACATTACATGAATATGTGCTTAGCACATTCAAGGCAAAAATTTGTTATGTTTGGTACATATGTATGTGCATACTCATGAAATTCATCGCCTAATCCTTAAATACATCCGATCCTTAAAATCCTTAAATATTGCCTTTTAATCCTTAGCCCAGATAATTGTAGAAAATTTGCGGAATATAAATTCTATTTTCTCGAATCAATCTAAATAGGACATCGGCGAAAATAAATAATTCCTGTCTGAAGTACCCTAAGTAATCAAATCGTAAACTTATATCTGATCAGTTTTATTACATCAAACCCTTCAGACCTACATATGTACATAATATGCGGACATTGCTTTTATCTGTAATAAAGAATAGGAAATCGATAAAAAAGCGTATTTTAGTACTAAAAGAATTGCAATCGGTCTATTCTACCAAATTCTACCAAATTCAATAACTACCAAATTCGCCTAAAAATGCATACTGGTCTTATTTTGAGAGTGCATATCGTCTTAGAACATGATTTATTTTCTGATCGTCTGCGTCCATCACATAAAAATTTTGCAAAACAATATCTCGCCGTACTTATTCTTCACAAAAATGGCCAAAATTTTCAATCAACTTGTGGTCAAACATCCCTTTAAAAAATGGATAAATTTTGACAGCTTAAAATCTTGGGAAAATTCACTGCATGTATTTTTTCGGACGTGTCAACAGTTCTGCTTCCTACCAACAGTTTGGGACACAAAATCTGATTCCCTTGAATTCACAAAGAACAAGGTACAGCTTGCTGTGTGCGCCTCCATTCTGGGATTGAATGCCGTTTGCACTGTGGGGGCAGTGGTGCAAATGTGCACCGTTTCTTACGAAAAGTTGGGGACGGATGCCACCGCAAAATTTCTGTTGGATAGCTTGTCCCGCGTGTACGGCCTTCTTGTCATGACATTGACTGCTTGGAAAATTCGGGACACTGTTACGTTTTTCAACCTAGTGTATCATCTGCATAAGCGTCTGAAACGTAAGTTATGTAATGGGGCACAAACCATGTTCATCCCAGATTATTTTTTGACCCTTTGAGGTGACCCGCACAAATATTTCCACTGTTTGCGCAAATGTGCTCCTAAATCAAAATGCGAATTAGAAATTGTAATCATAATAAATAAACCACCTCAATATTAAAGTAAAATGTTAAATGACACCATATATAATTGTATTAGCATGGAACATGTACATAATTTGTGTGTATTTGTTGTCCAATTACACACAGATACCAGACTCGAGGGAACACAAATGAACGATGGTCTCTCAATTTTAACCATTTTCGTGGTAATTACCCACATATTTCCATTTTTCCAGTTCTTTGAACACCTTCAGGATCGACATGGACCTCGCTTTCTACTTGCTAAATTAATTCCTGGGTTCATCTATGACTCATGGATAGGTAATTGAAGCAATTAATAACTAATAGCAAGATCCAATTCAATTGAGAGGTCAGCGCCGACTAATTTTTTGGTGGTGCATGGGGGGCGAGACGCGTTGCAAGAAGAGGAACTCAGATTTATCTGCGGCGTTGACGTCTGCAACGATTTGCCAAATATATTTCCGGTTCAATTTCACCTTCTTTTATGCAATAAATACTAATTTCACTTCAATTTTTTACCAGGAATTTTCGCTTTTGCCTTTCTCGAAATGGTGACATCCGCGATAGGAATGTTTGCCACATTTTATGGAATCATGCAAATAATCCTGTTCTGTTTAACCACACGCTACTGGTTGACTGACATTGTTCGGTACGTACAAGCAAAAATAAACGCGAATGCGTCAAAATATGAAAATGAGGTGACTGGCAGAAATAATTGCACTTGATTACATACTTTAATCTAATTTCCACACATATGCAAATTTAGACCTCCGAGGAAGTACGAGTACCGCAAGATTGATCTCACCTTGTACAAAATCCTGGCGGTTCTCAACTGCATTGAAAATCAAATATACGCGCCAGATGCTTGGCCCCTTTTAAACACGATTTTATGCTTTTTTCACATCACGTGTAACATCGCTATAGTAAAATCGTTCAAGGAACTCCATCAATTCCCTCAGAGGATGTTTTTGGTAATTGTGACCATTACACTGACCAACATAGAGAAGGCCTGCTTTAAGTCACCAGCGGAAATTTATGATCTCTCGCAGTGTTTCAAACGGATGTATGAATGTCATGCGAATAGGTTGAATAGAGCGATTGGGAGGTCGTTAAGAAGCTTGAGGATTCAGGTTGGGTCGGTATACTTCATTAAAATGTCGACATTTAAGACCTTCATGGCTTCTATTGTGGATAATACGATTACAATATTGATTACTTTCTTTTAGTTTTTTGGGAAAACTTGTTTAAATGTTACATTTATTAACTAAGAAAACGTTCATAAATTATGTAATGAAACGAGTGCCCATGTGACACATGTCGTCTAGAAAATCGCGATTTTTTCGTTACATAATTCATGAACGTTCGCTTAAAGAATTTAGTTGACATTATATAATTTTTGTATGATAACTAAATACTTAAATATGTCTGTATTAAATTCTGGTTCTCTGTATTCTGTATTGGAATTTTACTCCCCGACAAATATCGGCGAAATAAATGACGAGAAATGCGATTTATTCCACGATGATGGCGACGACGATGACGCTTTTTGTATTGTTCCTTCTACCCAAAATAAGAGGTCGAGGGGGAGACCTAAATCGACAAAGAAGAAGGTAAAACCCAGGTAACAAAGTCGGTAAAGCTTTATTAAAAATTTGATAAAAAGCTATCATAACACGCAAATCAAAAATATTTACTAATCTGCCATCTAAATTTATACATATTTTAGAACTAAACGAAAAAGAGGTGATTCTCCCCCAGCAAAACTAAAAACATCAAAACGCATCAAGCCTGAGCCCAATAATTCTCGCGTCCAAACGACCTTACGATCCTCACCCCGAACTGCCAGCACAGCACAGAAAACTCTTGTCGTTCCGCTGAAAAGAACCCATACTAAAAAATCACCTGCACCTTCAAAGTCAGAATCATCATCAGAAGCCGAAGATGACGACACGAAATATAACTCTGACGACGATGAGGACCAGGACTGAGCTCCCGAAAAAGGGGATCACATCCCAGCTTCTGACGACGAAATAAACGACGACAAATACAAGGTCATCATCCGCCCATACAAATGTACCATCTGTCCCAAATCTTTCAAAACCGAAGCCTCGCTAATCACTCATGTCTCTCGTGCCCACGGTATTCCTTGCCTGGCGCCCTCTTGCTCCGCTATATTTCAAGTGTTAAAGGAGAGAGACGTCCACATGCAGCGTGTCCATGACCTTTGTCCTTATCAGTGTCGAATTTGCAAGAAAAGGTGTCGTCGCCAAAATGACCTTGCTTGTCATATGGTAATTCGCCATGAAAAAGGAGAAAAGAAGTTCCCTTGTGTCAAATGCGGCAAGAGTTTCTGTCTCGAGGAGAATTTTGAGAGACATGTAAAACTGCATGACCTTGAAGAGGTCAAACCGCTAGTTTGCGACATGTGCGATGACCGATTTGAAGACGAGGAGCGTTTACAGAAACACTTAACGACACAAACGCATGTTAACCAGTTCAAGTGTCACCTTTGTGTGATAACGTGTCGCAGCAAGGTGCACTTGGAGAGGTAAAATCCATTGTTGTTGGAAATATATTTTGAAATTTCAAAACCAATGTGTCCCTTCGTCTAATATTTTTTTTCATATTCCAGACACCTTCGTAACCACACTCATCCTAAGGAAAAAACGGAGAGTTGTACCCACTGTGACAAAAAGTATCGCGACAAGATTACTTTGGTGCGTCACATTGCACGCGTCCATTCAGACGGTCCTGCCCCGCATATTTGTCACATTTGCGGGAAAGGATTTCATGTTCCTGCCGATCTTAAGGTCCACGTGGATCGGCACGAGGGCAAATCACTAGCAAAATGCGACACATGTGGCGAAACGTTTGCATCATCGGGTAGCTTACAATCCCACCTGGTTTGGGTGCATGGGAAGGACCCCTTCTTTTGTGATGAATGGTATTGACTTGATTAGTTAGATTTTTTAATACAATTTTTTAAGTAGCCTAATAAGTTTTTAACTCTTTTGAAAAAACGGTAAGACATTTGCAAGCAAGGAAGGATTCAAAGTACATAAGATGATTCACGAGGGAGTGAAAAGGTACAAATGCAAGGTAAATGAGACATCAAATTTTATTTTCATATCTTTTTTTTCGTAAATAAGTTTACATAGAGGTATTCATTATTTCTTCGTATCCTTAGTATTCTTCGTATCATAAAATAACTTACGAGACGACGGTTACGAGATTTTGTAAGCGTCGTAAGATTTTTTCATCGAAAAACGCGTTACTACGCTTACGATTTTTACGAAACCTGACGCCTTGTTTTGTCTACATAAACTATTTTACGGTACTAAGGATACGAAGAAATGGCGAATACCAATTTTTTCGTGTCGTGATTGACCGATCTATTCTTGTCGTTTGTCATGAATTTAAATGAATTTAATATTTCATTCTCATACTCATTGTCAGTCAGAAGTTAAATTAATCCCCGAATTGGTTTATCTACAGCTTTGTGACGTCCGTTTTCTCCGGCCAGGGAAACTCAAGGATCACATGCGATCTCACTCGAAAGAGCGACCGTTCCGTTGCCTCCAGTGTGAAAAAGGCTTCAAGTCCAAGAAAAATTTGGATACACATGTGACCCGTGTCCACACTGAAGGCTACGTCGTCCCCACCCCCCACAAATGTCCCCACTGTGATAAAGGATTTCAGTACCCTTTTATCCTGGAGGGTCACATCCGCCAGGTACACATGGGAGAGCGGCCCTTCGTTTGCGACCAGTGCGGAAAACGGTTCGCCCTCAAGATTGTAGGAGAGAATACGTGGAATTTGGTAGTTGTAAAAGAGAGTGATAGATGTGAAGAAGGGCGGTTAGCCTAGTGGTAAAGGTGTCCGTCCGGGAAACGGGAGACGCGGGGTTCGATTCCTCGCACCACTCTTCGAAACATATTTTTGCTCTCTTTCGCGTATTACAACTACCAAAAATCCCACAAGATATCGCTAAATCTGCATTTGAAAGGGGTCCATGGCGTCACTTCGGAGACGACATAAGCTGCCAAGATCGATGGAGAATGCGTTGTGTTGCAATTTGAAGATTGAATTTTTTTGTTAAGGTTAAAATCCGCAAATGTTGCAAAATTATTTAAGTAGCTTACAAACTTTTCACCAAATGAAAAGGTACCCGTAGTCTGTACAAATTTTGTACCTGAACTTTATTCGACTTTTGCAAAATTCTTGTAGGAGTTTGTCAGATTATTGATTTAAGTATGTAAGCGTACGAATACGAAGAAGGTTTTAATAAGGATTATGTGACTAAAACTAAAAATTTCTAATTTTTCCACCAAAAGTTAAAAGACTGCTTGTACATATTCGTACATTGTGTTCACTAATGACAGCAATTTGTGCCTATATTTTGGCAATGAAGGAACTGCGATACTGACAAAAACGTTGATCTAGTTTCTCATAGATATGATTTGCACATTTTCCTTGTCCTTTTGCTTTAATTATATTCGATTAAGTTATATTAACGACACCCATGTGGGGTTGAGGTTCGTTCCATTGCATTGTCTTGGTTTATAGCGTCTAAAATGTGTTTTCTAAAATGGGTAGTGCCACCGAAGATTATGTTTTCTTGTTACTATCAATTTATGTAGGTGTTCTTTTACGCATTTCATGAGGTGTCGGCATTTTTCTCGTACATACAACATATGCACATATGTATGTACATGCATATGTACTAGACATTCTGCGTGTAACATCTACACTTCAATTCTCTGCGAATACATTTCTATGCTTACAAATAATTTAATAAAGTGTATTTACATGGTGATACTGTAAAGATAAGTCTCTGATACATATTCATCACTAAAGTACTAAGAATTGGAAATTTTATTTAAAAAATCAGTACTTCGTACATACGTAATAATTAACAATCAAATTTTATTTCGTATCAAATCTCTTTTTTTATTCAGAAACATAATTTTTCATGAAAATACTGAAAGCATGCATACACATTATTTTCTGTCAATCCCCACAAGCGCTATTATCAGCATAGTACTTCACACTGTCATATTTCAGATCAGAGCCACACCCTTGCGCAACGGATCTTATTACTTGTCCAGCCAGTGGGAAAGCCGCAATTGGCTGTGCTCTTCCGAAGCAGGTCGACAGTCCGGAAAAATCTTCGCTGGAAAAACCAGTCCAACTTGACCCTCCAGTGATAACGAGGTAGGTGGGCGTAAAGCCGAAATTGTTGGCTGCCACGCTTGTGAAAGTCCGTTCTGTGCCGCCCGACATGCTGTCATTAGTTCCACTGTAGATCGACAAGGATCGCCTGGCTGCATCCAAGGGGCCCAAATACCTTAGCGACAATTCGTTCGAAACTTCCGGAAAATCGCCGCATGTCATAGTTCCGTTATAGTCATATGATGAAAATGTCAGTCTTCCAGTGAAATTTGTCGCGCTGAATCCTTCCCACCTGGAAAGATATCGAAATTAATTGTGTAATTATGTGCATTTGTTCACACGGACGAAATACTTACAAGGGAGACCCCCCAGTCGTATTTATGCTCTCCGATTTGGACGAAACTCTTTAGTTCACATCGATCACGAATTTAATGCATATGAAAATTACAAAAGATATTATCTGCCCATTCGAAGATTTAGCCGAGATATTTAATTGCATCCAGAGAGGATAAACCGCACTTTCAAGGTGACAAATTTTACAATTTCCAAACGTATTGCTCGTTTTCGCCTCTTCCGATGCAAATATGTACAAATCTCCACCAAGCTGCGCACTGGCAGACAATGTCTTTTGCAATTTTCAGATTAATTCAATTTATTATCGATGGACACTGATTTGGCCAAAGTAGGGGAGCATAAGCTGGGAGACCCCATTGTTGCCAGTAAAAGTAATCTAGCAAATCTTGCAAAATTGTTGCATATGATGAAAAATTTAGCAAGTCCCTCAATGAAGTTTTGGCCTCACAAGTTTGTGATGTTACATTTAAATATTTTTAGTCCCTATCGTCCTGTGGCGCAGTAAGATTTGACGTCATACAGGTGAAAATGGTACGGGGACAGATCCACCTTTTTGCTCCGGATCCGTAGTGCGTCACCTTCCTGGTCAGACCCTGAGTAGAATGTTATCTCTTGAACGAAGCCAGGTGCCAGATAAATGCAGGCGGCAAAGATGAAAAGGCGGAGGAACATGGTGGCGTGGTTTAGTGGGGGCACTGACTGGTCGCTATGGTCAGGTGGGAGTTGGTTTATAAGTTTTCAAGCATAGAGGTACTAAATTTTATAAATTTATGTAACGGAGGAAAATATGGTTTCAACTACTAAATCTTAAGTGCTGACATGGTAAATTAATTAATATTTTTGATAGCGATACGCGACTGATAGTAAAGTTCTCGGTAATGTTTTTTACATACCTGAGTCGATCTCGAACAACAAATTATGTAACAATAATGATGTAAAGTGGTCACAAATTTGTGAACTTATCTTATCAGTGCTTTCTTCAAATTGGTGACACATTTTTTTGGCATAGGTCACGTACGCGATTCGTGAAATGCATGTGAATATTTCTTCAAAACGTAAAAGTCTATGGCTTTCTTTTAAAAAAATGTGAAAAGCTATTGTCATATCTTGAAGCAGAATATGTAGGTTATGATTTAACATATTAGGGGAACTTCATAAATTATATAACACGAGGGAGGTATAAGGCCCCAATGATACACACACGTTAATGATGTTAAGGGAGGTGGAGGAAGTCTAAAAAATCGTGATTTTTCCATTACATAATCTTTGAACGTCACCCTATGCAATTTACGAACAATAACAAGTATGTATGTATGTATGTAAACGACTTAGAAATTTTCGTAATTTTTTTTACTTCCCGAACAAATTTTATAAATCATTGATTTCAAAAGAGAATTACGTCATAAAATTAAATGTGCATCATTCTGCCGACTCGTAAATCTCGCTCCCATATTTTGCATCGCACCCCTGAAACAAGGATCTTACAACGCTTGGGTGCGGACTGATACCCACGTGCAGCTCGGATGTCGAGAAGCAGGTCGATTCCCCAGTGAAATCTTCGTTAGAAAATCCAGTCCAATTTGACCCCCCCGTGAGGACGAGGTGGGCGGGGATGAAGCCGAAATTGTTGGCTGCTAAGTTCGTAAAAGTGCGTTCGATGCCACCAGTGTCGCTATCGTTTGACCCGCTGTTGACTGAAATTGATGGCATGAGCGTTTCCAACTGGCCGAGGTACCGAAGGGATTTAATTGGGGAATATTTGAAGGATTTTTCTTGGCAATTCATAGCTGCGCCACTGGTCGACGTAAAACGCACACGACCAGTGTAATTCTGACCCTCGAAGCCCTGCCAACTGCAAAAACATTAAGAATCATTGAAAACTACAAACATGTAAACATATGTATGTTGAGGATATTCATTATTTCTTGGTATCCGTAGTATCGTACATAAAATATTACTTACTAAGAAAAAAAGTGATCAAGCCTCTGATTTTCAATGACAAACTTTTACGACGCTTGCAAAATCTCGTAACCTTCGTAACTTATTTTACGATAATTATGAATACCTTTATTTATGAATAAATTGATAGTTTAAATAAACTTTTGTATTTTTTTTGTTAATTCAATTTTTAAATTATTTAAAATATAAAAAAAATTCCGAATTATTAAGTTTCTTATCTATATACATACCTGCCCACGGCACAGAACGTCTTTGTGTTCGCAATGTGCTTCAATTGGCATGGCGTAAGTTCCGCGTGCTTGGATCGGAGTCGCAACGCGTCCCCTTGGAAGGCATATTCCGTGTAGAATGTGACCTCTTGGACGTAGCCGACTGCGAAAGATACGCAGGAGAGGAAGGCGCAGAGACGGAGGAACATGGTGGTTGGATTAATGCTGGGATTATTCTGTACGTTTGGGCCAGCCAGGCAAGGATTTTATTTATTTATCTATGCAGCACGTCAAGTACCTGCACTGTAACAAATCGTACAAATACTTATGTGTAACTTGCAAGAAAAAATAAATATTTTGAGAGATTATTTAATAGGAAATGATATGCAAATTAATCTCTCAAAAACTAATTTCATGATTTTTAGAAATGGCAAGCCTAAGAGATTAGAACCAATCATTTTTTGGGGAAATGACAAGATCGCATGCACAGAATCATACAAATACTTGGGAGTCAACTTTAATAGTAGGATGAACTACTCCGACATTTGTAACTCTTTTCTATTAAAAGCAAAACAAGCTGAAAATGAGCTTTTTATTTTATTTTATAAAGCCAATATAACAAAACTTGATACAAGACTGAAACTGTTTGATTCATTAACCAAGTCTGTACTACTCTACTGTTCACATATATGGGGCTTAGGAGTGTTAGATAAATTAATTATGTTTCAAGCAAAATTTCTTCGAAAGTTATTTTACTTGCCTAATCATACTCCTCTATGGTTTCTGAGATTAGAAACTAACTGCTACCGGATACAATTAAGTGTAATTAAAAATGCTATGAAGTTTGTGCTGAAGATACTGCAACGTCCGTACAGTACTGCATTGAGGCAAGTCCTCAATAATCTAATTAAAACTAGTACATTCTCAAAAAATAAAATGAAATTTAATTGGTATCGTGACTTGAATGATTATTTAAAAAAGTATGAATGTGAAAACTTATTTTCATTTGATCCGGAAAATGTAAATTTAGATACGATAAATATTTTAAGAAACAATATAAATATAATAGCTAATACGATTAGAAATAGAATAGTAGAAGAAGATGTAATTAGAATGCAAAGCTCAAACTCTTTATGTCACTTTAAACACATTAAATTGCATGTCCAGGTTGAAGGTTTCTTAAATGGAAATATGTCATGGAATTTAGTTAAGTTGGGCATGCAATTAAGAGCAATGTACCCCAGATTTACAATTAAAAACAAATCTGTAATATTAAATGGAATTAATATTATGTATAACAAAGAAACAACCCCTCTATGTAACCTATGCCAGTCTGCAATTGAAGACCTATATCATTTCATATGTATTTGCCCATGCTACAATTTAATCCGCAAAGTACTTAATAGCAAACTTGACCTGTGTCTTCCTACAAGTAGAAATGATTTTGTAAGTTTTCTTGGTGATTTAGATGAGACTAAATTAAAATGTATTACGCATTATTTGACTCAAGCTACTGAAGTGAGAGAAGCCTACAATAATACGGATGCAATATTATGCTAATATTTAATACTTAAACTAGGTTAAAAAATATCGAAATAGTAATATCTCAATATATTTAAATAAATGTATGAAACTTCTTTATATATGATTGTAAAGGCCGTGGCCATATCAATCGAGCACTAATAAATTTACCTACCTACCTACTTATGTGTAACTCTACCGCCAATGTACATAGATACATACATAATAAATTTGTGGCCCACTCTGGTAATATTTTTTACCCCATGGTTACCAGCAAATTTACTATCAGTCTGTAACAAATTATTCAGGGTTGCAGAAATCTCATCTCACCTTCACAAATCTCATCTCACTGAGATATAATGAGAAATAGTGAGACATGAGAAATATGAGAAATAGTGAGATTTATGAACCATGCACTAGCGCCACCTAGAGGACGGGGTAATGAACTACAAGTTTATCTCATTATTTCTCATATTTCTCACTCAGCCCCAAGTGAGATAAATGATATATATCATTAAATCTCACTAAATCTCACTCAGTGATATATATCACTTGTAACCCTGAAATTATTCGTAGAGTTACAAAAGATAAATATAGTCAACGCTTGGTAATGGTTTCGTTACCGGAGTTGTTAGAGTGTACATACGTCAGTCGGGTTGTATGTATGTATTGGTGGGGTGACGATCCTGCCATTGTTGGACAGGACCGTCAGCTGCGCAAGCACTAAAGGCTTATTGCAGTCTCCCCGTATATACCGCTTTACTGTGCTAAGTCATGACTCTCACGATTTACAGATCTAACTTGACCTACAAACCGCCCTGATCTGATTATGAATTGAATTAGATCGGGCAGAGACATAGTCACTATTTGCTCTGGTGGCAACTCATGCCTCCCAAAGAGTTCTGACCTTAGGGCACAATACTTGTCGCAGGACCCAAGAAAATGAAATACAGTCTCAGGGCCACGGCCACATAGGCACATAGCCTCATCAACTAATCCCATTGTTCTGAGGTGCCCGTTTAAAGTACAATGCCCGGTTAAGGTTTGTGTTACTGATCGGAGATTCTTCCGATTTAGGTTTAAGAGCTTACTGCTAAGCCCCGATGAAGGGGCAGAGAGAAAAGCTTTAGAAGTTAAACAACCCTTGCTGCTTTCCCAAGATTTGGTATGCTGCAATCTTGCCCAGTTTACAATGCTGGAGATTACAGTGCTTCTGGATAGAGGAATAGAGGGCTGCGGGCCAAGGTACCCAGTAAGAGTACCTTCCTTGGCCAACAGGTCAGCCACTTCATTTCCTTCAAATCCATGGTGAGAAGGGATCCAATGAAGTGTTACCTTCTTAGTCTCCCCAATATGATTAAGCATCTCAATAGCCTCAGCAGTCAGTGATGAAACTGGCCATGGGCTAGTGAGCCCTTTGATGGCACCCTGACTGTCAATGAAGAAGTCAACGGTGCTATAGTTATGAGTATTGTCGGTCAACGTTTCAGAAGCCCTGATAATACCCATAATTTCTGCTTGGAAAACTGTGGGTGCCCATCCCAGAGGAATTGAGCACCTCACAGCTTCCTGAGCAAGATTGTTGTATGTGAAGTAGTAAGCCGCACCCGAACACTCACCCATCCGTGAACCGTCAGTAAAACAGTTCACTTCGGAGGCATTCATGGGCACGCTACCATCCTCCCAATCTTTCACCGAACAGATAGAGGTTTCGAAATACCTCTCTGCTGGCGGATTAACAAGTTTCTCACACGGCATCTGGAATTCATCAATACCAGACGCCATGATTTCGACAAACTTGTTGTGCTTTAACGCCCTCGTACGATCACCCCCGGCCCATTTTTTCCATTGGCCGTGGTGAGCGAGGCGATGGTACGTTCGTAGTGCAACTTGCTGAACCCGGATGTCCACTGGGACAAGTCCCAGTAGACACTCCAGGGCTGCAGTAGGAGTGCTAGACATTACACCGGTTGTACCAAGCATGGCACACCTCTGTACTCTTTGCAACTGGGCCATGTGGGACTTCACCTTTGTGGCCGGAGCCCACAAGAGTGACCCATATTCCATGGCCGGGCGAATTATGGATTTGTAGATCCAATTTGTAATTTTGGGGGAAAGACCCCAAGTTTTACCAATGGCCCTCCTGCACTGGGCCAGGGCACGCATACCTTTTAGTGCCCTAGCCCTGCACAGTGGGCCCCAGTTCAACTTGTGATCCAATAATACCCCAAGATATCTTACCTGTTTTTGATAAGGGATGGGAATACCATCCAACTTAATCACAGGAGCAATGAATTTGTATTTCTTAGTGAATAGTACCAGGGCAAGCTTATCATTGACTGACAAGCTCACCTCTTTGCACCAATCACTAACAAGATTTACTGCTCTCTGCACATGACTCCCCACTGTACCGAGGTCAATCCCCCGTCCCACTGTTGTGAGATCGTCGGCAAAGCCCTGTGAGTACAGTTGAGGGAACCGATGATGCAGTTTTTCCAGAATTTCACTTACGACCAGATCCCAGAGAAGCGGTGAGAGGACACCCCCTTGAGGGCACCCTCTCTCCACCACCCTCCCAATCTCGTAAGTAGAATCAGTTACCCAAGTGGTTCGTGTCCGAAGCATGTGCTCAATATATCGAACACATACTTCGTTGACGCCAAACCTCCTAAGGCTACGGATAATGGTATCAGATCTAACCTCATTAAAAGCGCCCTTAACATCCAACATCACTGCAATACAGTACTCGCCAGAGTCAAGGCTAACGATCTGATGAAGGGCAGCCTCCGTGGAAACGCCCTTCATATAGGCATACTGACTGTGTCTCTGCAGCCTATCAACAAGATCAGGCGTGCGGACCCAGCCATCTACCAGTTTCTCAAGTGTTTTGAGCAGGAAGGATGTTAAGCAGATGGGCCTCCAAGCGGACGCCCGTTCGTAACTCTCCTTTCCTGGCTTTGGTAAGAATACCACTCTGGACTCTCTCCACTTCAGAGGTGTATAACCAAAGGTCAGGCACCCCCTCATGAGAACCAAATACGGAATTAACTCGGCTAACCCATGCTGTAAAAGGGCTGGAAAGATACCATCCTTTCCAGCCGCTTTTAGTGGGCCAAACGAGTTAATTATGTTACTGATTTTTGAAGATGTAATCATCAGATTAATAGATTCATCATCTACTTTACTATGATCAGGTTCCCATGGAACCCGTTGAGGGTCCCTCGGGAACGACTGGTCCAATAATAATTCATAGGTCTCAGAAAGGGTCCTGGTGTAAACACCATCACCCTTGTCTAGTGATCCCAGTTTGATTGTGCCATCGTTGCGAAGGATGCGCGAGAGTCGGGCAGCAACAGGTGCCTCCTCGACACTCTCACAAAACCTTCTCCACGAGGCAGTTTTCCTCCTCCTCATTTCGTAGGAGTAGTAGTTACGAGCAGCTTTGTATTCCGCCCATGCCTCCTCTCCTCCGAAGCGGGCAACCCGATAAAGCCTACGAGCCTCCTTCCGAAGAGAAGTTAGCTCACGGCTCCACCAAGGTACCCTCTTCCTCCTGGATTTGAGTACTTTTTCAGGGCAGGCTACATCGTATGATTTATGGATAAAGTTACTGACCCTACTAGCGCGTCGTCAGTCGGGTTGCTAACCAACAATGTAGGTCTCGCAACTTGTGATTTGGACCAAACTAGTGTAAATCGAATTCAATTTCAAATTCGAAAAAGACGATCTGCCACTGCTAAGGATTGACGGAGATATTTGCATTCGAAGAGGAGAAAACCTTCAATAAACTTGGAGTGAAATTTGTGAACGTTATGGTGCATTTTCACCTAAGCAAGCAGCGTGTGATGATGAGGAGGAAATTTTATCTAATCTGCTTAATCTTCAATACTACTAACATAAACATATTGACGTATGTAGGTCGCGGATGTGATTATATAAAAAGTACATACATATATATGAAGAAATAAGTATTCCTGAAAAGCAAAAAAAGATTTATTTACATGACACCAATAAAAATATTATTGCGAAATAAATTTTGGATAACAAATTTCGGCTATTTTGTTTTTCTTTAATTATTTTGAAGCAGCACAAGTTGTGATTTATCACGCTATGTAGGGACCTTTCATAAATTATGTAACGCGTGAGGGGGTTTAGTGAAAAACAATGAAACAGTTTCAATTTCCAATGAAATAGTGACTACGTGACAAATGCTGAAATGCATGTTAAAGGAGGAGGAGGATCTAGAAAATCTTAATTTTTGCGTTATGAACGACCCCCGTGCAATGTCAAGGAATAAATGATTTAAGAATTTTCTCAATATTTTTTATTTGCCGATAAAATCATAGATTTCAAAAGAAAATTAAGTGATAAAATTTCGCATCACTCTGCATTCAACCCCGCCTCATAAATCTCGCTCCCGTATTTTGCATCGCACCCCTTCAAGAAGGATCTTATAATTCTTGGGTGGGGACTGAAACCCACATGCAGCTCCGATGTCGAGAAGCAGGTCGACTCTCCAGTAAAATCTTCGTTGGAAAAGCCAGTCCAACTTGACCCCCCAGTGAGGACAAGATAGGTGGGGATGAAGCCAAAATTGTTGGCTGATTCGACCGTGAAAGTGCGTTCGATGCCACCAGTCTCGCTATCGTTTGACCCGCTGTAGATTGAAATTGATGGAGCGAGCGTTTCTGAAAATCCGAGATACCGAATCGACGAAATTGGATAATAATTGAAGTATAGGTTAAGGCATGTAGTAACATTATTCGTATGCGAAAATTCTAGGCGATCAGTGTAATTCGCACTAATGTAGCCCTCCCAACTGCAAGAACATTACATACATTTTACTGAAAATCACTCATGATATTCATTGTTCCTTCATACTCTTCGTATCGTAAGATTATTTTTTGTCATCGAAAACGATTTTTATGAAGCTTGGCCCCTTGTTTTTTTCTTCGTAAACTGTTTACGATACTAAGGATACGAAATAATAAACAATATTCATTGAATATCCTCCTTGTAAGTTATGTAATGGTAGACAAATTATTCCGTTTACCGTAATGATCAAGTAAGTAAGTCATAAATATTTTAATTTAATGTTAAATTTTTTTATAATTAAGTTTGTTATATGTATGTAGTTCTTACCGGCCTATGGCGCAGTATGACTTCATGTTTACAATTTGCCGCATCTCGCAGGGTTGAAGTTGTGGGTGCTTGGATCGGATTCGCAACGCGTCCCCTTGCAAGCCATAGTCCGCGTAGAATGTTACTTCTTGGGTGTAGCCGACTGCATAATATATGCAGGTCAGAAAGACACAGAGACGGAGGAACATGGTGGCTGGATTAGTGCTGAAATTATTCTGGACTTTTGGGCCAGAGTAGTCTCATTATATATATTTGCATAAATATGTTTCGTATGTATGTAGATAAGTACATTCGTCGGATTGCTATATACACACATACACCCGGTCCCCAAAAGTATAGTATCCGTTATTTGCTTATTTGAAATTTTGATACGATCCTGCGCGCTTATCTCTGAAACTCTGCGTATGCCGGCATCAACTCATTGGTGAACAGTTCCACTTCGCCGATTTTAATGTCACCGACAGGTCAAAGGTCAGAGTTTCTTTAACTTTCAAAATGAGGAGCTAGAAAAATTCGCGGATAATTTTTTTGGAATTGTCAATATTTTTATTGTACGCTACAAGACCTCATGAAATAGATATGTAAATGAGCCATCATACAACTGGGTTACCCAGTCTGGGTATGATTTTTTTGACGCCCACAGGAATTTTCGCCATGAAAAAATTTAAGGTCTAAAATCGTGCCCGCGGAGAAATTCGAAGAATTGGAATATATATACAAAAGCACGATGTATGTGCTTTGTATAAAAGTGACAAAGGGCCACATTAAATGGGAATAAGGCTTTTCTTTGCTGTTGTATTGTTACATTAAATTATTTTGTTTTGTTGAGCTAATATTTTCGTTATGTGTATATAACTAAGCTACATAACTTATCTCACATAATTTATGATGATATGGTTGTTAGTATCTCTTCTGGACATGGCAAATTAATTAATTTTTGATAACACAATTGATAGTCAGGTTTCCCTTAAAATACTGCAAACATACATGTTCTACTTATTATTCAGAGATTCTTCTGCGCAGTTTAGTTTTTCAGACAAACTCTTCAATAAGTCCCTGGTAACGGTTGATTGATAAGTAGCGTGGAGTTGTAGAAATATTATCCTGTATATCTGCTCAATCTTCAATATTGCTGAAATTAATAGGTTCTGGGTGTGACTAATAAAATTAAGATATTTATGTATGTATGCAAAACAAAGAAAAAAGATTCTCATGGCAGCCATAAATGTACATATTTCGTTACTGCGTTACTTGCACAGAATATAGATTCTACCAGAAGAATCGATCTTATGTATTCTAGTGACGCTTATGGAAGAACGGGGAGAGCCAACCAAATAACTCGGTGTACATTTGGCCCACCTCGGGGAGGCGCCTACGCATCATCATCATCACCACACCTCCTGGCATCAAAAAATGATGATGAAAGCACATAGGTGGCGGTGGCACCCCGATTTCTGCACCAGAACACACCCTCGTAGAGCATCAAATTTGTGGAGACGCAGCTCAGAATGGTGTGTTCTGGTGCAGAAATCGGGGTGCCACCGCCACCTATGTGCTTTCATCATCATTTTTTGATGCCAGGAGGTGTGGTGATGATGATGATGCGGAGGTGCCATCCCCCAGGTGGGCCAAATGTACACCGAGTTATTTGGTTGGCTCTCCCCGTTCTTCCATAAGCGTCACTAGAATACATAAGATCGATTCTTCTGGTAGAATCTATATTCTGTGCGTTACTTGCAGCTTATTGAACATGGTGATTATTTTCGTCACCGTTGTAAAGCAAACTACTACAAATCCGGTAGTAAATTAAATTAATATCCACCAAGACTATACAGTGTCGGACAAAATTGAACGTCCACTTTTTTATGCCGAACTAAAATTGATATAGCGACTGAACTATTCAACCAATCTCACCGTTCTTGACATCAAATTGTAGACCCATTAATACTCTTTCGAAATCAGTAATCAGATATTATATTTCCATTTGGGGAGATGTGAGAAAAAAATCTTGAAAATTAAAAGTGAAAATTAACGCGTCAAAATTGTACGTCCAGTTGCATTTATTTTCAGATATATCAGGATAAATTAATTTCCTCGTCGAGATAGCTTTATAAATATGACCTACAAACATTATTATACTAAATTTTATCAAAACTATTGATCTCATTTGGTCGCATAAAAATCCCAACTGCAATAAGTGATCATATAATTTCCAACTTGAAATCGAGGTCAAAATGGGTGTTTCCGCCAACGACATTTAAGAGAAAAATACAAATTTGCAAATACAACACGTCAATTAATCCTAGGAACCTAAACCAAACTGCCTGCGTTCCGAACAAGCTAGGAAGGGCTTGTAAAGAATCGTATCGCAAAAATATGTCGCATATTTTGTGAGGAAGATGGAATTAAAATCATCATTTTCAGCCTCAATACTAGCGGCTGAAGTCGATACTATGCTTCGCAAAGACGTTACTCCTAGTACGATCAAAAACACCAGAAACGAAAAAAATCTTTCGGCGAAGTCCTGCAGTTTATAATATAACGTCAATAAATGAGTCAAGTTTGCCATGGTTCATTTCCTTAACGAAAATGTTATTCGTAACCCCGTTTTAAATACCAGTTAGGCGAAATTTAATGTATTTCGATCCAATTGAGTATGTCGAGTTAGGAGATATCAATCTGAAGCGATAAAATGGTAAACTTTGAATCCTACCTGAATGTACATAGGGTACAAGTTAGGTTCACGTCCAATTCTGACATAACGTGCTTCGAAACTGCAGGACTTCGCCGAAAGATTTTTTTCGTTTCTGGTGTTTTTGATCGTACTAGGAGTAACGTCTTTGCGAAGCATAGTATCGACTTCAGCCGCTAGTATTGAGGCTGAAAATGATGATTTTAATTCCATCTTCCTCACAAAATATGCGACATATTTTTGCGATACGATTCTTTACAAGCCCTTCCTAGCTTGTTCGGAACGCAGGCAGTTTGGTTTAGGTTCCTAGGATTAATTGACGTGTTGTATTTGCAAATTTGTATTTTTCTCTTAAATGTCGTTGGCGGAAACACCCATTTTGACCTCGATTTCAAGTTGGAAATTATATGATCACTTATTGCAGTTGGGATTTTTATGCGACCAAATGAGATCAATAGTTTTGATAAAATTTAGTATAATAATGTTTGTAGGTCATATTTATAAAGCTATCTCGACGAGGAAATTAATTTATCCTGATATATCTGAAAATAAATGCAACTGGACGTACAATTTTGACGCGTTAATTTTCACTTTTAATTTTCAAGATTTTTTTCTCACATCTCCCCAAATGGAAATATAATATCTGATTACTGATTTCGAAAGAGTATTAATGGGTCTACAATTTGATGTCAAGAACGGTGAGATTGGTTGAATAGTTCAGTCGCTATATCAATTTTAGTTCGGCATAAAAAAGTGGACGTTCAATTTTGTCCGACACTGTATACACTATTTAGTATCGAGACTACCGAATTTTTACAGCGTAGGGGAACCTTAAATGTAAAATTTAGTAAATTACATATGTACTTTCCTTATTGGGTATTATGAATCGCCCAATGGTTTCATAATGAAACTTCCAGAATACATATTAGTGGCTTCTGGATAATAAATAATTTATTAATTTAGACAAGATTTAAATATTTCCCGACAAATTTTCTATATTCCTTAAACAATTATAATCACACTTATTTATTAAACATACAGTCAATGGAAAAAGTATTGGCAACCCCCACGCCAGCTAAATAAAATTGGCTGTAACGTTGGAATGCATTATACAATTGGCATGAAAATTTGTAGGCCATTAGCAAATATAATGTAGTTTTCGATTATAGTCATGTTTTATTGATTAAAATTAGATAAACACAGTTTTCAAATAATTTGTTGGAAAATTTGCAAAATTTACCCGCAAAAAGTATTGGCAACATGTGGCCAAATTAATTACGCGAAGCAATTTTCCTAATCAGCTACCACACTTCATTACGGTAAGTTAATTAGGTGACCAAATATGACGTTAGCTACAGTTTAAGTCTACATTTGTGTTGTCTAGGGCCATAATGGCGACACCTAACGAGCTGTATTGGCGCCGCGAGAAATAATCATGTCTCTTTCACAAAAAAGCGTTCTTATCGAAAATTCAAAGAGAAAACATACTTTTCCATATTTACTATTGAAAACGTAGCCAAGAAATATAAAATGACAATCTCAGTTTCTACTTTTCCATGGTGCGGAAGAAAAAAGTCAACTACGCCCACGAGCCACTGATGAATCAAGCAAATTATCACTCGAGATCGGAAGATTTCAGCTCCCAAAACCATGTTGAATTTGACAACCAACTGTGGCGTCAACATATCATGCAATATTGTGATCAATCAAAAATCATGCCATGGGTTTCAGGGTCCAGAAGCCCGACTGACGCGAGGGTCCCCAAAACGAACCAACTCAATGAATTGGAATGGATTAAATACCACCCTGAATAGACTTCCAATGAATGAAAAAGGTTCTGCTGGTCTGACATAAGCATATTTTACTTATTCGGAGCCAATTGAATGGTTCAAGTCTGGCGGATGCCATAATAGGCTCACAAAAACGAATATGTTCGTATGACAGCTAAACACAGAAGAGGAGCGATTATGGTTTGGGGTTAAATGACTAGGTCGTGGCGTAGGTAGCTGGTCATTATCGATGGAATCATGACCAATGAGGTCCAAATAATCATTCTAAACGATAATTTGAAATTATTTGATAAAAATCTGACCTATGAAGGAATTTTATATTCCGAAAATTCAGTGACCCCAAACATGTAGCCAATTTAACGATGCAAGGTTTTGGAGATCGAAAAGGTTAAGCTTCTTTCGTTGATTGCACAGTCTCCCGATGTGATTCTGATTGTCCGAGTTGAAAAAAGAGGGACTGGTGGGAAACCACTCTTCGAAAAACGAGCTTGTCAAAAGTTCGAAGGAAGTGTGGGCAGCCATATAGAAAAGCGTTATAAAGAAACTTGTTGAATCAATTCCACGACGTATTTTTGCTCGTATTGCGTCGAGGGGAGGTGCTACGTAATACTAGAAGCATTTTGTCATAATAAAATTGGCGTTTCTTTGATTTATGATTTTTTAAGTTAAGGGTTGCCAATACTTTTTGCGGGTAAATTTTGCAAATTTTCCAACAAATTATTTAAAAACTGTGTTTATCTAATTTTAAGTAATAAATCATGATTATTATCGAAAACTACATTATATTTGCTAAATGGGTACACATTTTCATGCCAATTGTATGATGCATTCCATGGTTATAGCCAATTTTATTTAGCTGGCGTGGGGGTTGCCAATACTTTTTCCATTGACTGTAAATACAACTGTACCCATTTATTTGGGCAACCCTACACTCCTCCATTCAGTGATTAGCACTTATCAGGATCACATGAATTGTGGCGTCAGCACAGAAATTTTGCTCGTTGAACAAGGTCCCTCGGTCGATATGGTTCGAACCAAACCTGACCTTCATTGCCCCACAGGAAACGAGAAGTCTCTCGGCGAGACGTTTGTTTCCTCGAATCTGTGCCAATTTTACCTTCATTGACCTCAAAACACGCTCAGATTCCGTGTTGACCCAGGCAGAAATCGTGAAGATAAGCACACCGCAAATTATGCAATCCACGCAGAGAATGGGATACATTAGGAAGCCAGGCATAGGAATTTCCGAGTGGAGTTTGATACTCACGTACTGCGTCATGATTTGAATCGTAGGCAGAGAAATGATGACCACTGGGACCATTCGATATTGAAGAATTTTGTTCATTGTTTTTTCCAAGGTGAAAATTGTTTTATAGAATTGGATCCCATCACAGATTTCTTCGGGAAGTTGGACCTCTGATATTTTTCTGTAAATTAGAATTTGGTACCTTAATGATGTTCATAAAAAACGTGGGCTTCGACGAGTGAATATTTCTATGTAACTTATTAGCAACTTTGAACTCTGGAACTAAAATAAATTTCTGCATGTGCAGGATAAAGTAATAAAAATAAAGAAAATCCGCCAGATAACCTTTTAGAATTTTGAGGGCCTGAATTTTTTACATGAACACTGGTTGAGCCCGAACCTAATGAACAAAGGCTAACGTTCTTACCCCTTTAGCATCTTCAAGTACGTAATTAAGCATTCAATGGGTGCAAAAAATGCAAAACAGCAAGATGACGAGGCCGCCACTGAGATGTATAAAGCCATCCATGATTCAAATATAGCGACGACCATTTGGACTGCGTTATATTTGTCAATGTTTGCATCACATTGGGAAAACATGGACATAATATAGGGCGGAGTGCAGGGACGATTTAGCAATAGAATGAATTGTAGTATTGGAACCAGAATCACCGAAATAGCAAGAAGCCTGATAAATTGTTCCATTCGCTTCGTTCGCGTAGAGCAAGGAGATGGACCAGCTCCTAAAGAATAGGAAAATATCAAACTATGTTATCCTAATTTTTATTTTTGGTGTGAAGGCTTAAAATCATATAGCTTCTAATTTTTCCTATGTGGGCGCAAATTTCAGTAATGTTTCTATTTGATAAGCGGATATCAAGAGTCTTGATTCAAGACGCAAAGATACGCTTCAGATTTTTTGGTGCATATTAATTTTAAATACATAACTTTGTACCCAAGAAAATAACATCAAGATTCTTAAGATTATCATAAAAACATTTATTTTGTACCAATTTTATTTGAATAAAACTTAAGCGTATTGAAGAGTTTTTTTCACCTATCAATTGCTTTTCTTGACGCAATGTTAATCTATTCGTCGCAATCTCATGCATTGTTACTTACCTCTCAAGTAAGTCTGTTGCTCGAACGATAAGATTGAGTTTATGATTTGCATATAAGTCGGATCGAGGTCAAGATTCCACCAGAGAACGACTTCACCCTTGTACAATGCAAAGAACGGGAAGCCTTGAAATTTTTGGAGAATTGTGAGTGGTCCGAGGCACAAATTGGTGAAAAGTGCGGTACAGTAAAGTAACGCGAGGAGACATTGGAATTGAAAGAAACGAATTTTAATGATTGAAGATACACGTGTCACTCGCGTTGAAGTGACGTCGAATGAGAAGGGGGTGCAGCACAAAAAATTTGAAATTTTCAAGTTAATTTTAAGAAGTTGGAGATAGTTTTCGGTGAACATTATGTCTTCCACCGAACTTGTCTTGTATAGTAGTTACTTTATCCAAAATGTACGGATAAATTGAACGGAAACCATGTTTGAGAGTTTGAGATATAAAGAAGTATACATAAAATATTAAGCTGTAAGTTGTTTATCTATTAAATATGTATATGTTTATACGCTTAGATATCTGGTATATGTAGTCACGCAAGCATTGATTTCTGGGTATTAAAATTGCTACCGCTTGGTGTTTAAGCTACTCCCGTGGGTAAAATTTTGCTATCGATACGGTAAAGCTATTATACTGAGCTATTTCTACAACTTATTACCTATCAATATCAATACCACTTTGGTATAGTCATACATATGTATATGAGTGCCGCCAGATACCATTTAAATACTGGATTTATGTATTAAAGTGTTTGTTTAGGATTATTAGAACGCGAAAAGAAGGCCAATGCCAATTGTTTGACTTTAAAACGTGTATAAATATTTGCATGTTTTCAAGGTGACTGTTTATGTATGTCACAGTAATCAAATAAAACATAATATGTAGCTAACCGTTAAAGCCACACATTCATCCATGCCTTTGTCATTCACATAAAACGTAGAAATAAATATGTAAAGTTTAGGAACAAGTGGGAGGACTTGATTATCTAGCAATGAATTAATCGGGCATCATTAAATCGTTTTACTATAGGGTCATACTTTCACATCTTAATTACACGTACATATGTAGTAAAATCAGATAGTGTACATAAAATTCATCTGAATTTTACTTCTCGGCATTGTCATAAAGCAGAGAAAAAATATTTTGCATCTAAAACTGTAAAAAAATACTTACGCAAAGCCTTACCTAAAGTATTAACATTATATATCTGAGACAAATAAGCTATCTTGAATATATAAAAAAAACAAGTAACTTGTATAGATCAACTTTTAGGAAAGTGTACGTATGAAATGCATAGGTAATAGGTATATAAGATCCGTAATTAAAGGTAGTAGGTATATGTTTACTGGATGATTCATTATGATTTGAGCCAATGTTCAGGTTTTTAAGCAGATCTCTGTATGAGTTGAAAACAAGTTTTTGTTACGAAAAGAGGTTTATTACCTAAGCGCATATGTACATACATATGTACGTCTGGACCTAATGTTTACAATGTCAACTTTTCATAAGTATGTGCATAAATACATACATACGTATGTATTTAGCTTGCGTAGACACCCAATAAACGAGTTAACTGAGAAACAGACTTAATTAATGTTATGTATGTTATGACGTATGTATGTTTTCACAGTAAAGAGGCACGTATGCATTGTTGATACTAGTTGCATTAAGCTCAGGATAAATATATGCAACAAAACAACAACAATAGCACCATGATTTTCATCCCTAGCTTTCTGACTCTGAAGTGCATGAGAAGTTGTGTACTTAAAAGTACGATTTTAATAAATTAGGATCAGTTTTCATTCATTTGTACGAGAGGCTTCAAGTGAATCATTTTCATGTAAATATATACATACATACATACATAAATTGTGGGTTAATGTACATTGTGTAAGTGGCGTAAATAGTTTGATTAACCTTTGACATGTAAGTTTTCCGAATTTTTCTTTAGGGTAGAATTGCTAAGACGCGGTTTTATAAATTGTCATTATTTTTGCAGATTCCAAAATTGAAAAATGGGGATTTCAGAGTGTACAAACCGCTTTTATTACTGGGTGGACGACACAATCGTGGTTATCAAACCGTTCACTGTGACAGTTTTAGTTATCTCGTGGTTCATCCTTTTATGGAAGTTGTCTCCCATGGCGTTTATCGTGGTTGGAATAGCGTTGCTAAATTTTACAATTACATTTGGTCTGCTAATTGTTGGTCTCTTGGACAAAGGCAGATATGGGTTTTAGAATTTAGTCGCGTTGATGTTTGTAGTACCATTGTTTTTTAATTTCTAAATATGCATATGTACATATTTACGTATATATGTATGTAAATGAATACATGTATGTATTAACGTATACGTTAATTTGAGGTCTGTTTAATTCCGAACTTAGGTACGTACATACTTGAAGGTTGGATGATCTCATTAGTTTGTTACTAAATATCACGTTTTTATGAATTAGTCATAATTATAATTCTTGTCAATAAAAGTACTTCTGTATGTACAACTTATGTTGCATTATGAGTGCTCTACAAATAAGTTAAGTATTTGATAAATTAAATAATTGTTATTCTTGTTTTGACGAAATTCTTTATACGGAAAACACGCATTTATATACACACCCAGGGAGAAATTTATTGTACTACATAGTATAACTATTTCAAGGTTATAAATATTGTTTCAAGACCGAAATTTGACTTTTCATTCATTTTATATAAGTCAAAAGCGATGAAGGTTGGAAATACATTTCTAGAATTTCTGATCTGATTTTTACAGAATTAAGTATGTACATATTCTATTCATTTATACAAAAACATGCGCTTCACGTAAATTTCCGCTAGAATGCGACCATCGTTTTTGGGTGAATGTCGGCCTCTTCACGTATGTACTTACCGCTATGCCATCTTATCTTGATTAGTTATTTGTTGATTATATTTCTCGGCTTATTATCGGTTGATTATATTTATATTTATATTACTCCAGTCCAACATATGTATGTTGCCAACAATTTTCTTTACGACCACATAAAGCTTGATTTAAATGTTTACAAAATGTATCAACTCGATTTTATCTAATGTCATCAAAATCTCAAGCAATTATCATTCTAGTACAATAATAAAGTAATCCACAGTTGTACAGAATACATTAAGTACTTAAGTATGGCAGAAGGTTAATTTGTAGTATTATTTATTATTATTATTATCTTTACATAATATTATTTTTCATGCCAAAGTTAATAGTAGCGCTGCTCATCAAAGTCACCATCAATTTTGTTTGCAGAGATCCATTTATCGCAAAGTTTGGGGTAGTACATGAAGTATGTCATGGATTTTATGGGGCAGTTTGAAAGTCCGAGAACATTTCCCAGGTGCTGCCCTTGTCCAAATTTGGTTATATACTCTCCATTCGCGTATGGGTTGAACTTTTATAGAAATAGAGAAACTACGCCACTGTCAGTCTCAAATTGCCTCACGTTATTCGAACGGGAGACTTTGAGACTTGCAGTGGTGTAGTTTCGCAGAATTCTCAATTTCTGTAAAAGTTCGCGTACTTTATCTTGGCGACAAAACGTGTGTCACAGTTTGATAACGAGCATTATGAACGGTCCACTACCGCAATTTATAAAATTGGAGGTCAACATTAAAACACCAGATGCATCGTGAAAAACAAAATTACTTTTTTTCAAAATGGTATAAAATCGTCTGCTTCTAGCATACTCAAATCACTACAAATTTCCATCTCCAATCAGAGCAAACATGAACAGAGGATTTTTATCAGTTGTTTTGGCAATTTGTGTGCTGTCATCTGTGGCAGCCACACCTACTCTGGTTGAAATTTGCGGCGATGTGTCAGACTACGCTGACCCGCAAGACTACTTCGCATGCGCAGATAAGTATTGCCTGGATTACGGGGTGGTTGGGGACGAGTAAGTCAAAGAAGCATACACAAATATATCATTGTATTTTTTAGAGAAATTGAACTAAATAACCATCCTTTCAATTTTTAACAGCGGAGAATGCATCTCCACCTCAACTTGAAACGTAAAAATTTGCCACGTTGAGCAGCTAAACACTGATAATAAATACATAAATTCAAGCACAATAAACTAATTACGAATGTTCTATTCATTTTATTTGATACATATGTACACACATATATATGCCAATAAGATAGCCACACCCACAACTCTCAAATAATTCTAGTTATGCAGAAATCAATAATTTTATTCATGAAACGTCTATAGCATCTTGAGGATTAACGTGTCAACAATAATTATGTAAGGATGTACATACACTTGGCAAATATATAAATAATTAATTTTTCCTTCCGCGTCAACTGTTTGCAAAAAAATAGGTAACTAAACGACACTGTGGTGAAAGGCACGCAGTAGCCCATTCAAAAATTGCCACTTATCAGGATCAGATTCACGGTGGCATCCGCACAGAAATTTTGCTCATTGAACAGGGTCCCTCGGTCGATATGGTTCGAGCCAAACCTGACCTTCATTGCCCCGCAGGCAGCAAGAAGTCTGTCGGCGAGACGTTTATTTCTTCGAATCTGTGCCAATTTTACCTCCATTGATCGAAGTACACGCTCAGATTCCGTATTAACCCAGGCAGATATAGAGAAGATGAGTACAGCGCAAATTATGGAATCCACGCAGAGAATGGGATACATTAGGAAGCCAGGCATCGGGATTTCCGAGTGCAGTTTGATGCTCACGTACTACGTCATGATTTGAACCGAAGGTAGAAATATGATCATCGCCGGTACCATTCGATACTGAAGAATTGTATTCATTGTTTTTTTCAAGGTGAAAATTGTTCTGTAGAATTGGATGCCATGGCAGATTTCTTGTTGAACTTGGCATTTTGATATTTTCCTGTAAATTAATCATTTTTCATAATGCATTAATCTTCACGTAAATACATAAATCCTGAGCAAATGTTTCTATATAATTTCTTATATCTCAATAAGTTTGAATTCTGACAGCAAAATAAATTTCTATACGGATAAGAAAAATAAACAAATTTTGCCAGATAACCTTTTAGAATTTTTAGGGCTTGATTTTTTTACATGAACAATGGATGATTGAGGCATAACCTAATGAACAAAGGCTAACGTTCTTACCCCCTTAACATCTTCAAATACGTAATTAGGCATTCAATTGGTGCAAAGAATGCAAAACAGCAAGATGACGAGGCCGCCACTGAGATGTATAAAGCCATCCATGATTCAAATGCAGCGACGCCCAGCTGTAACAGCTTCAATGTGTCAATCTTTACGTCACATTCGGAAAACATGGACATAATGTAGGGTGGAGTGCAGGGACGATTTTGTAAAAGAAGAAATTGTAATATTGGAACCAGAAACCCCGTGATGGCAAGTACCTCGATAAATTGTTCCATTCTTTTCGTTCGGGTTGAGCAAGGAGTTGGACCAACTTCTAAAGAAAATAAACTACACATGTACAACATATAAATATTTGCATAAACAACTATATTATTTTTTTGCCAGTGGCGAACCCTGAAAATCATGCGCAGTTTCTATTTTTTTCTAAATCGGTAAAAATTTAAATTGTTAGATAAGTGGATATCAAATCCTAGCTAAAACCAAGGACATAATATAATTTGTCGAAATACCATTCTTACCTCTCAAGTATGATCGTTGTTCCAACGATAAGATAGAGTTTATGATCTGCATATAGGTCGGATCGAGATCAAGATTCCACCAGAGAACGACTTCACCCATGTACAACGCAAAGAACGGGAAACCTTGAAGTTTTTGGAGAATTGTGAGTGGTCCGAGGCACAAATTGGTGAATAGGGCGGTGCAGTAAAGTAGCGCAAGGAGACATTGAAATTTATAGAAACGAATTTTACGGACTGAAGATAAACGCACAACTCGTTTCTTCGTGACGTCGAATGAGAAGGGGGTGCAGCATAGAAAATTGGAAATTTTCAAATTAATTTCAAGAAGCCAAAGATAGTTTACTGTGAACATGATGTCTTCCACCGACCTTCTCTTGCATTGAGGTAATCTTATCCAAAAGATACGGATAAATTGAGCGGAAACCATGTTTTAGACTCTATAAGATATAAATAATTACGCAGCCATAAAATATTAAATTGTGAGTTGTTTATCTAATAATGAGGCCAGTTGTAAACAAACTGGTAAAATGGTTTCTCAAATGCTGATGTTTCATAGTTTGATATTTATGTTGGCTGTCGATTACAACCTTTTGCATACATGGTTTACCATTAATGAACTTGAGAAGATTAATTTAAACGAAAATATCATTTGAGAAAAACATATTCATTCATTTATACCTACATATATACAGATATTTACATACATATATGTAAATACGTGCATGTCCAGAAAGCGAAGGCCAATGTCAAGTATTTGACTTTAAAACGTGCCCAAATATTTGCATTTCACGTTTTCGAAGAATAATAATAACTATAGATTTTATGTATCTAATTATAATCAATCGCATAATATGTACATTATCATATACAGTATATATCTGTAGATACATGACGCCACACATACATAGATTTGAAGAGGATCAAGTTTATTAGCCACGAATCAATCGGGTTTGCATGTATTATATACATACATATGTATACCGGTACAACTAAGGTACTTTTTGCATACACTAAATGTCCCTTTAAAATCAGGTATACAAACAAAAGCCCCCTTTAAGTTTGCAAACTTAAAGCTCACCCTCCGTAATAAAATAAATCCATTTACCCATTTCAAATGGGTAAGTATTTAGATGAAAACTCGAACTGGAATTTTTTTTGAAACCTTATGTACATATTTATGCTAACCGTTGTAACGTTAGAAGTATCTCTCTCTATGAGCACGCTTGTGGAAACTGCATTTTCATTTTTTGCATCAATACTGCTACACAATCGAAATGGTACTGCCAACCGACAGCTTTTAAATGAAACCTATCTTTCCGATTCTGTATTGTTGCTGAACTTTCTTGGAAGGGAGTTTTCTTAGGTTTCTGAATTTTCTGCAGATTCTCAATTTACTACATTCTTAACTTAAATTTAAAAAAAAACTATTAATTATCAAACATAAACTATGTGCCCATTTATTTCAACAAACTTGCCGTACTCAATTTGGCATTGCCACTTATCAGAATCAGATCCACGGTGGAGTCAGAAATTTTGTTGATTAAACAGGGTCCCTCGGTCGATATGGTTCGAGCCAAACCTGACCTTCATTGTCCCACAGGCAGCAAGAAGTCTCTTGGCGGGACGTTTATTTCCACGAGTTTGGGCCAGTTTTATCTTCATTGATCGCAGGACGCTCAGATTCCGTGTTGACCCCGGCCGATATGGAGAAGATGAGGACACTGCAGATAACGCAATCCATCCAGAGAATGGGATACACTAGAAATCCAGGCATCGGGATTTCCGAGTGGAGTTTGATACTCACGTACTGCGTCATGATTTGAATCGCAGGGGGAAATATAATCATCGCCGGGACCATGCGATATTGAAGAATTTTGTTCATTGTTTTTTCCAAGGTGAAAATTGCTCTGTACAATTGGATGCTATCACAGATTTCTTGAGGGGTGTGGGATTTTAATATTTTCCTGTAAATTATGTCATAGATTTGTAAAATTCGTAGTTCAGATTTGATACCGAACTAAATACTTGAACCCAATAATAACGTTCTAAAGAACTTGGGAGACTTACCCCTTTAATATTTCCAAGTACGTGAGTAGACATTCAATTGGTGCAAAAAATGCGAAATTGCTAGATTGTGTGGCCCCCACCGTGATGTACAAGGCCATCCATGTTTCGATTACAGCTACGGCCAGGTGGAACGGTTTAAATGTTATATTATTTCCGTCGCATTCGGAAAACATGGACATAATGTAGGGTGGAGTACAAGGGCGATTTTGCAAGAGAACTAATTGTAGTGTTGGAACCAGAACCATTGAAATGGCAAGAAGCCTGATAAATTGTTCCATTCTTTTCGTTCGAGTGGCGCAATGACTTGGACCAGCTCCTAAAGAAAACGAAAATATCAAACTATGTATTTATTCAGCGTCTATGCAGCTGCGAAATAAACTATCATATTTTATTCTATATGAAATTTATCGAAGAATTAGAATATTTTGACTGTTTTACAAAATCTAAAATGTTGAGAATGGAATTTGAACCCGATAACATTCGAATGAAATAAATCTCATCTGAACCCATCATGAAACTCTAGTATACATAAATACACACATTGTACGTGTCAGACTTGCATTGAATCAAGATTTTAACAACTGGCATGCATGAAACAATTATGCAGCTCGTAACCATTTTTCGTTTTCAGTAAAACTTGACGTTTTTGAAGAGTTTTATTTTGCTTGGCTTTCGGCAAATTAATTATGTACTTAAATTCGTCGTACCATAAATACATATATTCTTACCTCTCAACTTAGTTTGTTCTAGAGATAAGAATGGGTTTATGATCTGCATATAGGTCGGATCAAGATCAAAGTTCCACCAGAGAACAACTTCACCCGTGTACAAGGCAAATAACGGGAAACCTTGAAATTTTTGGAGAATTGTGAGAGGTCCGAAGCATAAATTGGTTAAAAGTGTGATACAGTACAGTAGTGCAATGAGACATTGGAATTTAAAGAAACGAATTTTACGGACTGAAGATACACGTGTAACTCGTTTCTTAATAACGTCGAATGAGAAGGGGGTGCAGCATAGAAAATTGGACATTTTCAAGTTAATTTCAAGAAGTCGGAGGTAATTTTCTGTGAACATGATGTCTTCCACAGAACCTGTCTTCTATTGAGGTTATCTTATGCAAAAGGTAAGAATAAATCGATCGGAGGACACGAAACATAAATTTGAGGTGCAGGAAATCGGTATGTAATGTTAAGCTGTAAATTGTTTGTCAAACAATGAGGCCAATTAGAAAATATTTTCTCAAATACCTGTTTTATTACGAAATTCTATACGAAGTTGATGTTGGATGACGACTTAATTCCTTTACATTTCCGATTCACTTGATCAGAGAGGAGAGGACTGAATTTTAAGGTAAATAATATTTATGAAAATCATATATTTGTTAATTGTATATACACACGTGCATACATACATATGTGTCTATAGGAAGCCAAGCTCAATCGCAAATGTTTGACTTTAAAACGTGTCTAAATATTTGCACGTTTTTCGAGAAAGACAATAAATTGGTATGTATAAACGAAACAATGTATAGAGATTATATATGTCAAAGTAATTGCAAAAATCATAATAACCGTATTAAAGTCACACATTTATCCGTGCCTCTGTTATGCACATATGTACACACATAGCATAAAGCGTAAAAACACCTTAGAATAAAGTTTTGGTAGAAGTGAATGGATTTGATTATGAATGAATCCGTCGGGTTGATATGATGTTGACAATGTCAACTTGACACATTATGTCAAGTTGACATTATCAACCCGATGTTACATAATTACATATTATGTAATTATGTACATACACACGAAAATCATGTTGTTCACTATCATATATGTACATACATTCTACGAAACAAGTGTTTAAACCTTGATGTAAATATGTAGATACTTAATTATATATGCATACATAACACCGAACAGTATATCTGTCATCTGTATATGTATGTGTGTATAGCTCTATATAATTCATATGTAGCTTAACGTCTTACATACCTAGATACCTATGTATGTGCATATGTACTTATGAATTTTTGTTTAAGCAAATTGGTAAAGAAAAACCAGCGTTTGTACAAAAAATAGTTAAATACAATTTGGATGCACAAAATGCATACGTGCAGATATGTATGTAATCGCGGAGCAATGAGAATGCACAAAGAAACTGCATCTACAAACTTGCCTGACATCATTTAAATAAATAATGTAGACGTACACATTTAAGTTGTGCTAGGTAAGTCATAATCCTTGATAAATTTTAAACCACCCAAACGTCAAAACACTAAATTGTTGTTTAATAAGGAAAAACGTTCACGCCTTAATTACACGCAGTTAAACTCAAGTCAGGCTATGCAAATCCCGAATGCATTTATCGTCTATGCATTATCATAAGCAAAGAAGAATGAAAAATACTTACGCTAAGACTTAGATAAGTACAAATTTATAAATTTATTACCTAAGGCTTTGAGCAAGTATTGTTTCTTAGATTTGGACACAAAATCTGAAACAAACAAGCTGCATTGGATCAAAAATACAATTTTTATGGACCAACTTTAACGAAAGTGAGTGGAATAATTTGAGGTTCCGAGTGGATCAATGTTAAGGTTGAAGGTTTTTAAGCAGATTTCTGAGTTGAAAACAAGATTCGAACGAGTTGAAGTTGATCATTATGTCTGGAATCCAGAATCTGGATGTACACATTTACACATTTACACATTTACACATTTACACAACATAATGTGCATGGACATAAATATATACATAAATGCAGCCATATGTATGTACAAGGTTTGCGTATTTAGAAACCTTAAGAAAGGAGCTTGTTAAGAGACAGGCCGAATTAATGCAATGTTATGACTCGTTTTTTCTCAATCAAGAACACGTCGATGGTACATGTCTACATATTATGCACATTGTTGAGACTTGTTGGGTTTCCTCAGGTACTACGAAAGCTAAGGAACAACATGATTTTCATTTCTAGTCTGCTAAATGTTATATAAGTTGTGTACTAAAATTAAGATTTTAGTATTGAGATCACTTTTCATTCATTTGTACTGGAGGCTCTAAGGAGGGGAGCTTGCGAGGTTGATAATAACACATCTTGGTGCCCTTTGGATATGTGGTAGGGACCCATGAGTGTACTAAAACCCTGAAGTAGTTTGACTCCATGGCCACATTTGCGCCCGCCACACCCACTCAAAAATGTCCAAAAAACGCTTTCACCCCAGTTTTCACTCACTCAAATCCACGCCAAAAATCCAATTTTACTCGGATTTTGAAATTTCTTTCACCATTATACTCCCAGATAGTTGCTTTCTTCAATCCAATATCAAACTCAATTTTTTCGAAATTTTTAGTATTTTTAAAATTTAAAATTCTGAATGAGCATTGTTGTAGTCATCAACAAAACAAATTATGTTTGCGAAATAATCATCAATAAAATTGAGTTTGATATTGGATTGAAGAAAGCAACTATCTGGGAGTATAATGGTGAAAGAAATTTCAAAATCCGAGTAAAATTGGATTTTTGACGTGGATTTGAGTGAGTGAAAACTCGAGTGAAAGCGTTTTTTGGGCATTTTTGAGTGGGTGTGGCGGGCGCAAATGTGGCCATGGAGTCAAACTACTTCAGGGTTTTAGTACACTCATGGGTCCCTACCACATATCCAAAGGGCACCAATATCTGTTATTATCAACCTCGCAAGCTCCCCTCCTAAGCGGATGAGGTGTGTGCAGACTGAGATAAATGGTGCAACTATTTTAGTTGAATTTTGACACGTAAGTTTTTCGAATTTGTATAAATTCTGAAAATTCTGAGATTGTAATTTTATATAAATTGTCATCCTTTTTGCAGCTCGTGGTATCCTCCAAAATTGAAAAATGGGGCTTTCCGACTGTGCAAATTACTTCTTTTACTGGGTGGAAGATAGAATTTTGATTATTAAGCCGTTCACGGTGATAGTCTTGGTGATCTCGTGGTTCATCGCTTTATGGAAGTTGTCTCCCATGGTGTTCACCGTGGTTGAAATAGCCTTGCTGAATTTTGCAGTTACCGTGGGTTACTTAATTGTTAGGCTTTCCAACGGCAGACTTGGGTTTTAAGATTTTAATCGAGGTGATGTTTTTGCAAATATATGTATGGAATTATTTGTATAATTTTTATGCATACACATAAATATTTAGACATACTTGCATAAGTTAATTACGGTCCGTTTGATTCTCAAGTTATAAATATATGTATATGAAATTTAGATGATCTCACTTGGTTTTTGTAAAATATCACATTTCCAGTAATTATATAATCATAATTTTAGTTTTTGTAAATAAAATCATAACTATATTTGCATTGCGAGTGAGTCACAACTCCAATTTACATACGTGATCACGTGTGCACAAATATTAAATATTTTTTTTTGTATTCTTGTATTTATCATGAAGTTCTTCATACTAAAAGCTCGATGTATTTACACACATACAGATCCAAGAAGAAATGCATTGTGCTAAAATGCTGTAGATTTATAAGTAAGTATTGTTTCGAGACCTAAATTTAGCCTTTCATTCATTTAAAGTCAAGACTCTTGACTCAAGAGCACAGATGGAGGTTGAGAATAAATTTCCAGATTTTATTATGATTTTTTACAGAATTACCTATACATTTATACATAAATATGTGCATACCTTAGTATTTCTATGTATTTATTATTTTTTTTACATATTATATTTATGTTGTTACGCGCATGCATTGTACATCACTAAATTATTATACTGACTTGAATGTGTCATTTGCATTGAAACATTTCAACAAATTGCACAACTTATCGGAACATATGCGACTCTCCGGATCTGCAATTAGCAACTGATCCACAATCTTTACCACTTTCTTAAACTTTCCCCTGCAACAATTATTCAAATACTTACGTCGCTCAATTCCACTAAAATTTCGTAAATGTACAAAAACTGCAGATCTATCCAAATCCCGGCTTAAAATTTCGACCCAAACTAACCCCAAACTGTACAAATCCGTCTTATCCGTATACCTTAATCGCTCCCTCATTTCCGGACTTTGATAAAGATATGTCCCCGCCGCCCCTACGTTTCCTTCGTCTCTGCTCATCACTGCTAAACCAAAGTCCCCAATTTTCCACGTCAACTTTCCCGAAGACGATTCTACCTTAAAAAATATATTTCCTGGTTTAATATCTCGATGAATGTAACCTTTCGAATGCACGTAGAGGAGTCCAGTCGCAACCTGTTGAACAATACTAATTTCATCCCCACCTTGTTCAGGGTATGCTTGCAAATAATGTTTTAAAGTGGAGTGACATAGCTCCATCCGGATGAAGATGTGACTCAAGGGCGAATTTTGGGTGGATGTCGCGGAATTATTGGAATCCTCGATCAACTCGTGAATATACTCTTCTAATCGAGACTTTGTTAAGACGAGTTGACTGCAATCTTCCGCTTCTGCCCAGCATCCATAGTAACGAACTACATGATCGGATGAGAGTTGGTCCATGATTTGCATCTCGTTGAGAAGAAGGTTCATGGAATTTTGAAGGCTGATGGTTCCGGGGAATGTAGTAGACGATGTAGCGGATGATGTGTTTGAAGGACCACTGCAACTCCGCAGCGTTTTTGCCATGTCGACACATTTGATAGCATATCTGGTCGGGGGAACAATTGCGGCTTGATCCTCAACTTGGTACACTTTTCCGAAAAATCCTTCCCCCAAGAGGGAAATGCAGGTTAGAGAAGGGTTACTTTGCCAGGGAGGTGTTAAATGAATTATTGGGTGAGGTGGGGGGAGGAGGTGTTGAACTACTGCAGGGATTGGTTGAAGTGGAATATCTACTACCGTTTGAGCATGCAATAGAAAAATTGAGTACAAATTAACTGAATATTTACATATATGTACATGTATTTACATAGGTGTTAAAATACACGGACTACCTGATGGTGACTTAATTGACCTATTATTCCTTTTCTTTTTTCGTATAAGGTAGACTGCCATGCAAATTCCGATCATAATAAAAACTACAATGGCAATGAGCACCAAAGTTAGGACACTGCCTGTGGTAAGGTATAATGAACCGGGGTCAAGTTTCTCCCCTACAGTAATATAAGATGCATTGAAATTACAAGATTTTGTAACACATTAAGGTGTCAGAGTTGCGTTTTTACCATTGTTTTTGACATCTGTCAAGGCACAGTTTGATATATTGCTTATTGGAATGCATTTTCCATCTCGCTCGCAGTACGTTCCATTCGTCGAACAGTTAGTGCTGGGTATCGTAGATATTTCCTATTTGTTCCAAAATCTTTAAGAGCTACATACATACGATCATTTATTTTATATAATGGGGGCCCTCAGAAACACAAAAAATCGTCACTGCAGATTTCGCGTAGTTTTTCGCTTATCGGTAGCATAGCAGAAATTATGAAAATTGCAAAATTTTGTTCCGACTGAAGCTAACCGACCTTAACCCAACTTCTGAATTGAGTTTCTGCTCACTTGCCCCAGAACTCGCTTATCAGGAAGGAAGCAAAAAACTAAGCGAAATTCTAAGCCATGATTTCTTCGTGTGTGTGAAGTTATCTTTTCATACGTACTGGTGTGGCTGATATTTGCTCCTTCTCAGTAGTCAGCTTTGAAGGACTGATTACAATTTCCGGGATTTCTTCCCTAGTTTGAGGGTAAATTGTTTTCGACGTACAATTACTTTCGTCCGCACCATCTCCACAATCATTTTCTCCGTCACATATCGCGCCACTTTTAATACACTTTTTATCGCTACATACAAACCCACTGGAAACACAGTTGTTCTCACAAATGCTAACGGACGACATTCGATCATCCCAAGTCCGTATTCCATCGCTCATTTTTAGAGAACTAAGATTATCATGGTGCCAAGTTTCGGGCCCAACCTCCGTCCAGTCACCTTCACAATTTAAATTCTCCCAAATAATTATACAGTTTTCGAACGTATTTATTGAAGAAACTCGATCCTCGTAAAAGTACAGATTGCTGCATTTCTGTATAATAAACGTTTCACAAGCCCCACTCGACCCACCCTCTGTATCGCAGTCAAAGAATTTGTCTTCGTACAGGGTGAAATGGACCCGCATTGTGACTCACGATTTATGAGTCAGATTCGATGGTTATCAGAATTGGGCAAAATATGTATTTTGAGCCCTGTTGTTCCCAGGATTTGGATTTCCAGGGCTGTTACACCCACAAAAAGATGAGAACCTCGATCGAGAATGCATTATTTATGCGAAAATATGTATGAACATATGTACATACATACGTATAGGTTTTTTGAAGAATTTAACTTCTTATTGATACACGTACATATCTATGTATGCGCATTCTTTGTATGTACGTATGTTTTTGATAACTGGTACTAAATCATTACTGAGGGGAGTCAGATATGACTCTCTACCGGCATCGTAATAACGAGCACAACGGTTTATGTAGTTATGGTGATAATGAAATGTTTACCACTTTGAAACAAATAACTACAACCAATCTGGTATATAGGAAATTGCTACCAAATCAATACCAGTACATATTTACACATATGTACATATGTAAGTCGGATTTTTGCAGATTTTTTTACAGTATATGTATGTACTTACAATGTGTATTAGTTTACGACGAATAAACCAGGACTGGTCATCTCTGAATTAATTTCGTCTGGAAATACATACCTATTTATCGAATTCACTTACATATACACAAAGCGAAAATGCAACATACATACACTACTACACATATTGGTAGGAGCGAGCTTAAGGGTAGTGACCGAATGCAGATAATACCACGAGCGATAAGGAAAGCGATCTTATCACAATATTATTATTGTATGATTCTGCTGTACTTATGTACAGGTGAAAGGTATGTATGTGCATACGTACATATATATAAATATGCATCTACATATTACACGCAAACCTTTTAACCTTTTAAGTTTAAGTCTAAACACACTCACATCAATAATAAAAATTCAGATACCGATAAATTTACATAACAAACTCGATAATATGTGTTTCATTCATGCGTCCTCATCCTTAAACTGAGGGAGAAGAAAAATGTTAAAAAGTTCGACCCGGTCACGAAATCGGAATCGACTTGTTACATATGCAAATACCAAGAAATAATTTCAAATTGCAAAAACTGTTATAAAAAAGTGTTTAGAACTTTGACAAAGATTTTGATGAATTATATACGAAAACGTCACGTTGAAACGTAATCATGGCACAATGGTTTCAAATGGGATTTTCATTCTCAAAAATAAAATTTTGAGAACTTCCAACTTTTTTTGCATATTTCGAACGAGTGAGGCACAAGGAGTATTGGAAAAATAGTTTCATACTGCCACACCCCCAGGGGGAGGAGTTTTTCCTCCAGCCCCCCCTGTACGAGTTGGGTGAAAACTGATGACGGCGTTGTATTCTGCATCATTTTTTATGACGAAAATGAAGATACACTTTTTTCGAAATTCCGTATAGTTTCGGAGATATCGGGGTGCAAAGTTTCCCCGCATATGACCTTTAGGGCCATTTTTGACCTTGTTGCGACGCACTTGGAAGTTAGCTGAGTATGTCATCTGATGCTACTTATCGTAGACTACAAGGATCAAAAAGAAAATCGCTGCGAGCTATTCAAGTTTCGAAAATATAGGCTTGAGAAAATTGAGACAATGTTGTGCGAAATCTAGCACAAAAAATAGCCGAATTCTCGAAAACTTCTAAAATACTAATTAATTTTGATAGAATATGTTTTATAAAGTCAAGATATAATTTTTTAAATTATTCGGGACAGCTTTTGACATAAAAACCCGAAAAAACCCGAATTTCGGATTTTTCGGATTTGCAATTTTTTCCGGGTTTTTACGTCAAAAGCTGTCCCGAATAATTTTAAAAATTATATCTTGACGTTATAAAACGTATTCTCTCAAAATTAATTAGTATTTTAGAAGTTTTCGAGAATTCGGCTATTTTTTGTGCTAGATTTCGCACAACATTGTCTCCATTTTCCCAAGCCTATATTTTCGAAACCTGAATAGCTCGCAGCGATTTTCTTTGTGATCCTTGTAGTCTACGATGAGTAGCATCAGATGACATACTCAGCTAACTTCCAAGTGCGTCGCAACAAGGTCAAAAATGGCCCTAAAGGTCATATGCGGGGAAACTTTGCACCCCGATATCTCCGAAACTATACGGAATTTCGAAAAAAGTGTATCTTCATTTTCGTCATAAAAAATGATGCAGAATACAACGCCGTCATCAGTTTTCACCCAACTCGTACAGGGGGGGCTGGAGGAAAAACTCCTCCCCCTGGGGGTGTGGCAGTATGAAACTATTTTTCCAATACTCCTTGTGCCTCACTCGTTCGAAATATGCAAAAAAAGTTGGAAGTTCTCAAAATTTTATTTTTGAGAATGAAAATCCCATTTGAAACCATTGTGCATGGGGAACTAAATGGAAAAAACGCTGAGGGTGTGGTTGGAGGCAAATTGAAAATTGTGATGTGATCCTCAGTTATTGTGAATACCAAAATTGATGTGCATGGTAAATACATGTATCTTTTTACTGTCATTTGTATATTCCACGACGTATATATGTACATATGTACATAATATTTATTAGGATGTTATATTATATTATATTATACATATTATATTCACTTATTTTGATTTTTGCATTTTTTGGTTCCTGAAATTGTGAAGGAAACACAATTTTTACTAAAATCAAAATTGCACATAAGATTTAGTTTTGCATGAACAATGACAAGCGTACATATGAAACTCGTATTTTTCGTCGTCACATTACACAGCTATGAATTACATATGTACATACACATTCCGCTATATGTAAGACTTGAAATCTTCTCTTGCAACTATATACTGATTTATCTGTATTTCTGGAACTCGATAAGATGAAATAGGCTAATTATATATTCTGTCATTACACACACAGGGTAGAAAGCATTAGGTAATTGGATGTAATTAAAATTTGAGTAAGTGTACACAACTATGAATAAAATAGCTGAAACTTTGTCAACTTTACTCCGTACGTCTCTCTTAAAGAGAAAATAATCTCAAAACTTTCATTGCATGAATGTACCTAATGCAGACAGAATGTGTAAAATGAAAATGAACCTAACCTTTCTGCCGCTTATATAAGGTTTTTACATACATACATAACTATTTTTTTATTTATTTGCTGAAATCCCAGACGAACAAGTTGGATGGCGTAGTATGTAAAACAAGTACATTTTTATGATCAACTTTTAAGAAAATGGACGTATCTATATACCAGTCACTGGAGGCATCATGCTCTCGACGAGTGTTAAGTTGAAGGTTTTTGAGCAGATTTCTGAAGTTGAAGGTTGCAAAAAGAGGTAAAAAAGACATACAATGTAGTTGGGGTAGGATAGTTAGGTAAGTAAATACGTACGTAAATACACAGACAGACAGTAGTTTGCATGGACATCCAGCTAGGAAACTTGAGACAGTGTTGAATTTTATGGCTTGTTTTTTACAAGGCCAACACGTTAACTTGTTCAGTTTCAGGATGAAACATAACATGCTATGCATCATCATCTTAATTCATATTACGGCAAAGAATGGAACATGTTTTGCATGCACGTATTGAAGTTGTGCTAAAAGAAAGATTAAAAAACGACGAGGTTGATGTTGAGGTCACTTTTTCATTCGTTCAGCAGGCTCCAAGTCCAGTGGACCAGTTGCGACGACGAAGCGATAGTTTCCGAAATTTGTAAGTTTTTCGAATTTTCATGAACCTATTTCATATTATTTATTTTGTACTAAAATTTTTCTGGAGTGCGATATTGAGTTAATAATTACGTCTAATACCAACCAATTATTGAAGATTTTTATAATTTCCTGCAAAAGGCGAATATTTACAGATATACATATATTTCAATGAGTTTCAAATTTTCGAATTTCTGATGCCTTTTGCCATCAAGTTTTCCAAAAAATACCGAAGACGATTTCAAAATTTTTAGAAATTTTAAGAAAATTGCTTTTTTTTGATGCATGATATGACGTATTTGGTCCCGCAGGGACATGTTCTGAAACACGTCATTTGCCCAATTTGGTTAAAATGCAAACAGAATTCTGGAACGTTGAACGTTGTAAAATGTGCATGCAATTTTTTTTGCAGATCGTGCAAAACAGGAAAATGGGTCTCTCTGAGTGTGCAATTTACTGGATGCAGGAACAATTTGCGGTCCTGCGACCGTACATGCTCAGTGCGTTGGTCATCTTCTGGTTCATCCTTTTGTGGAAGTTGTCTCCCATGGCGTTTGGCGTGGTTGGAATGACCTGTCTGAATTTTGTGGGGGTCTGTGCCCTGCTAATTTTTAGATTCTATGATAACTTGGGAATTGGGTTCTAAATAATTAAATAATCAGTCAGGACGAAGAATTGATATTTGTAAATATAATTGTTTTTTTATTCGTTGCTTACATTTCTACATATGTAATTACAACATTGTATAACGAATTTATTATGATCTCAATAAATACATATTTAGTTTACTAAAGAACATTTGAGCTTGTACATATTATTGAATAATGGCATAGATATGGACAAATTTATCCTTTGTCGAAAAATATCCTATTGTTAAATCATTAAGCGCATTACACCGTCAATTTCCTTTTGTAAATTAATCGTTTATCAATATTTATCGTGTAACCAGGTAGAATAAACTGGCTGACATGACCCATTCTGGACTTGTATTTAATGCGTCATCACCCTCATTGTCATCTTATTCCTCTTCTTCAGTAGTAGTGTCCTTCTTTTCCACTTTTTGCATTATCTAACAACCATTCTTCTTGCCAGTGGTCACTTTCATATTTTTTCTCGTCCCCTTCCTCATCTTCCATGGACTCGTCATCCTCGTCATCCTCTTCATCTTCGATATCTTCCTTTAGATCCATGATATCTTCTGAAGCAATTTTTTCCTTAGCATTCTTGGCTGCCGGTTTGGCCTTAGGTTTCATCTTGGATTGTTTTGTCACCTTCTTTTTCTTACCGGATTTAGACACAGAGGGACGTCCTACCCGTCGTGGAGCTGGTGACCCAGGAATTTTCCCCACCCAACCGGATACCGTTGTCACGGGAGGAAGCTTAAAACCCATTTCCAATAACCAGCTATATCCCTTCAGGCTTAACCTGGAGTGCAATGATACTGCCAAAGTTTTTTCCTTATCGCTCCAACGACTATGAATTTTTTCGTTGTACCGTTCAAACTGGGTATTAACAAACTGCGCAAATGATTCGTTGCCAGGAAAGGAATCTAAAATGGTTGCGTAGTCGAGTTTTTGTCTTTTTGACTTTGAATAACGAATCTTGTCTTGCAGTAACTTGTTTGTTTTCTTTAGTTCTTGAATTTCACGTCTCTGCTTACTGATGATAGACATTAGAGAATCTTCAGCCGTAACTTGCAAATCACTTCCTGTCTTGATCTGCTCAGTTTGGTTGCTGGAAATTGGACCAAGGGGTTCTTGATTTTGCGAAACTGTAACGGGTAGGCATCCAGGGATGAGTGATTTAAAACTTTTAGTCGTATATGAACTCGGTGCAAAGTGCAGATGACACAAATGAGGTTTGCTTATCTCTGAAGGGTTCAGAGTGATTCCAAGGACATCGCACCAGGCCTGGGCGCTGTGCGTTTATCTTGTTAGTTACTACTATCGCAGAAATAAGTTTGTTGATAATTAAAATTTCAATTTCAAGATACCTAGCTGGATCCTTTGGGAAAGAAAAGAAACTAATTCCAGCATCCCGTCCTGAACTCCCACATATATCGATGCAACACGACTTGGTCATCCTGGAGACTTCAGATCTGCGATGTGCTATAACATATTTACATAGTTGGTTTATGTTTCATGAACATTGGCATAATAATTGGTACAAAAATAGGGGAAAAAATTAAAAAATATCCCCAAAGTTAATAAAACCTTTCTAGCAGTAAATAAATCCTGTGAAGAAGACCTTTTTGAAGTAATCGATCACCCCACAAACAACCACCACGTCCCTGGAACTAGATGACGACACCTGCAATCAATCAAAAAATCAATCATAAAAAATAGTAGCGAGCAAATAAATGCTTTTTTGGAAATTATTGTGTACATATCACATATAATTAATGGAATGACATATCTTGTCACGAGAAAATAAGGACTCGCCTTTTCAGATTCCAATTTGAAGAAATATGGACGAAGTGGAAAGTTTCAATTTTTTTCTTGTATCTAAAAAATGTATAAAAATCAAAAAATGTATAATTTTTGGAAGTTTTAGGAGCAACTTTTCGGAGTAAAAGATTTGAGCCTCATGCGAATATTTCGCGGTGGTTGAGTGAACCAATCATCGTGATTTCCTTTTAGTGCCATTCTTTTGGGTCTTTTCTTCCCTGTGTCTGGTCCCCAGGGAAGAAAAGAATTTGTCAAATAATCAGACGTTGGATTCGAATGATTGATAAAACCTAAAAATATGAATGAAAAATGACTATAAATTTCCAAAATATGACCATAAAAATGGCTTTATTTTTTTGGGGGCTTGTATGATACCATATTTTCATCAATAAGTTCTGACTGTGGTAATTTAATTCATTGCCAAGCAAGTAAAGTAAGTACCTCGGACGAAAGTGAATGCAAATTTCTATAAATGAATTAAATATTTTGAGAAAACTGCGTGCAACTCAGATGCAGAAACTATGATGATTTCTTAAATACGTAGCTATGTAAAACTTCCAATCAACACCGTCAATTAGCTACTTGTTTAAAAACTGTGGTGGATTTCGAGATAAAAATGTTTATCAACTTAAAAATTTAACGGCAAATCAAATTATTATTATTTAATTTTTACAAATTAAAAAAAACATGGTATGAAAATGCAGAGTGAGACAAAGCAGCGAGTAGACGGACTAAATCCTGACTTGTGGGTACGAGGAGATACGATGGAAATCAGCAGTTTGTTTTCATTTTAATTCTGACGGTTGACCGTTAAATAATTCGTAATATTTCAAATTTACAAAAACAACAAAATTAATTGTAGAATAATTGATGATTTACTGATTGAACCAACTTAACTGACGTAAATACTAGAGAGGTAAGACTGGAATTATTTTGTGTTTGATGTTTTCTAAGTTTTTCTTCAAAATTTGAAATTGACAGATATTTAACATTATTTATATTTTTGAGCAAACAAATTTTACTAAGCGTGCTTACCAATACATAGGCACAATTCACACAGTCCTTAGTAACTTTGTAACGTACCATTTTGCAAATGTTAATATTTCTAAAGAAATTTGTTTTACAAATTTTTGCAAACTTACTCCGATAAAAAGCGTCTTTTTATTTTGCAAAAGTTTGTACAACTATTTTACAAAACGCACGGATTTTACAAAGCCAATGACTGCGTGAATTGCCTCATAGTTGGAATCACTGATTTCCTCGATATAACGTATCCCGTACCTAATCCTCGTCTTACTTTAGAAAATGTCCACCCCCAGGAGAAGCCAAGCTCGAAAGTCTACCACTATTAATCTCGACGATGACTCCGACCTGGACATGTCGCTTGAGTCTATCCACGATTCGGACGATTCTTGGACCAATGAAGGAGCAGGTGGTGGACGAAAGGGGAAGAAAGTCCTCACAAAAACCAAGAAGAAGGTCACGACTAAGAAAACGACGACGACGACAAATCTTCCCGGAACGTCGACTACGGTGATGGGACTTAGCCAAAGTTCCGTCGTCATTAAAAAGACTGCTAAACCTAAGCCCGTCAAGGTTTTAAAGGAGAAGGTCTCAAAAGCGAAGAAAGCGACGAGTAGTACTAATTCGCAAGGTATTTAAGCAGAGTTTTTGGGTGAAAATGTTAATTTTTTCTCACAATCTTGATGTTTAATTTATAGATCGCTTAGTCAGCGAGGCGTTGGAGTGCATCATTTGTCTGGAATTTGCAGCCTCACCCATCCACAACTGTGCCAATGGACATATCACGTGTGGAATTTGTGTGAAGAAACTCCCTGCAAAGAAATGTTCCATGTGCAAGGCGAAATTGACCTTGTCCATGTTCGGGGAAAGGCTCGCGAAACAGTTGGAGTTAAAGTTGAAATGTGACTATGCTGATGAAGGGTGTAAAGAAGAGGTTAAGTCGACAGAACTGAAGAAACATTTGACTCATTGCTATCATAGGTGGGTAGAAATTTGTAGTTTTGTAAAATTATAAAAACATGGACGAAGGGGAAGTTCGTTACCTAAACTTTGATTTTCGGGTTTTTGTTAAGAAGTTTATTATGAGGGAATTCACACAGGGCTTGGTAACATTGAAGATTCCGTAAACTTACAACGTTTTACAAACTTTTACAAATAATTCTAGGGAAAATTGGAGTACACATTTTTGTAATCTTATGCAGATCTTTTTATTTTGCAAAACTTTCCAAATTATTTTACTAAATTTACGATTTTACACACAAGTAAACTCTAATTCTGTGCCCAAAATATCATTTTTATGCGTGAATTGCGTCGGTTAATTTTAATTTTAAATCTATTTATTTTTAGAAATGTGAAATGCAACCAGCAACAGTTTGAAAAATGTTTCGATAAAAGTATCCCCATTTCCGGGTATGTTCGACATCTCAACTCGACCCATGGACTCACGTCGATCACTTGGTGTCCAAAGTTGCAGTTCAAAATAAAATTTCAAAGGAAGAGTGAAGGTTAGATAGTTAATTTAACGTTAAAAATCCTAATTTTTAAATTTTTAATAAGGTGCGCTGTTTTCAACTCAATTAATATTCCTAATTTTTTTAATAGACAAGCAGCAACAAGTGATGCCAATTTCTCAAATTATTACGTATAAAGGAAGGACCTTCATTAGGATGGGTTATCGAACAAAGGACACTTTTTACACGTGGATGGCTTTCCCTGGAAGTAAAAGTGAGGCGGATAAGTTTGGCTACGTCTTGAAAACTGTGTCACAGAAGAAAGGACTTGAAAATGTGAGAAATTAGCAAAATCAAATTCACGAGATGCTTTGTAACTGTGTAAATTTTATAATTGCGATGATACCAAGTTTGCGAAATTGTGGGTAAAATCCATATTTTGCAAATTTTGGGATATCGTGAAAAAACTTGTGGGAAAAGTTTTTAGAATAATTCACACAGATAAAGCAAAAAAGTGAAGAAAAAAAGCATGTGAAGAATTTTAAATATAAAATTGAACAACAATATTTATTTTTTGCAGTTTTCATGGAGCGTAAAATTACCAGTATTTCCACTACATTCTGAATTTGGGTGCAAGAAGCCGTCTCCCCTTTTTGCTGCGTTTCCAATCTCCATTCTTGCAAATTTTGGCAGCCCTATTCCAGTATTGCCGTACGCCTCGGCGGACGAGCTGGCACTAAATGCGAATTGTTTTTACGCGTCATTTCAACTTGAGATGGTCACGATTAAGGAGAGTAAATCATGAGCGGAAAGGAATGCCAAGAAGTTGAAGGAAATTTGTCGATTTAGCATTTTTATATTTATAATTTATTATTCGCGATAAGTTCTTACAAGTTAGGAATGACTGAATTTGGTAAAGTTTTTAAACTGAGGATTAATTCACCAATTTATAGCTTTTGACATTTGTTTTTGTACCTTTGATACGATTATTTTTCTTAAATACATACATTAATTTATTTATGTATATTTAAATATTTCTCCGCATAAAAATATGTACATTTCACGTTTCCTGGTACATAAAAAGTATATTAAAATAAACGAAACGACGGATAAACGAAATCTTATTTATTTATTGATTGCAATGAATTAATTGGCATCAACATTTTTAGAATGTGATGATTTATTGATTGCCAAAAAAGTACATATTCCTTTTCATGTCATACTATTCAAGTTCAAAATTGAGCCGACTTCCACAATAAATAATTCATTAAATTTCATATTAAGCTTGAAGCACCTTTCATCAAGCAGGTTTTTATTCTACTAAAATATATGGTTTCATTTTCATATCAGATTTACATAGATACTTATAATAAAAAGTACAAGCCTGTTGACTTTAACACTTAGATAAGGGAAATGCAAATACAGAAAACCATAAATATTTATATTGATTTCCTGACCTGCCAAACAAACTGCATCGTTTACACAAAATCAATACACGATTAAATCTGAGGAAGCTCATCCCTCTTCCCCTTTGACAGTGCATCCTTACACTTTCTCTCCATTATGAGACCATGGTGACCTTTCAAGTGCAAGTAGAGCGACGTCTTTTTCGCGAACCCTTTTCCACACCCGGTTTGGTCGCAGACGAACGGCCGCTCGCCCGTGTGGACTTGACGGATATGCGCCTGGAGGAAGCAGTTGGTTGGGTAGCCCTTGTCACAGTGGGGGCATGGATGCCGGATGGGGGGTTCGTATCCAGGCGTGTGTAGCCGTTGGACGTGAGCGGTTAAATGTGGCTTGACTTTGAACGCCTTCTCGCAGTGGGGGCAAGGGAACGGTCGCTCTTTGGAGTGAGTCTTCAGGTGTTTGTCCAGGACCGATTTTCGGACAAAACTGGCTTCACAAAGCTGAAATTTTTAAAATAAATACAACAGATTAGTCAAGGGCAAGACAGACAATGAGGCATTTCATTCACGCAGTCCTTCGTAACAACATTGTAAAATCCGTAAACTTACAAACATTTACAAATGTTTCTAAGGGAAATTAGCTCACAAATTGTTACAAACTTACAAGAAGTACATCGGTCTTTTTATTTTGTAAAAGTTTGTCAAACTGTTTATGGATTTTACATAGTTACCACGGACTACGTGAATTACCGCAAAACATATTCATGCCAATTTTAGTATAAATTGTGCAATTGTAAAATTCCAGAGAAAATTAGTTTGTCAAATTTTCTAAATTTGTGTCCAAGATCTTAAACTTTCAAAAGTTTACATAAATCGGCATGAGTTATTAATCTTCTTTTAGCGTCACAAATCTTACATCGCATTTGTACTGTCTTACTCCAGCGTGGGCAATCTTGTGCATTCTTAGTCCACCCGATGAGATGAAGGTTGCCCCACTTAAATAATTTAATCATGAAAAACGTATTGCAAGAAATTAAATTGTTACAAATTTATTGCAAAATTACCACTCGTCGCAAACGAACGGGTCTGCACCATGCACTTTGATACGGTGCGATTGGAAGCTGTAATAGTCGATAAATTTTTCTCCGCATGTATCACACCCGACTTTCTTGGTGCCTTCGTGCTTCTCGAGATGCACCCTGAGGCGGAGCTTGAGGAAGAAGTCTTTACCACAAATGTGACAGACGTACCCTTTTTTGCCAGAGTGGTCCTTGACAACGTGATTTTGTAGACTGTACTTGTCGATAAAGGACTCCTTGCATTGGTCACATTTTTCGGGCTTTTCACCAGTGTGGGTTCGTACATGTCTGAAAATTATAGTAATTTTCAATGTTTTTATCAAATTATATTTGAGGGTGAACAAAATACTTTCTTAAAAATTCACTATTTTGAATTCCATTTTTCCAAAGGCTTGGATTTCAATGACCATAACAGCTATAAAATTAGGAGAATCTACACGGAGAAAAAACCGACGATACGAAAATACATTTTGTCAAGAAATTAAAGTTTTATCGCTGTCGAAATAAATTTCAAAATTTAAAATAAATTTCCCTTAGAAAAACGGGGTTCAAAAAGCCGAGTTTTTTTAACAAATTATTTTACCCAGCTAAATTACACAATTACATTTATAAAAATACCTTTCCAGGCCTTGCCTAAAAGAACAGCCAAATCCACAATAGTCACACACAAACTTTTTTGTATCGTGCGTCGCGACGTGTTTACTCAAACGCGCGTCGTCCTCAAACCGAGAGTCGCAGATGTCGCATACGAGTGGTTTGACCTCTTCGAGGTCATGCAGTTTCAAATGTCTCTCCAAGTTTTCGACGAGGCAGAAACTCTTCTCGCATTTGACACAGGAGAATTTCTTCTCCCCTATTTCGTGCCGCATGACCATGTGGGCTTCGAGGGCGGATTTTCGTTGGTATTTGTTTCTGCAGAGGGAACACTGATGTGGGACAAAGTTAGGGTGGTATCGCTTCAAATGGGAGTTGAGTGACCGCTGAAAGTCCAGTTTGACGGGACAAGCGGGACAAGGGAATTGATGGCCGCGTGCCATATGGTATGTCAGTGCTGCCTCGGTAGAGTAAGATTTGGCACAGGAGGTACATTTGTGGGGCAGGTGACGAGGGTGGCGTTTGGACCGGACAACTTCGGTGTCAGAGTTTTTATCCACGTCGGAATTTTCATCTTCAGATTTAGGAGCCAAATCTTCATCGTTGTGTTCAGATTTAGGAGAGGCCGAAATGAGATCATCAGGTGGTGGGGTCGCCTTCTTCTTGCTAGTTGTTACTTTTGATAGAGGTGGGCCATCTTTTTGAGCCCAAGTGCGAGGTGAAGATCTCGTCTTTTCGAGGCTGGGTCGAAGTCGAAGCTCTTTTTTGATACGTTTTGGCAATTTGAATTCGTCTTCTTTTTCCATGGGAGAATTTCCTGCTTTTCGTTTATTTCTGTGTAGAAAAAAAAGGATTTGCAATCGATAAATCGATAAACCCCTGCCACTACTTTTGTCGTCATTATTTTTTTTACCGTAAAGGTGTTGACCTCGTTTTAATTTTAGCAAACTGTCGACTTTTTACTTTTGCAGATCTTTGTTTTTTAAGGGAAGAGGGAACGATACAAAATGCGGAATCGTCGTCATCCTCGTCTAGTTGAAGGGGATCGTTTTTTAGTTGATTTTCCTCCTCGGATTCTGTCTCGAATGGTATCGATGCGCAAGAATAGTCGTTTAAAAGTTGCTCGTCCTCATCTGCACGCGGCATGATGTCGTCATCGAATTCCTCTTGTTCTACTTTAACTTTGAATTCGTCCGATGATATAGAGTTATCGTTTCCTTCGCCATCCTGAGAATCTGATAATTATCAAACTTTTAGCATAAAATCATGTTCTAAATAATAATTACAAAATCAAAAAACCTATCACACGAAGAATGACGTCCCTCATCTTCATAATCTTCTCATCCCTCCGATGCTGTCCAGAAGATGAAATTGTGTCCCGAATTTGACTAACTTTTCTCCTAATTCGGTCCTCAAGTTTGGACATTTGACACCGAATTTCTTCCACTTCATGTATCACGGGGGCGCAAGTCGCGCAAAGCGTACACGTCTCGTCATCCTCTTCAAATTGATGGGTTACATTTTGATGAGAAATTATACTTTTGTGTGGTGAACACGACGCCAGCAGTAATTGACAAAGGGCCGATATTTGTATTTTTCTAGGCTCATTGTTTGGCGATGGATCGTCGCCCATGGGGTTGGCGAATTCCCTCAAACAGAGAAAGCAGGACATGTCGAACCTGAAGATGGACAAATAAAGGATTGCTGTTAATTTTGAAATCCTGGATAACACGTCGATATATTCCCATTAATATTATAAATATTTGTTAAACATCTGGACATTAATTTCAACCTTTAGTCATTATTAACCCCAATTAATAACTAACTTTACCGTGTAGTGGACACGAATTGACGATCGAGCTTCTCCTTGGTTCACATTTATGTAGATTCAAACTGATTCAAAGTTAAAATTTGAAATTTTGAGTTTTAAATACAGCAATGTTGACAATTCCGATCAGTTCGTGCCAACAGAGTTTGAATTGAGGATGAGACAAGTGAGAAATATGTATGTAAACAAAGAGAAAAGCTGCAAATGAATGAAAATGAAAACATGGCATGTATTTTCACTGAAGTTGAATGAAATTTCGAAGAAACAAACCCGTTAGTTTATTTTTTTTACATAAGTTTGAACTAGTGGAATAGTAGGTTTCAAAATTGTGGCATGATAAGGTTCTTGTTTTATTTACATACATCTTTTTACATATGGTTTAATTGATTTGTTTAGTTATGGACCTTTATATTTTCTTGTTGTACAAGTACAATTCAAATAACTTTATACCCTTAAGATGTGGACATATGTATGACACACTTTAGGTGTAATTTACATCTGGATAAAATAATAATGTGATGATTGTGTGGACGTCGTCATCGTGCCGGATAAGTATTTTTCCGTTACATCCCAATCCACCACCAAAGTCCTTATTTTGCTCTTAAGGACATCATTTGAAAGAAATTCATTGGTCCTAAGGATATCTTTCCATGGACGACAGTGGTCATAAGGATATCCTTATGAACAACAAATGTCCGCTTTTCGGATGTCGCATTGATATCTTGCCAAGACGTCTTTGGGACTTCCTCTGAATTATATCTTCCAGACATCCTTACATGATTTTTATGGTCGCAGGGTTTAGTGCTTCACAAATTAACACAAGACTGAATTATTTAAATTTTAAGTCATTTTAATTCATTCTCAAAATTAAGATTGTATAAGAAATTGCATAACAATAACATAAAATATTAAATGAATTCTAACTAAATCTCTTCAGCTTCTTCCTCCAATCCTTTGTTCCGCTTTAAAGCCTAAAATTAATAATTAATTACTTTTAGTGGACTTGCAAACCTTTATAATTATGCAATTATAAATATTTAATTAAAGGCTTACAGCTGCCTTAATTCTATCCGTCGCGTGCTGAAACCATGAAGCTCCTTTTGCCTTCATTTCCTTGTCGGTCACTGAACGATTGACAAGCGGATTCTGACGGACAGCATCTATTAAAGTGTAAATATTATGTAATACAATTATAATATAACACGAGGATAGTTTTATGATCGTACCAAACAAAACCTGTTTTATCCGGAGCGTTTTGAACGCCTTCTTTGGATTCTTTTTTCGAATTCCGTCCCAGGCAATTTTTTCAGCCAACTCGTTCGTGAAGAGGTACGGAAGAATGCCAGCTATCGTCTCCTTGTAATCCTTTCCGCCAATAATGGCTAGAAAGCCAACCTAGTGAAATACAGAATTTTTTATTATTATGTAATAATCAATTAATATATCATGTACGTAAATTAAATTATATAATTATTACCAATTGGTTATAAAATAATTTAGACGTCATTAATTTTTTCTCCAATTCAGCAAGTTCCTCAAAGTTTTCCACTGGAAATTTAAATTCCGGCCTTGGCGATTTTGAGATGATGGGATTTTTTGAATTTTGTGCCATAACGAAATTACACAATTTCACTAAAACTGATCCTTGTAGGTCGATCTTTTGATGGAGTCGCTCCAGTGAATGAACGACGTAGTCTTCAAATTTAATCGGCGACGATCCTAAATCAAAAAATAATAATATTATTGGACACAAATTAATATTTAAGTTCTCGTATATTAAATAAATGTTATAAATCCAACCCTCTTGCTCCTTATCCCGAGTTCCATCCTTAAAATTTGATCCAATGGCATCCACTAATTCCACAGACCAAATTAGTATAATATATTCAAGATTTTAAATTATTAAGGCTTGTAATCTAATTATGGCTCACATTTGTTCTGTAAAGCAGAAAGACTTCCTTCATCCTCCGAGCTGGAACTTCCTTCTACAAACTGTTTTTTGGATAAGTTGGATTCTTGACGTTGGGCAGGCAATGTTCCACTTCCCTGAGCCAGAGAAAAGTACTGTGTCGGAGTTGATGTCCTTGGAGGCGGAGATGGCTCGGACGACGACACCGGTGAAAGATTAGGCTGTGGCGGACATGGAATAATTTTTCTCGAGGTGACAGGACGATGATTTTCTTCGCTAGTGTCAGAATCACGGTTGTATTTTGTTGTTTTTCGCCTTGGACGATTTCCTTTTTTCTTCTCCGAAGACTCTGCCTCCGACTCCAGGTTTGAAGTGTACACAGCTTTCTTCTCATTTTCCACAGCTGTGGCGAAAGTTCCTGTAAAATTATAAAGTGTTTTATTAAAATTTCTTACTCTAATTGACTAATTTATTTTAATTCCTAATTACATTCACCATTATAATTTTGTTAACTTAAAAATACTTCCACTTACTATATAATTTAATGACCCGAATAATGTGCTTCGCCCATGACATTGGATTCACCCCCTCTTTAATTTTCACTGCTTTTAAAATACGATCGTTAGTTTTGTATGGGGGCCACCAGGTTTCCTCTTCATTTTCAGATATCCAGGTCAGTGGCACTGTCGCAACTTCTTTAGTCACCATAAATTCCACCACGGCGAATTCCATTTTTATTGATGAAGAGGAAAGACAGCAATAGAAGAGTCGTTAGCAGCTACCGCGATTAATTTATGCAAAATTTCTGTTGTCTCCCAATAATCTAATTCCCCCAGAGTTTTGAATTTGTAAATCCCAAATTCTCTGGAATCAAAAGGAATAGAATAGAGTGCACTTAATTCACAGCAAGGTTTTCCAATCACACACAACTTTTTATCACTTTTTCTAGTAGCAAAATTGAAAACTTTTATAATTTCTCCAGTTCGTAATTTGCAATAACAATTTCGGTTATCAGACGTAAGGAAAGAGGATTTTAAATAGTATTTATTAAATTGAGGAGAATTTAAGTCTTCTAAGAGTGGACCTGCAGTATGGCTGGAGCATGCTTCCTCCGTTGTTGGGCTTGAGTGAATTTTGTCCCGCTCGGAGAGTCGACGGCAGACTTGAGCGAGCGGTCGATTTCCCCCCTTGATGAGATTTTTTAATTGCCCCAGATAATTTTCAAATGGAAATGCACTGTAATTATTTAAGTTCCCAAATACTTTCACATCGTCACACACATGTAAAAGTCCATGCACATTGTATGATATGTTTTCTTTTCCATATAATGATGAAAATTGCTCAACAAAATACTTCAGCAAAGTGTTAGCATAACTTCCATGTTTTCTGATTAAGTCATTATTTGATAAAATAAATACTGCGAGATGCAAAGAATTGAAGTGATTCAAGTAAGTTTGTGGAATTTTGTCCTGTAAAACCACCGGCCCCGTATAAAGTACAAACTGACGGAATTCAGTTGCTTTCCATCGAGGAAGTTCAACCAACGATCTTGGTTTCCTATTGAAATCGCCAGGAGTTAAATACCTTTGCTTAACAAGATCCCGTGATAAATTAGTAATAGTAAGTCCGCTGAATTTCATGTATTTTGGCTTGCCGTTTACCCACAAATTCAACAATTTCCTGACAACACCGAGGCAAATTAAATGCATAAACTCAAAAGGGACATCATTCACCAAGTCCACGTTAATTTCAGTTAAAATTGTAGTTCCGCGATGATGGTCTTCATCATTTTGTTGCAGAAAACTTTGTTGACTTCGTTTCGTGACGACTTTGCTTGAAAATACAACCCGATTTTCATACCTTTCGCCGGTTTGGGTACACTTACTGCACGACGAAAATCCAGAATGATATTTTGTGCAAGTTATGAATGCACGAGCCGGAGCGTCACAAATAAATCCTTTCACTTTAAATTTGATAACTACCCCATGATAGGAATAACCATGTCGCTCTAATGCTTTGACCTCAGCCACAAAATCTTTCAGAAAGTCGTTTTGATCCTCTGGTTTTCCTCCCCCATGATACACTCCCACACAAAATGGTTTCTTAGCTGCATCACCCGACTCTAAACAACATAGAATCGGCCAAAATTCACTTTTGCTACTTTTAGAGACAGGAATACCATCAATATTTATCAATACTCCAATCTCGTCGGGAATAAAATTAAGTTTCTGAATCACTGTTTGCAATCCGATGTCAAATCCCAGATGAACGTACTTTCCTGGCTTGACTGTGCGATATTTGAAACTTCTTACTGTTTTTAGTAAAGCTCTTGAATCAAGTGGAAAATTCTCAAAACATTTATGAGCTTGTAACAATTTAAGTAATTCACTCGTGGCAATTTGTGAAATATTATTAGTAACGGACCATATTTTTAAACGTTCTTTAAGATTGTCTACCTCACTTCCGCTTAAAATATCACTTGAATCGTAAAGTTCGTTTGCTCTTTTACATCTTGAAGATTCACTAATGGTTTCAAAATTATTGTACACTTCACATGGGGACGGTGAATTGAAAGAAACTTGGGAATTGACGACTTGATGTGCTTGATTGTATCGCATACAATGTAAAACTTTAGTCACTCGTTGATTAATTTTGCGTCTTAATTGACGTTTACTTAAGTTAGAAATAACTTTTGGCATTTTGTATAAAAACGGCAAAGTTTTTACACAGAAATACGCAGAAATATGAGTTGAAATAAATTTGCCGCCGCATTGATACTCGCGTAATTTGAGATTAACCTGACGACACGTCAACAAGACCTCAGTAAGACGAGTAAAAAAAGACAACCTCAATTCATCAGGTATAGGATATCTTGAGGATGAATAATCAAGGACATCATATTTTGGTAATCCTACAGTTGTCGTTTGGATAACCTAGTGGCGACATGTCAGGCCGGGGACGTTTGAGAGCAAATCAAGATATCTTAAGGAGCTTTGTGGTGGATTGGGATGTATTTAATTTATGCACAAATGTTAGTATGCATCTGCAATACTGGATTTTAAAATGTAAAATATATTATGTATGTTAGTATTTAGTCGTTTGCAGGCCTGTGCATATATTTGACCCTGAAAACCCAGGGTATTTACGGTGAAATGTACATACATACATAATATGAATGTACTGTCACCCTGAACAAAGGATGGCGTGCAACATGCATACCAAACTATTCAAATTAGATACGTATTTACATAATGATGCTATATTTAGATCTTAGATTCGTCATTTTTGCGGAAAAGGAGTCATTCGTAAATTTATTGTCCAGCTTATTGACCGGACACAATTTTACTTACAAACCTCCTAAAAAATGGGGTGTCACCCATGTTGCTGTGGTTCGTTGGAAACTTGGACGAAAGTCATCGCAATTCTACAAATTGTACGAAAAAAAATTCAATTGAAGTCATACATACACATATTTCTCAAACCCTGTTTTAAACCTTGGTCACAGATTAAGGCGTCGATTTCCCTCCTTGATGGCGTTATTATTCTCGCGTTGGGTGGTCTTGTCGCAGCTGCCCCTTCGCTGGCGAACCTCAACGCCACCATGACTCGCGGTGGAGGAATGATATCGAATTCTCATTTTCTCACAACCCTTCCTCCAAATAATTCCTTGAGCCATTTCACTTCCGGTTTTAACACTTCCTCCACGAATCATACCGTCGCAAAGGAATCTGATTCCGCACATGTTTTACACTCAATCGGTACAATTCACGCAGTCATTGATAACTTGGTAAAATTCGTGAGTTTTGTAAAATAAATAATTGTACAAACTTTTACTAAAACAAAGGACGCCCTTGATCTGAGCAAGTTTAAAAAAGTGTTTAAGCCAATTTCCTCAGAAATATGTACATTGTGCTTTTAAAATTTAGTGAAAATTTACAGAATTTACGGATTTTATAATGTTATCAATGCCGGCGTGAATTTCTATACATATGTAAATATAAATTAAATTTGCAGACATCATATGCAAACCCCTTTACTTTATCCATCCACAGGTGCGATATTAATTGCGGTCAGCATTTACACGATTTTAGAGGGACTTGTCACATTGATCTTGTCAATCATTTTGTATAACGGAGCATCCAATGTACATATGTGCAGTTTAATTAAGACACAATTTTTAAAATAATTGTCCATCAATCCATAATTATCTATATATTTTTTTTACTAATTTTAATAGCGAATCGTTGGAAAATGTCGAGTCTGGCTTATTGTCCAATTTATCCTTATGTTACCTGGAATCTTATTCTTCCTTGCGGGGTTAACATTTCTAAATTTGGACGAAGTGACCAATATCATCGGAGGTGTTGACCTTGTCTTCAACGCGTACTGCCTCTGGATCGTGTACGCGTTTATAAGTGAGCTGCGAGGAGAAAATTTGGCTCACCGAATTGGGCTTGGACAAGCATACCATGAACAAAAGGTGTAACACTTGAGATTTTACAGAGTAAAAATGTTTAGAAAATTAGCTACAAGTAGATCCTGAAGAAATAAAACGTTTTAAAGTTTGATGTGCAAGTACATAAATTTTAAAGCTTGAGTCACAATAAATTATGTAAAGTAGCGATGTAGTTTGCAGTGTAAATTCTGATGAATATCCAGCTTATTTATCTACATATGCAAATATGTACAGATGCATGCAAAACTATGTATACTCTTAGAAATCCAGTATTACAATAATAATACCAATCAATAGCAAGTTTGGCGAACCGGTATAATTTAATTTCTATACCAAGCGGTAGCCACTTTAATACCGACAACTTAATGAGTTCTCGTTAAAGGCTGATGTCATCAGCCCTCCGCCATATGCCTCAGCCGGCTTAATAACTATGATCAGATAACCACTGCCATACGTGAACTACTACTTATTTCGTTACGTATTTTATGAATGTTCCCTAAGATTGAATGATAAAAAATGAAATGTATGAAATGTATGTACATCCGCGAGGATTACACAAGTATATACTGAGTAAAATATATATTTTTTAAAGTCCTTTAATATTAAACTACGTTTATATTACGTTTATTTCAGGATCAGCAGGTTTAGTTTTAGTGATCATCAAGATCAAGTTCAAGGTTTAAGGCTTCGGAAACTTAATAATAAGTTCCTGTCTAGATAATTAGTTAAAATTTAAATAATAGCATTAGCTCTCCCACGTATTTATAATACGAGCATTTCTGTAAAGTCAATATTTTTCAGTCGGTATTGATGTAAATAAATTTAATCATAATTCTTATAAAAAAGTGAGTTTCTACTACAAATTTATTGCACAACGTCACGAAGAAAAGGGGCATCCGCGAAAGTGGATGGGAATCAGGACACGCAATCCCACAATAGAATCAGACGTGTTCAACAAAAAATTATTCATTCAAATATTCATGCATTGTCATGAAGTGCAGGCAACATTCATTCAATGTATATTCATTGACAATTGGCAATATTCATTCAAATATTCATTCATTGACAATAGGGAACATTCATTCAAATATTCATTCATTCATTAACATATTTATTCATTCACTAAAATATTCACTAATTTATTCAAATATTCATTTATTCATTCAAATATTCATTTATTCATTCAAATATTCGTTCATTTATACATTCAAATATTCGTTCATTTATTAAGTAGCTTCAGCTACTTTATGCGAAGACAGAATAATAGGAGAACGGATCGAGATAATCGACATCGGTTTTCGACATTACGCATAGGACCCGCGGAGGATCCTATCAACTTGTGGGACCAATAAGACAACCCCCTTTGGCGCCAGAGGGTGTGGTCGGGGAAAAATGAGTTTTTTCAGAAATTGAAGCTACGGATGAAATACATATACACTCTAAATAAAATCCTTACCAAATCATTACCAAAATGCACACGTATATGACTCTGCAGAAACGGTAATAATAACCACCGGCTGGTAAAGAAATTGATTGAACCCGAAGTGGTAATAAAGAACACTTTTCGGGATAAAATTAACACCATGATGTATGACAGATGTACTACAATATGTTGTAAAATGTCTACCGCCAGGTAATAAACCGTACCACTTTGTATACGGTGTGCTATTCATACCGGTATTAATGCTTTGCATTACGTATACCCCATTATTACCAAATGTTGTGCAGATTTCCACCGAAAAGAATAGATTTTTTGCTTTTCTTTACAATAATCTTTTAATCAATTATATTCGTTGTAAAATCATTTTAAAACATACTTACATAATTACAAAATTTAAGAATAATGCAAACTATTGAGTTACATACATACATGTACATATTTACATATTTATTCTTCTATTCCCCCTTCAAATTCTGATAAATCGTCGATTTTGGATGAGTCCACATCGGTTGACGTCATCAAATAAAATGTCCTGCAGATTAAAAATTCACAATTTTTAGAAACTCTCAATACAAGAGCAAATTTAAATAATTCACGAAATTTTCACTCACCAGACCGTCCCCTGACTTAGAACATCTCAATGAAGGCAGTAGCTTAATTATTACAGCTGTTAAGTGTTTCTGGTCGGAGGTTGTAGGAGAAAGTCTGAAATTTAATTGGTCAAATTAAATATATTATTAAATATTAAGAATTCTTAAGCGTCTCAAACTTTCACCTCAATTACATACACTGATGCGATCTATTGTTCGTCAAAGGGAACGCCATTTGGTAAATCGAGGTTCTACGAAAAACAACAAGTTATATTCTTATGATTATTTTGGCAATTAGTAGACAAATTAACTCGGAATATCGTGACCTAAATTCATTTTCCACAAAAAATTGTGTATGGGGTAAATAAAGATTTTTCCGAGGTAACTTAAAATCAACCTGGAAACAATTGTTCGTCATTTTGGTGCTTTCCTTGAAAACAACCTCGTTTTTGCTGGTGCGTATTTTTTATATTTTTTTAATATTTAAAATTATTACTTTCCTTCATTTAGCATGAATTCTGGTGTAAATAGATCATGCCGAGGAGTAGGAAAGAGACGTCTTTTGATATTCGGAACCTGGTCATTAAATATCACGAGGGAGACGATAATGGCCAGAAAACTCAGCAGGAAATAGCAGCATTGCTAAAAATTCCTCGCACGACGGTTCAGTATATAATTAAAAAATATAAATCATCTGGATTAATTATAAACAAGCAAGGTAGAGGTCGAAAGCCAATATTTTCCGTGAAGGAGAAGCGCGCCATTGTCAGGAAAGTGGCCGCCAACCCCAAACTGACGATTTCGAAAATCAAAGTTCAGGTTGAAAATGAAACAGGAAAGACAGCCAATCGGAAGACCATAGCGAACGTGCTGAAATCTAGAGGATTCAAGAGTTGCAGAGCTAGGAAGAAGCCTCTCATATCCAAAGCAAACCTTAAGAAACGACTTGCGTTTGCTAAAGAGCATGTCAACAAAAATCAAAATTTTTGGGATTCAATTCTATGGTCCGACGAGAGTAAGTACAACATTTTTGGGTCAGACGGGCGTGCCAGGGTGTGGAGGAAGTCTGGGGAAGCTCTTCAAATGAGAAATTTGAACCCCACAGTCAAACACGGAGGTGGAAGCGTAATGATTTGGGGGTGCTTCAGCTCTGCCGGAACCGGAAATCACGAATTTGTTGATGGAATTATGAATCAGCACATGTACCAAGGTATCCTAGACCGAAATGTTAAACAATCTGCGACGAAACTTTGTCTAGGTCGCCGGTATATCTTCCAACAAGACCGTGATCCCAAACATACCGCCAAAACAACTTGGGAATTCTTTAAAAAAAACAAAATAAAAGTCCTAGAATGGCCTCCTCAAAGCCCGGATCTTAATCCCATCGAACATTTGTGGGACCACATTGAGAGAACGATTCGAAAAAGTGAAATTTCTAGCAAGCAGAGCCTGAAATCCGCAATTTCTGACGCATTTCAAACCGTGACCCCGGAAGTGACCCGCAAACTTGTGGAATCGATGGGGCGACGCTGTCAGGCGGTTATATCTGCTCGGGGAGGACCAACTCGTTATTAAATATCACTTGTTGTATTAAATTGTTATGATTTATATAAAAATTTGAAATTTAATACAAATGACGAACAATTGTTTCCAGGTTGATTTTAAGTTACCTCGGAAAAATCTTTATTTACCCCATACATAATTTTTTGTGGAAAATGAATTTAGGTCACGATATTCCGAGTTAATTTATCTACTAATTGCCAAAATAATAATAAGAATATAACTTGTTGTTTTTCGTAGAACCTCGATTTACCAAATGGCGTTCCCTTTGACGAACAATAGATCGCATCAGTGTAACTACGCAACCAATTCATTAACTAAAGTTGTCGACGACGGTTTATCGAAGCAGTTTTTCTGATTGCACTCTGCTACTAAACGGAAATTTCGGCGCTCTCAGTCGTTGCAGCGTTTACAATCTTCAAAAATTAAAAATAATTTTATATAATTATTTTCGGATTTCGGATATCTAAGAATATCATTAAATGATTGTAACCTGACTGAAAATATCAACCTCATTGGAAATTTGGGTTTTTCGGAAACCATTACTGGATATCGACGTCTCATCAGGACGTGCAACTAGAAAGATATAATATGTTGCAGACTAGAAATAATTTAAGCTTAATAAATTACTGACCGTAAATTATTGATGAAACTGGACAGGCCGGATCCAATTTTACTTCGGTTTGTATTTCGCCTTTGACAAAGAATTCAAAGTTTTGGGTTATAAGGTTTTCAGCAAGGATAGGAATACTTCGTCGTCGATCTCCGCCCCCTTGGTCGTCTTGCAGAAAAATCTCTCCTCCGATTTCCAACTCAAATTTTCGTTTCACTGAAAAAATAAACATAAGGTTGTTATTTACTCGTTCCTATTAAAATGGTGCTCGATCACCATCTTCATAAGGAACCTACCTATGATAATTTTATACTTACCTGTTTCCTAAATTCCTATTTAATTTCCAAAAGTTTTTATCAGTTTTTCCCACATGCAGAATTTGGAATTGGACACGGGGATTATTTCGGCATGTTGACTTGAGTTGAGCTGAGCGGAAACTAAAACTGAAAAAAGCGCCGCTGCGTAGCGTCTCACAATTCATACAAAATGTATTAAAATTCTTACCTCTGTGGTAATAAACTACACCAAAATGTAGATCTCATCAGCACCACAACGGAAAAAATTTGTACTGCACTTGATTAAAATTATGGTAAAGAGTGCTATATAAGTTTGAACGACATTATTACCAGCTGGTAGAAATTTATTACCAAAATTATAAAGATAGCTTAAAATATTGCGGTGGAAGGCTAGTTACCCGTTTGGTATTGATACGGTAATAATCCCGTATACTTTTTGTAGGACGCGTAATTACCAAGAGCTCGGTAAAGACGCTTATTAGGAATTCTTTACCAAGTTGCTAAGAGTGTAAGTGAAATTTAGTGCTCCCGAGCTGTGCCACACCATCTGGCGCTTGAGGGTGTGGTCAGGGGGAAAATGAGATTTTCACTCAAATTGAATCTAAAGATGAAATACAGGGAAATTGAGTGTCCCAAAAGTTGTTGCAAAAGCAATATGATATTCATTTTGACGTATATTGGACACTTATTTCACCCTTTAGCTACATGCGTTTGCGACGGTTTATTCATTTATTTTTGTATTCACAATTTGCACATGGTAGCCCATCCACAATTTGAGTTCAAATTACTATGTAATATGCATATGCCGCATTACTCGGGCGAACTCGAACTTTAAATTTGACATAAATTTCAAGGTAATGATGAAAGAATTTGAGTCAAAAAATTTCCAAGATTCTTAGAGGTAGGGGCTTTTTGAAATATTTATGTGCTAAAATCGGTAATATCCACTCTAATATTTGTATTACAAATATATACGGTATCTACTTATTAACTAATTTTTGAGCGAATTAGTACCATTTTGTTTTATTGTTTAGATGAATTCCATTCTTAGCAATTGACATTAAAATCAAAATATAATTGATTATAGTCAAATGTGATCAAATATATATGGTTTCATTGTCATTTAAGAGGGGGGTACACCAGTCAAAGATAATTTGTATAATAACTTGCAGAACCAAATCCTTCACCTTCACCAAACCAAAAATCCAATTTTGGATAGATTTTCAAAATTTTTCATTCTCATTATCTTCATTGAGACGGGGAAATTCAGCAAAATCGTATTTTGCACAAGTCCCCCTTTATCCCACAATGTTAAACTCCCTTGCTTCCGCAGCCACTGGTGATCTTAGATGATTACTTTATCATACTCATATGTAAAATATATTTTTAAATTTTCGGACAATTTAATAATCTCGAACATTTTCTGATGGCTCTGCGTTCAACGAAATAAAACAAAATATCCAACGGCATCAATATCGAATATTACCACCTTTGTGTACCCTTCCTCCTACTAAAAATAGAATTCATATAAATAATAAAACAAATTGCTCGCGTACTCAATGTTTTCCGCTTATTGCACTTGTTGTCCGGCTCCAGACTTATTTTCCTTTTGTTCGAGAGATTTATGGCTGGATGAGCTCTCATCAAAATCGGACGACGATATTCTCGGTGAAGCACTAAATTTTCCAAAGACTTCGGGTTCAGACTTGATCTCCTTGAACGTCCAAATGATCCCAGTAGAGAAAAAAGCCGCTCTACACTGCCCGTGGATGCCGGAATTGCAAGATATTGACTGGCCAAATTCGATAATTCTTTAAAGCTGGTTTCGTTTTTAGCCCAAAATTCTAGTGGATCGGATTTCGACGGTTCTCTTTGTAGACCTAAATATTTGTCTACTTCATCAGCGATAGTATTACTCGAATTGACAATCCTTGGCAGCATGGAAAATGGATCGTCGTCGTTATCTTCGTTTTCAGGAAATGTGTGTAATGCTGCTTCAGCCGAAGGATCTTCCTTGCAATATGACTTGAGCATATCAGTGACCTTGTCAATTGAAGGAGTTTCAAGGCTTCTGGTTCCATACACGGCAGGTTTGACTAAAAATTGTTCAACATTAAACGTATTACATATAAGATTAAAATGTGTTCGTACTTTTAAACACGTCGGATTTTTGGCGAGGGTCCAACAAAGCACTCAGGATGATGTGTGGGTCATTATTTATTGCCTTCTCGAATCGATTTTTTAGTCCATCCAGTAATTGTGCTTTCATACAAGTGAATCGTGTAGTTGGAGTTTTAGCAATTTCTACAAATTAAGAAAAATTGAATCGGGGAACTGAATAAATTATATGTATCATCGTCAAAGAATCGAACAAATTATATTGCGCACATTCGTACCATTAAATGCATTGACTATCGAGTAGTAAATCAAACTACTGGTTACCCCATCACCTTGAAGTTTATTCGTTGCGTCACATATTGGCTTCAGGAGATTTTTTATTTCAATCATTTTTTCTTGCGGCTCGATGCTTGGTGTGGGTGGCAGATTTTTTGGCTTCTTGGGACAAGTGCTGGCTGCTCTTATTAGATTACAAACCTCACCGTACACTTTATCCTGCAAAACCCCAAAATTTAAATCGTAAATTAAAATTGAAATTTATTGTCATTCAAATAGGTCGATCTGAAATTACCTGGCATAAACGCTCCAAAACATAGTAAATATAATTCCATCGAGTAGCTGGCTTTATCAACACTTTGCCCACGACTTTTTTAAGTCGCTTTCTCCAATAATTCGACCGCATGAAATACTTTACAATTTTGAAAGCACAATCCAGAACTTCTTTAGGTCTCCCGCCTTTTCCAATGACGTCTTTGATAACTAATTGCAAGGTATGTGCATAACAAGAAATCCTGACTTTTTCACCAATTGTAATATTTGGCGTCGCTACAGTGACTTCATCATCTGCATTACTTTCTTCCTCTTCATCCTCAGAGCTCTCACTAATATCAGAGTCTTCCGGTTGTGAATCGTCTTCAAGGTCGATAGCTGAATCGTCTTCATCCGTCATAAGATTTTCAGCCTCCTCGGTCCAATTCTTGAAGCCGCACACCATATTGCTAGCACCGTCAGTCACAAGATAACCGATCTGAGTTTAAAAGTATTGCACTATTATTTATCATTAACAAAATTGCATGTTTATGCGTATTAGTCACCTTGGTCGTGTTAATTCCTAACGAGTTTAGAGATTGCTGGAATTTGTGCTTTATATTTTCTCCAGTGTGGCGCTCATTAAATTGCACGGCTGAAAGGACGTTTGACACCAATTTCCATGTCCGGTTTTGTTCATCTTTCTGAATATAATGGTATTTAAGTCCCATAATTCCGTCACCCTGTCTACTTGTCCATATGTCAGATGATATGTGAACATTGTAATCCTGAACGTGGTTGAGTGGATCTTTAATTTTAGGTTTTATCTGGAATTCACACAAGCGGGAAAATTGCATGCATAAAGGTTTTATTATAATTTTATGCGTATTAGAGTAAGTCAAAATTACATACAATCTTGTTGACCGTGTTTGCTAATTTTCTTGCCAAGGTCACTCGGTCAGGAACTATAACTCGTGGATTAAGGTCAGATACTAAGCTCCTGAATCCTATCCCATTAACAAAACTGAAAGGGAGCCCATCAACGGAGACCAAATCTTGCAGATTCGAGTTGAATTTTGATTGGATAGGGTCATTTTTATTATATTTGTTTTGATTTGAGTGAAAAAACTCGTTCACCTTATGATTTTCTTGTGGGATTTCAATTTCCAAAGCCACATCTTTATGCGAGTTCTGCAAAAATATTCGATAAAAATTAACGAATTTAGTTACCACTTAATAAATTTCACGTAGGTATATAAAGTTATCCATACTCTATAATGACGATTTCCGTTTGCTTTAAAGTTGCTCTCATCAAACGAGTAGACACGACTTTTTTTACCAGCTTCGGTGCACTTTTTACAAGTTGCAAAGAACTTTTGGGACTCAATTGAATGTCCAAGGTAGCTGAACTTCTTCTCAAAGAAGAAACGGAACTTCGACAAATTTTCAAAACCTGGTTGTTTTACGAGTTTAGGCTTTTTGGAACTTCCCTCAGAATCATGCTCAATATCAACTATTTCTTTATCCTTGTGGACAGCTTCGCCATCGCCAGGGTTGACTTTTGATGTCATAAATAACTCTCT